TTCTGGAAACCACAGAAGGGAAGAGCACTGCTGCATTTGAATCCTGCTTCTGGGCATCTGGTTGGCCACTGGGAGAACAGGATCCTGGACTAGTTGGGCCATGGACCTGATCCAGCAGGCACTTACATTCTTACGGACCTTTCTTGCCCTTGAACACCAGGAGGAAGAGGTGGAAGAGGCACAATTTAGAGCTGCCAGCAGCCTGGGAGGGGAGAATTCCCACCTGGCTTGGCTTTTGTCCCTTCAATGGCAGCTTGATGTGCAAAGATCAGCATCAGGGGAAGGCTTTTCGCAGCATGGAAACATTATCACCTTCTGATGTCTGCAGCTCGGGCAGCTTTGCTCTCTCCAGGAAAGTGCAGGATCTAGTTGGGTCCTCCCAGCTCAGCAAGCAACTGAGCAGACAAGCTGGTGCCCATAAAGGCCAGTTTCTCCAGGGCAACCCTGACTACAGCTCCTGTCTCCTGGCAGAAGGACTCAGCTGAGAGAGAGACAGGTTAGCGCTGTAGGTGGAGAGGAAAGGCCCCGATTCAGGCATTCCCACACATGGCTCAGCATGTAAGTTCCTAGGGCTCACTGGAGGCCGAACACGCCATGGCAAGGAGGAAATGGAACCGGGAGCAAAGGGTGCTTGGCTTGGCCTTCAAAGAAACCAGGAAGCAAAGGAGGCTTTTCATGAACAAGCAAATTGCCGCTATTTACATTTTAGGCAAATATTGCTCATTGCAAAAGCCGATTTGCATAGCGAGGCCAGGTGTTCTCACAGAAATCCTGCCCCAGCACCCACCAGGAGGCTGTGTCACAATCCTGCCAGGTGCTGGAAGGAGACAAAAGGCAGCAGAACTATTTGAACACAGAAAAGAGTCAGGCGAGCAGCTGAGGGAAAGGATGGGAGCTCACTCTGTGCCCCAACTTGAAAGCAGCAACTGTTGGAACTATTTTTTTTCCTCCTTCCCCCACCCCCCGCGCCTTTATTTTAACCTTCTTTAGCATTATTAACAGCTCCAAAGTAAATAGCAAGGAATGGCATAATACCATATACAAAGCAAACAAAAAATAAATTGTAACAGAAAGAAATGGTGACACACCAATTTATCTCAAGACCCCTCTATTTCCCAAGCTGGCATGGCTAGTAAATGATGAGCATCTAAGTCTGAAGCCTAGGAAATAAAAGCCCAGCAGATGACATAAAAGCTTTCTGGATCCTCCATCCCCCTGGAGACACACAGTTTATGTGTATTTTTTCCCCACAACAGCCAAACTCCATAACAAGACAAATGCAGATTTTTCAAGGGCTATTGAAATCCTACCTGTGGCTAAGGACTCATCCACATTTTTGCTTGCCCTGTGCCTAGAAAAGCACAGGTCTGAGCAGTTTTACCTTTGCCCCTCCACTTCCCCCTGGAAAACCCACTCTTTAGCACTAAATTGGAACAAACGGCAACCCACAGAAAACCCAGTTGCCATTTGTAGCAGGGCAAAAGCTCTTTAGCGAGACATGCTTTCATGTCGTCCATCTTGTTGGAATTAGGTTGAAACAAAAAGGAAGCTGCATCCCCTGTCATTGCAGATGGTTTTCCACGAAAGTCCCCCACTCCTCTTCTGGATACGGGGTGGTCTTGCCAACAGAGTTGTGTGGTGCTATTCCTGGAAAAAGAGAAAAGGCGAAGCCTGGATAGACACTTCTCATTCCCAGGGGCCGACATCAAATGCTCTCAAGGCCCTTGCAGCTTTCCCTATAGCTGAGCTTATGCCAACCTGTATAACTCAGCTGGTTACAGCATAGTGCCGATAACGCCAAGGTTGAAAGTTCGATCCCTGGATGGGGACAGCTACATATTCCTGCATTACAGGGAGTTGGACTAGATGATCCTTAGAGTCCCTTGCAACTCTACAATTCTTTGATTCCATGATTGAGAAAGCTGCGGCATAGGCCCCATTGAAATGAATAGTCACCTGCATCAATTCATCTCAGAGAGACTTTGACCCACTGGATAACATCTGGTGGGTTTCACCCTAAATTCCTAGCAACCAGCAACTTCTGGTGATCAGGCACTAGGGCTATTTCCAGCCAAGTTACCTGGGGATTGATTGAGTTCATAGGATCCATTGATTGGCTGAAGACGTTTGGCCTGCTTTGGATACAGAAGGTCCAGTCAGGACAGGATAAATGTAAGTTTTTCATACAGCACATAGTTAAACTATGGAACTCACTCCAACAGGAGGCAGGGGTGGCCACTGATTTTGATGGCTTTAAAAGAGGACTGGGCAGGTTCATGGAAGAGGTGAGGGCTATCATTGGCTACTAGCCATTATTGCTATGCTCTGCTTCCATAACTGGGAGGCAGCAATGCTTCTGAATGCCATCTGGAGGGGAGAGGGCTCTTGTGCTCGAATCCTGCTTGTGGACTTCCCATTGGGGCATCCAGTTAGCCACGATGAGAGCAGGATGTTGGACTAGATGGGCCATGGGCCTGATCCAGCAGACTGCTCTTATGTTCTTACATACAGTACTAATCTCTTGGTAGGGCAGGGAGAGATCCCTGCCTGAAACCCAGGAGAGCTGCTACCACTTGGGGTAGCCAAAAGTGAGCAAGGTGGACCAGGGGTCAGCAAACTTTTTCAGCAGGGGGCCAGTTCACTGTCCCTCAGACCTTGTAGGGGGCCAGACTATATTTTGGGGGGGAAATACATGAACGAATTCCTATGCCCCACAAATAACCCAGAGATGCATTTTAAATAAAAGGACACATTCTACTCATGTAAAAACACGCTGATTGCTGGACCGTCCATGGGCCAGATTTAGAATGTGATTGGGCTGGATCCGGCCCCCGGGCCTTAGTTTGCTTACCCATGAGCTAGACTGAGGGTCTGGTTCTCTAGAGCAGCTTCCATGTGTTGTGTTATATCTAATTATCACCCCAAAATGCATAAGTTAAAGTACGGAATGGTTCTCTTTCTTCCTCATTTCCCCTGCCCCACCTCCCCAAATCTCTGTCTGCAGCCCTTCATTCCTAAGCAAATGCTTCCAGCTAAACTCCTGGGGCAAAGCATCGAACTTATGCCTGCCTCTCCTGCCTGCACTCTTGCTGAACTCACGCTGTGATTCGTACAAATTTAATCACATCTGCCTAGCAAAATCAATTCCACTCGAAAGAGTCCAAGCTTGTGCTTCTCTGCACCAGTATTAATACCGTGGAGAATCTCTGCCTCCTGAAATTAACCACATGCAGAAAGAGCTTCAGAGAGAGAGAGAGGCGGGGCATCTGTGTTTGGGGGCAGAAGACCAGTGGAAGGGGTGGCTGCATATGAAAGGGTCTAACTCTTTTGCATGGATGATGCAATCACAAACCAACATGTACCAAGGAGGGAGTAGCAGGAAAGTCCAACAGAACACATTCAGGATTGTAACATAAGTGGGATATATCTCCTGCATTTTTATGTCTACTGTACTTACTTATTTATTACATTTATATCTCACCTTTCCTCCAAGGAACTCAAGGAAATCCCCCTCCTCATTTAATCCCAACAGCAACCCTGTGAGGTAGGTTAGGCTGAGAGGCAGTGACTGGCCCTGAGATCACCTAGTAAGCTTCATGGTTTAGTGGGGATTCGAGCTCTAGTCTCCTAGGTCCTAAAACCGACACCCTAACCACTACACCACACTGTGGGCTCTATTAGCTTCCCTTCCTTTGTCTGTCCCACACACTGGAGTGGCAGAAGATTTTCTGTGAAGTTTGTTTGTTGCATTTATATTCTGCCTCTCTACCGCGGCACCCAAGGCAATTTACAATCTGAAATAAACAGATGCTACGAAATATTCTCAGGCCAGTCTTAGAAGCTCCCTGCCCTAGACTTCCTCACTTCTGCCTCCCCCAAGGGCAGAAGCAGGAGCTCTGGGCAAGGTTGGGGAGAGGCTGCAGGGGCACATATGGGTCTACATCTCCCCCCTCCCCACCCTGCCCCCATTTCACTCTCCTTTCTGGCAGGAGGATGTGTGGGTATTACTAACTTGTTGCCTCTCTATCCCACTTTTCCTCCAAGGAGTTCAAAGTGCTTCTCCCCCTCCTTGTTTAATCCCCATAACAATATTGCGAGGTAGGTTAGGCTGAGAGTGAGTGACTGGACCCGGGGTATTCATGGCTGAATAGGGATTCAAACTCTGGTCTTTCCCAAGTCCTAGTCCAGTACTCTAATCACTATGCCATGCTGCCTTCTCTTGGATCAGCTGGGAAAGATACACACAATCAGGTGGTTATGATGATGTAGTTAGGACGCCCAAGGTTGCTTTCTCTGAAATGCTATTTATTGCACATGCAACACCAGCAAAACAGGCACAACTGTATAGTCTGAAGGGGTTGGAACAATTCCCCTGTGGAGAGGCTACAGCATTTGGGCCTTTTTAGTTTACAGGTGAGTAAGTGTATAAAGTGTATGATAATTATGCTGCTTTCAACAGGCAGGGAGTTCCTAAGTGTAGGTGCCTGCCATCACACTAAGAGATTGATTTCTTACAAATGTGGAACAGGAATTATGTGGCATCTTTAACAGCGTCAGATCAAAGCAGTCGAGTGGGCACATGTGGGGCAAGGTGATCTCGCAGGCAAACTGGTCCCAAGTTGTTATGGGATTTATATAGGAATAGGAACATTTTAAAGAGTTGCATTTACTGATAATCTTATTTTGTTCTGGTAAACAGCTTGGAGATTTTGTTTTGCTTTCACAATCGAGTGGTGTATAATTTTACAACCTAAGCAATACCATTGCGACTCAGGCAGGCGTACTAGGCCCTCTCCCTCCGCACAACAACCCGGCGAGGTGGGCTACGCTCTCGACAGAGCCAGCAGCTGCGGCCACCGCGGGAACCAGCTCGAGTCGCGCCCGCGAAAGTGGCAGCTCCGCGCATGGGTCCCCCGCGCGTCCTCGCTGCGCGCTGTCGGAGGAGCTGGAGGCGGAGCCGGGGCGCACCAGGGAGGAGGGCGGTTCAGGAAGCAGCAGCCGGCTCCTCCCCGCCTCGCCTCGCCTCTCGGCTGCCACCAGCCCGGCGCCCTATAAAGCACCAGCCACGGCCGGCCCCGCATCGGCCCCATGGAGGAGCGCGCGGGCCCCGCCGAGCTGGAGAGCGAGAAGGAGGGGAAGAAGCGGCGGCGGGGGCGAAGCGCCGGGTAGGGAGCCCGCTTGGCCGGGCGCGGAGGCGGCGCCCTCCACTCCTGGCCTGGCTTTTGTTTTGTTTTGGGAGGGCGGACAATCCAACTTAAATCGGGTGTCCTGGAGGGGCGATCCGGCTTTAAAAGGGTGTCCTGGAGCGGCGCCCCGGTGCGCTGCCTCGCCCCCACGGTGGTGGAAACGAGGCGCTTCCTGCCCCGCGCCCATCACCGTGGCGGCTGGTCTGGCCGGGGCTGCGTCAAGGTCACGAGCGCCAGCAGGTGACAGCGGAGGGGGTGGGGAGCGAGGCCGCGCCCTCGGCTTCCTTAGGCGGAGCAGGAGTTGAACTCTGCCCCCCCGCGGGTCTCCGTCGGGGGCGACTCCCCCCCCCCTCCGCTCAGTCCTCCTTGTAGAGTCAGCGAGGCGGGGCGGAAGTGGCGCGTTCCTGGGTTCAGGTGGGGCAGCCCTGGCTGGAGGTGCCTCCAGATCGAGGTTAGGGAAAGCACATGACTGGGAAGTGGGCGAGATTCTTTAGTGGGGCTCTGCTGCCTGTTTCTGTCCCATGGAGCCTCCTGTACCCCACGCTTGAGTTGTGGCTAAGCAGTCAGGAGTGCTCCAGCCTGGACCTCTGACTCCCTCCTGAAGTCTGGCTATAACAGCTGTTCTCTTTTCCTTTGCAGCTCTGGCATGTGAATGAGGAACAGATTCTGCCCAGAGGAGAAAAGGATGAACTTAGGCGGCCTTTCCACCGCCCCTCAGGGTGGCTTTGCCCACTGGCCTGAGCCTCTGCCCTTAGCGAAGTGCCTTGGTGGCAGTGGGCAGGAGGAGCCTGGGGGGAGCTCCATGCAGGAGAGTGGCTACTTGAGCCTGAAGGGCCCAAGCCCAGAGGAGTCTGACGCAGACCTGGAGTCATGGAGCTCCTTGGAGCAGGACACCACTGAAACGCAGATGAAGGTGGACTTCTTCCGCAAGCTGGGCTACTCCTCGGAGCAGATCCTGGCTGTCCTCCAGAAGCACGGCCTGAACGCTGACACCAACACGGTCCTCGGGGAGCTGGTCAAGCATGGGATGGCCACGGGGGAGAGGGACCCTGCTGAGGCGCCCCAGGACACCCCCGAGGCACCGCTCGTCCCACGAGGGGGTGCAGCAAACCAGAGCCCCACCCGTGCCGCACCTCTGGAGGGAAAGGACGGAGAGAACTTGCGCCCCATTGTCATTGATGGGAGCAACGTGGCCATGAGGTAGGGCCTTGTCTGTGGTGGCTCGTTCCCTCCCACGTGGGAGATGCTTGCTGGCTGTGGCGCCTGCCTTGCAGGGGGTTGGACTAGATGGCCCTTTGGGTCCCTTCCAGCTCTATGATCCTGTAAGCAGAGAGTGACACCTTAAATGCCCAACCTGGCTGTTCTTTTTAAGCCCAGATGTCAATATTCTAGGGAGCGGCCTAGTTCTTTGCCTATCCTCTCCATCTCTGTGTACTTTCCCTCTGTAGTGGTTTCATGACCGGCTCGTGGGGCGTTGACAGAGCTTGATGTCACATGGCTCTGAAAAGCAGGGTGGTTGTTGGGTTTTTTCACGCTGTCAAGTTCCTTCCTGTGCCTGAGGAAAGGGGGCAGGCTTTCTCTCCTTCTGACCATGGAGTGATGGGGCAAGAGTTGTTATTGTGGTGCTTGGAACTGGTGGGAGGGGGCAGAGGTTCTGACCTGCTCCTCTTCCAGCCTCCAGCCATATGAAAGGCCTCGAGCGCGAGGGAGATTGCTCAGGACCCGTGTTGCACAGCTGGCAAGCCATGCTCTGCTGTTTTGTAAGAAATAAGCTGCTTGAGAACCAACACGTCCACTTCCTTAAGCAAGGGGAGGGCCTAGTGCTACAAGTTTGTATGTTTTAGTTCCTCTCACTGTGGGCAGGATCCTCTGCCTTGCTGTGAGGGAAAGGCCTGTGTTTGTGTGTCCTGTTTTGTCCAGAGGGCAAGATCCTGCCCTGTGTAGATATGGTGGTCTTATATTTATATCCTGCTTGTCAGCTGAGGCGGTCTCCCCAGTTTGACAATAAAATCCAGGCAAAAATTACAATGGGGATCTGGTGTGTTGTGTTGTGGTGCGTGGTTATTGTATCATATCTTGTCGCCTGACAGTGGGTGATACAATCCAGGGGTCTCTGCTCCTGAGGGATGGGGCGGAAGCAGCTGCAGATGGGGAGTGGAGAGGAGCTGATGGCAAAGATGTCAGCCTCCTGAAACAGCAACCCTTCCACTGAGAGGAGAGTTACCTAACTTTTTTTAACATTAAGTTTCAAGCCCAGGAATCTGCCTGGCAAGTTAATTTTACTCCAGGGTTAAAAGAGGTGGTGGCAGCATACAGGTTGCTTGTTAATGCTTTCACAGACAAGTTAGAACACTGATTTCTGGATTTCTATGACGGAATTGTGCTTGTAAGGAAGCATCTGACCAAGCAGGTTCCCTGCTCTATAGTGATCACTTCTCTCTTGTGGTTGTTGCTCATCTAAGAGCTGTGATGTGATGTGATGTGATTTGATTTGATTTCAAAGGGGTGCAGCGGGCGGAGGGGGGGTGCTTCTCAGGTGGAAGAGGCAGCAACCGTGGGGTAGGAAGGCCAGTTTCCCCCTGCAGGAGTTCTGGGCATGTCTTGGGGCAGATTTGTCCTTGCTAGTTTGCTTGTTTTAACCCACCCACCCCACCTACAACCTTCCAGTTGTTAAGAGAGCATAAAACACTCGCCTCAAAACTACCCTTTGTGCTGATTCATAAGTTTCCAGGGCCCAAAATGTACCTGCCCCTTTCCCAGAAGCACCTCAGGGCCACTGGATGTAGCCCCTCTCTTGAAGGCACCCTGAGCAAAAGAATCCTAAAACCTTTATTTGTGTCAGCGCTCCTTCCTGGAGTCTGCCTGTGGCCAGGAAAAACAGAGAATGAGAATAATGTGGGGAGTGCCTCTTTGAGTAAACTATAAGCTGAGTGTATTCCCCTTACTTGATACCCAAAGTGCCCCCCCTCAACTGTGGAATTTGGGGAAGCAACTCCCAAGTTACTGGCTGTAGCTTGTTGACAGATTTAAGCACTTGCCAGTCATTTAAGAAGTTAAGCGATGGCAAACTCTCATGTTCCTGCCAATGAGAGAAAACCTTTTTCTCAATTACTTATGAGCTGGCGCTCTTTGGTTTTGAAAGCCACGATTCTGGAATGCCAAATTCTGTGTGATTGATTCTGGAGTATCCTTGTAGCAGAGAATATACAGTGGTACCTCTGGATGCGAACGGGATCCATTCCGGAGCCCCGTTCGCATCCTGAAGCGAACGCAACCCGCATCTGCACGGGTCATGATTCACCGCTTATGCATATGCACGTGATGTGATTTTGAGCGTCTGCGCATGCGCGAACGGGGAAACCCGGAAGTAACACGCTCCGTTACTTCCGGGTCACCGCGGAGCGCAACCCGAAAACACTCAACCTGAAGCTACTTCAACCCGAGGTATGACTGTACACAGTCCATGCTGGATGTTCTCTGAATTTGGAGAAGTCCCCAGGAAAACAGTGCTGATTTGAGAGTTAGCTGCTAGAATAGGGACATCCCTGCAGCCCTTCAAAGGGAGAGAGCTTTTCCTCACCTGGCCTAGTGAGGTTGAGAGCCTGTTAGAAGTTCTAACATTGATCAGGGTAGTGGAGGTGAGAATGGCATCTTAATTCATTCTGGGATCATAGTGTGTGTGTCCCCCCACACCCCAATAGGCAGCTGCACAGCATCCTTACTGTAGTGTTCAGATACCTCCTGCCCCCTTTGCCCCAAGGCACTGGTGGTGTTAGGAACTTGGCATAGTTAAACTGTGGAACTCGCTCCCACAGGAGAAAGTGATGGCCACCAACCCAGATGGCTTTAAAAGAGAATTAGACAAATTCCTGGAGGAGAGGGCTGCTAGCCATGATGGTTATTCTCCACAGTTAGAGGCAGCCATGGTTCTGAATCCCAGTTGCTGGAAACCACAGGAGGGGAGAGGGTTCTTGAACTCGGGTCCTGCTTGCTGGTTCCCCATTAGGGCATCTGGTCAGCTGCTGTCGGACTAGATTGGCCACTGGCCTGATCCAGCAAGGGCCTATTTATTTTTTTATGGTGGAAATGGGCAAGCAGCAGTTGCTACCCTCATTTGCTCCTTGATCACAGTTAAGGTTTCAGGGTTTTTATTGCCTGCCTCCTGTCCATCAGACCCTCCTAAAGGAGCAGGGTGGAGGGGGATTCAAGTCCTACACAAGTGTGCTGTTAATTAGTTTTGTTTCTAAGGTTTGTTTGTTTTTTGCCTTGCTATTTTTATATAAACAAGCAGCCACCAGGACCCAGGAAGAGCAGGGCAGTTTCAGAGCCAGCTTCCTGTTCAGAGTGGAATGACGAACTGCTGTGTTCGTTTTTGATTCACCCTCCCCTGGATAATACTCAAGGCAACTATATGCAAATCTCAGAGGGGTGAGTGGAGGAGAACTGGCCTCCACTTCCTTCTAAGGGAATTTTTCACAGTTGTTGCCACATCAGATGAGTCTGCTGAGCTCCTTCGCAAGCCGTTCCACAGGAGGCTTCTAGGAAACAGCATGCAAATTTTCTCCAGCAGCTGCAATAAGGAGAAGAGGGTTTGGTAGTTAGTTGCTCTTAGATCCTCAAGAAAGTTTCAGTTTTGACTTGTGGGATTTGCTTCCCATAATACTGTTTCGTATTTTAATATTGACTCTGTCTTTCTCTCTACTGTCAACTTTCAAGAAGGTTTAGTATCAAAGGGTTTGGAGGACGTGAGAGGGAGCCCCTGGAAAGTTGACATTTCTCCTGATTAGATAGATGGATGGATATTTTTATAAGATTTTGTTAAAGCTATTTCATAATACAATAAGGTTTTAGAAACCTAATCTAACTAAAAACAGAGGAAGAGAAAAGAAAATGCAGAGTCCTCTCTCAAAGGCAGCTCTTGTTGCTCACAAAAAGTGGTAAACCCTCCCAGCTCCCACCTGGGAGCTTTCCTTTATACCGCCTGCCTCTCACCCTGGGAGATCTTCCCTTCCCTGCCTCTCACTCATGGTTCTTCTACCAGCCAGCCACCACCTTCATGTGTGTGTAATCCTTGGACTCCAATAATGGCCCAGAGCAGAGGGCACCAAAGAAAAAGAAAGAGAAGGAGAAAGAATTAAAAGGACTTTCTATTTTCTGCCTGTCAGTTACATAAAAGAAATTATTCAAAACATTCACTCTAGGATGATATCCAACTGGATGGTTTTGAAAGAGGATTAGACAAATTCATGGAGAGAGAGGGCTCTTGATGGCTCCTCGCCATGATGGCTGAGGCCACAGCTGGACTCAGCAGTGCTTCTGAATCCCAGTTGCTGGACACTGCAGGAAGGGAAAGTGCTCTTGTGCTTGAATCCTGCTTGCAGGTTTCCCTTTGGGGCACCTGTTTGGCCACTGTGAGAACAGGATGCTGGAGTAGATAGAACATTGGCCTGGTCCACCAGGCTCTTCTTATGTTCTTAATGTTGCTTTTCCTCCTCTAGCATTAGAGCAGGCATAGGCAAACTCAGCCGTCCAGATGTTTTGGGACTACAATTCCCATCATCCCTGACCACTGGTCCTGTTAGCTAGGGATCATGGGAGTTGTAGTCCCAAAACATCTGGAGGGCTGATTTTGCCTGTGCCTGCATTAGAGCACCTTGCACTGAGGGATTATCCACACTTACCTTTCGTCTGTGTTTTACAGGCACAGTCCAAGCTTTATAGCTCCAGGTCCAAGCATCATCTATCCCAACAGGGGTGCCAAGTAGGTCATCTCCAAAACTACCCATGTGGGGGGGGCGGCGTGGTATTTGCAGAAAAAGAGATTTGCCAACCATTTGCATAAGCTAAAAGGTTTGTCTTATGATGTAAAGTAGGATGTGGAAAATTAACTCCTCCTTCCAATATTGACAGCTTCATCTTTTTAAGTGAGAATGAAGTTGAGAGGTCCCCCCCAAATAAACTTCCCAAAATGCCACATTAAACCCGTGTGAATACACTTGGGGAATATCTAAAGGAATACTACAAAGCACATGAATTATCTGTGGCAAAATATTCAATTCAAGCATATTAACCTTATCCCAAATACTAAGTCTAAGCCCATCTTTCCAAATCAAGAGATATCTCTGTCATCAGTCTGTTTAAATTCAGTTTAATTAATTGAGAAATATCTCTAGGATCCAAAATACTGAAATATGTTACCTCTGGGTACCAACAAAATTGCCAGTTAGTCACATAAACCAGATAACTTAATAGTGGCATGAATTTGGATTTTAAATAATTCATTGTATAGGCAGAAATTAGGCAAAAATTAATAGATTTTATTAGTTTATATAGACTATTGGAGTCTGCTAATAATAAATACTGTAATAATCAGTCATCTGCATACATAGCTGCTTTAAATTCCAGTTTTTTCATGCACCAAACCAGGAGTGTCTTCCCTGTTCTGGCAAATTGCACACCCTAATGGCACTAACCATGAATATAACGGGTGAAATAGATTAGCCCTGCCTTGTAGCCCTCTCTATACCAAACTCACTCAGATGAATTCCGTTTGTCGAGTCCACCTGGGGGGAGAGAGGTGTAAGATTCTACTCCCAATTCATAAATTCTTGTGGAAACGCACATTTTTTTCAAAGTTACAGAAATAAACTACCAATGTATTTTATCAAACACTTTTCCAGCATCAGGAAAAATAGTTGCAGCCCATCAGTTCTTTTTTTTTAAAGAAACAAAGATTTGCTACCAGCTTAAATCATCTGTTCCCTGCCTTTGGCAAATAAAGTCCGCCTGATCTAGCTATACAAACAGCCTAAAATCTGTTAGCAAGGATTTCTGTTAATACCTTGGCATCTACATTCATTAAGGAGATTGGCCTATAATATGCACAGCTAATGTGGTCTTTAATGGGCTTGGGAATAACAGAGATGTGAGCATCATACAGTGAAGATGGGCTAGGCACCCAATTCGGAAGCATGGCTGAGTAATCGCACCACTGTGGTGTGTAGTGTGTTACAGTGTGGTGTAGTGGTTAGTGTGTTGGACTAGGACCTGGGAGACCAGAGTTTGAATCCCCACTCAGCCATGAAGCTCACCAGGTGGCCTTGGGCCAGTCACTGCCTCTCAGCCTCACCTACCTCAGAGAGTTGTGGGGATTAAGTGAGGAGGGGGAGGACAATGTACATGTCACCTTGAGCTCCTTGGAGAAAAAAGTATGTTATTATTATTATTTATTTTATTATTTATTAAATTTATATACAGTACCACCCTATACCCACATGTTTCAGGGCAGTTACAACATAAAATCACAAATAAAAACACAAAATACATTATAGAAATAAAAACAAAAACAACCCAATAACCCCCCCACACACAAACACACATTTTAAAAGGGCATTGGATGTCAATCAGCCAAAGGCCTGGTTAAAGAGCAACATTTTTGCCCGGTGCCTAAAGGTGTGTAATGAACCAGCCGAACCTCCCTGGGGAGAGCATCCTACAAATGAGGATATAAACGCAATAAATAAATAAATTTTCTGAGATAAGGGGACAGGTGACTTGGTCACAGGCAGGCGCTGGTCTCTCTGCAAGCAGAATCGTCATTGCATGGCAAGAAAGGGAAGGAAATGAACTGTTTTTTTGAAAGCAATTATCTCAATTGACCGCTTGCATGATATGGGGTTGGTGTTTGGATTAGTTGGGCTCCTTCCAAGGGCTGATGGGCTTTACCTAGCTGTAGAAAAAGGATCCACCTGTTCATTGGGCAGGTCTTGATTTCAGTGCTAAGGACCTCTTCTGATGCTCTGAGGGAGCTTTTCAGTTGTGGCCCCTTGGCTATAGAACATGTTTCCCAAAGAGACCTGCCTGGTGTTTGGAGGGGGTCTTTTTGTTGCCAGACATCATTCTCCCAGGCTTGGGGGCCCTTCAGGCTTAGAAATTGTTATAGATATTACATTGCATTCTATCATTACATCATTGTGTCTGAAGCTCCATTTCGCGAACTCCCCAGAGAACCTGCAGGAAGGAAGCCAGCTGATAAACAAGCGCTGCCGGTCCTTCCTTGAGCCCTTTTGGAAAAGGGGCCCTGAAGCCAAGAGAGCATCCTGCCTGCCCTGTGGCTACGGAGACCTTGGAACCACCAAGGGCAACCAGGGCAGGTGTGGCTTCCTGAGGTTCCTCCTGTTTCTCTCTTGCTTTTGAAAGGCCAGCGTCTAGAAACCATGATCATAACAGGAAGCTCTGGAAAAGACATCAGCACCCCATTAAAATATAAGGCACTCTCTTAGTAGAAAGTCATATTTTCTTCCCATCAGGAATTCTGTCAAGGATTTCTTTAGCTGTGATTATTTCTACGTTGCAAGGGGTCAGACAAGATGACCCTTGGGGTTCTTTCCAAACCTGTGATCCTATGATCATCCCCACCCGACCCCTAATTTAAATCTTTTGGGGTGTGGGTGATCAAAAAGCTATGGGAACATTTCTTTCTGCCAGAAGGAATTAGCATATTCAGCCTATGCAAATATTACTTGCATTATGGGGCTCTTTGTGGGGGAGCATTTCTCAGCTTCACCTCTGCTGGGTCCTTTTTTCCTTCCTGCTTGGCGCACGTGCTAATTGCACAAAGGCTTTGGACAGAAAGTGGATTTCACCCTCTGATGAAACTGCCCAGGGAACGTAAGCTGGTGGCGCTGGACTGTTGCCCAGAGAGGAGCATCTGACCTGGCTGCTTCTTGTGGGAGAGGCTGGGATTTGGAAGTTTTTCCCCTCCATGTCAGAGTTGTGGGCGGGGAAGAGGTTTGCCAGATGCAGTGACTCCACAGGGAAGAGGCTGTGCTCTGTGCATGCCAAAGGGGAGACCGCAGTGTACTAGTTTGGGAGGGATTGAGCGCTCCTGGCATTCAAAGCCGCTTTCCTTGGTTTAGGTGCAGTTAGAAAACTTTGCACTGTGTCAGTGTGCATGTCCTTGAGCCCCCAGCTGGAAAGATTGGCGTTGGGAAGGACAGATTCCTCTCCCAACTCCCCCTTTCCACTTCCTCTTGGAAAGGGTACTTAGTTGGCAAGAAAAGTCTGCCCTGTGTTACCCAGACTAGTTCCTGCAGGAGCTCAATCCATATCCACTGCATACCTCAACTTATCAGCGATGATGTTGTACATTAACCCGGAGACCGTTTCCAGAGAGCTAATTTGAGCAGGAAGAGAACAAAAGGGATTGGGAGGGGGGAGGCTGGTGCAAATGGCAAAAGGGCAGAGCAGGCAGTGAAGGGCACGCTGAGGATGAGATCCAGGGCTCGCAGTGTCCAAAAGTGCTTTAACAGACCTCTTCCACTCAAAAGAGCGGGCTGTTAGTCAGGATAGCGATGTTCTGCCTCCACAGTCAAGAGGTCAGCAATGCTTCTGAATACCAGCTGCTAGAAACCACAGGAGGGGACGGTGCTCTCATGCTTGAATCCTGCTTCCAAGTTTCCCATGATGGGTATCTGGTTGGCCAGTGCGAGAAGAGGATGCTGGACTACTTGCGCCATTAGATGATCCAGTAGACTTTTCTTGTGATTCCCCCAACCCCACCCCCCGACACACATAAAAACATATTGTTTCACATTGTTTTGTGTATCTGTATCATTTATAAACCATGATGGCAGAGAGGGCTATAGAGGGCCACTAACCATGATGGCTATGTTCTGCCTTCAGAAGCAGCAATGAATCCCAGTTGTTGGAAACCACAGGAAGGGAGAGGGCTCTTGCACCTGGGTCCTTTAGCGGGTTTTCCGCAGGAATCTGGCCGGCCATTGTGAGAACAGGATACTGGCCTAGATGAGCATTTGGCCTGATCCTGCTAGCTCTTCTTAGGGGTTGCTGGACTGGGTGGCAGGGCTGAATTCAACATTTAACTTAAGGAATATTCGCTCCAATAATGAGGACAAGGGGCATCCCAGTGATGTGGGGAAGGTCATGGGTGTTCAGCATCTCCTTGTGAGTTTTGACTTCAAATAATAGCAGGGCACAGAGTTTGCCCAGTGGATCTCCTCTGAGGTTTCTTCTGCCTTCATGACACACAGGTCATGTGGGAACCTGAACATTGAACCTGTCAATCTTTGTATCTTTGCAGCCACGGGGACAAAGATGTCTTCTCCTGCCAGGGCATCTTTCTGGCGGTGAAGTGGTTCCTTGACCGAGGACACACAGACATCACTGTCTTTGTGCCATCCTGGAGGAAGGAGCAGCCGAGGCCTGACGTCCCAATCACAGGTATGCGTTGAGCACATGGACACAGTTAAGTAGGTTGATAGCAAGGGGAGTGTCTGTTTTCATTTGACATTGAGCTGATGACTGAATGCACTGGATGGGATAGATCATGGCTGACTCCTCTGCCTTGCCCACCCTCCACCCCACATACTTTGAAATGTCAGGTGAGGCTTGGCTGTCCCACCCAAATAGTCACCCCAGTTGCCTCTTGGGTTGCCCTGAATTGCCTCTACCTGACCAGAAGGATGTCAAGATGCACCAAGGTCAGAACTCCCCCTCCAGAAACACTCCAAAATCCCACTCTGAACATTTTCCTGAAGCGCTATCAGCTTTCCTTACTACGACAAGTTCTAATGACAAAGATTCAGAAAAGGTAAAAGAAAAGAAAGTCTTTCAGACAGAACATCATTAAACTATGGAACTCGTTCTCCCAGGAGGCCGCAAACCTCCTGTGAGGGCTCTTGTGCTCCAGTCCTTCTTGTGAGCTTCCCGTTGGGGCTTCTGGTTGGCCACTGTGAGAACAAGATGCCAGGCTAGATAGGCCATTGGCCTGATCCCCCAGGCTCACCATATGTTCCTACGTTAAAGGTTCGTGACTCTGGACATTTCATCTCTAAGACTTGCTTTAATTTGGGTTCCCTCCACACACACCCGCATTGCATGTCCCAAGAGGAGGGTTCAAATCAGACAAATCTGTAGGGTGTGATGTGGCATCTGAGTGAGAGAGAGAAAGAGGGAAAGCTCTCATTTGGATGGGGATGGAAGAAAACTGCTTGGGGGTGTGAGCAGCAGGCAGTGTTACCTAGGTCAGGCTGCGTCTGTCAGTTTCCGGCTCTAGAGAGTTGGCCTCCCCCAGCCTCCTGCCAGCTTGGCTTGATCACGAATTGTTCCGCAAATGCCTGGCCCTTCCAAGAGCTGTCTTGGGCAGAGGGTGACCTTGGTGTGTCCTGTTGCAGACCAGCACATCCTCCGCGAGCTTGAGGAGAAGAGGATCCTTGTCTTCACGCCTTCCCGGCGCGTGGGGGGCAAGCGGGTGGTCTGCTACGACGACCGCTTCATCGTGAAGCTGGCCTACGAGTCGGACGGCATCGTGGTCTCCAACGACGTCTACCGCGACCTGCAGGCGGAGCGGCCCGAGTGGAAGAAGTTCATCGAGAAGCGTCTGCTGATGTACTCGTTCGTCAATGACAAGTAGGTCCCTTGAGCGCTCAAGGAAATTGGACTGGGGGGAGAATGTGGCTGGACACAGAATGGGAGAGAAGAGATGAGGAACTCTTGGGAGTGTCCAGCCTACATGGCTGCCAAGATAAGCTTTATTTGGGGCGAGGACAGCAGCATGCATGGTGGGGCCTTGGAAGCTAGACTTGGTCAGTGGAGAATTGGGTCAGAAGGTGTGGTGGTGGCCAGGAGTAGGACTCAGGTGCCCTATTCGTCTCCGGGGACAGCAGAACCAAAATACACTGCCCCATCCGTGCAAAAGGTTTGGGTGGGCATGGCAAGGAGCTGGGCTTTCTCAGTGATTCCTCCTGGGCACAAGCCCGGGAGGAGGGGGGCAAGGGAAACACCTCCCCGAAGAAGTTGGAACTACAACCCTTTTTTTCTTTTCAGGGGCCATTTGGGTTTTCTGTATGTCGCTGGCTGTGGTGGGAGGGGGAGAATCATGGCCTCTGGGAACGGCTGCTCTTGACCAAGGTGTGTGCTGCCTGCCTCCAGGTTCATGCTTCCTGATGATCCCCTTGGACGTCATGGACCCAGTCTGGACAACTTTCTGAGGAAGAAGCCGGTGGTTCCTGAGCACAAGAAGCAGCAGTGCCCTTACGGTAAGGCTGGTTTTCCCCACTCTCCATTCACCCACCCCGGCACCAAACTCTCTCCCTCTTTCTTTCTCCCTCTCTCTGGGCCAGGAGGGTTTTCCATTTTTCCTGCGGTACTTCTGCCCCACATTCAACCCCTTTTCCCTTCCCTTTCCAGGGAAGAAATGCACCTACGGCGTCAAGTGCAAGTTCTACCACCCGGAGCGCCTCAACCAGCTGCAACGCTCCGTGGCCGACGAGCTCCGCGCCAACGCCAGGCTCTCCCCGACCAGGGGTGTGCCAACGTCCAAGGAGGAGAGGGGGAGCCGGCGGCCCTCCCAGGTGGAAGCCTTGGGCTCCCTGCCCCCCGAGAGTGAGAAGACCCCCTTTCAGAAGGCTTCCGTGGACAAGAAAAGCTCCACCCACAAAGCCAAGCACGGGGAAGGCCCCACACACCTCCTGCTCAAAGGGGCCCCTCATAAGAGCAGTGGCGGTGGCACCTACCGGCCTACAGAGTGGTACCAGCCGCCGCCTCCTGCCTCTCCCCACATGGACTCCCTCTCTTACGTGTCTCAGGAGCAGTTTGACTCTGGCATCGGCTCCCTGGAGAGCCAGCTGTCCGAGATGTGGCCCAGCCCCCCAGGCAGCCACAACACTCACCCCCACCACAGCAGGGGGCAGAGGCCCACCTACCCGCACCCTCTGGGCCCTGAGTCAAATAGCTACAACTGCTACCAGCCCCAGGGCTACCACAAGTCTGTTGCGGGCTCAGGCGCTGGCTTCTTGCCCTACAACCCAGAGGTGCCTTCCTCCTCTGCCAGGGCCCTCCCTCCCTCCCTGCCCGGATACAGCCTGCCTGCTGACTCGAGGGCTTCTCTGGGGCCCAAGTACTGGTCTGAGCCCTACCAGCCAACAGCCCCCAGGGAGGGGCTGAGGGGCCACCAGCTGCCCTACGACAAGGCCTCCTGTCAGTGGGCCGCAACAGACCACTTTGCCAAGGAGCGGGCCAACGTTCACACCCGCCTGTGCGGGATCTTCCACCCTCACCTGGTGGACGCGGTCATGAGCCGCTTCCCGCAGCTTCTCGACCCCCAGCAGCTCGCTGCCGAAATCCTCACTTACAAGTCCCAAAACCCCGGGGTATGAGGTGGAGGGAAAGCAGTGGTTCGGCCCTGGAGGGAGGAAGTCCTCTTCTTGTATTGCAGGGGGCTGGACTAGATGACCCGTAGAGTCCCTTCCAACTTTTATAATTCTGCGATTCCCCTGGGAAGGTCCTTCACAAACACCAGCTGAAGCTTTGAGGCCTGAACGGGCCAGTGAGCAATTAGGATGAGGAGGGACAACCTTTCCCTCCCCTTAAAGCATTTGTTCAGAGGCAAGGCTTGTTCTTCCCATAAGAGCAATGGCACATCCGGGCAAGGGTGAAGTTGGCAAAAGGGGATCACAGGCTCTCCCATAACTTTGCTGTGATTTAAAAAAAACAAAAAACTTCTGACAACTGGAAGCCCTGAGAGCACTGCCTGTGCTCTGACTGCCCTCCTGCCTTCTCCCAGCTTTCAAAGGGCACCCACACTCCCCTGACCTCCAGAACTGGAGGAGGAGGCCTCTCTCGATATGGGGTGGAGAGTTCAGTGCTCGCTACTCCTCTAGAGGCTCAGTCTTGGTGACTGGCAAGTCCGATATTAACGGTTATAGATACTTTCGGTAATGAATATATAGCAATTGCTCCTGGTTCCTGCTTATATATTTTTTAAAAAATAAAGTGTGTGATTCACTTGCAGGACAGGAGCAGTTGATCTGTTGATGCATATTGTATCCCTCTGTATACGTTATGTATTCTTCCGTGTGGTCCTTCTAGTGGTTGACGCTGAAGCCATCCCAGGTGGCAGCTGGCAGAAGGGAGAGAGCAGAGCACAAGACCCCCTGCCCCATGAGTGGGTTTTTCTGGGGGGAAGGGATTGCTGTGACCTGCTCCTTCTTTCTCCCACGTGCCAAAGGGATAGGTCAGCCAGGCTAGCACCGTGTGCTGCAAGAGCCACCTGGACCCAGAAAACCCCGTATGCCTGGTTATATTATGATACATCACGGAACAGTGGTGTTTCATGTTAGTAAGCAAAATGCTTTTTAACTATTGTTTGTAATCTTATAACTTTGCACATTTTGTAAATTACGTGAGAGTTTGGTTTTTAATGGGATGGGATTCCTGGATGATGCTGGTTTTCCTTCCTTCTGAGGTCGCTGTCCCATAATTAGGAGTGGGCTGTTTTAAAGTGCATGGAACAGTAAAAACACTTTGGAATGTCTTGTGATCTTTCTTCTTCCTCTTCCTCTTCCTCTTCTTCCTCCTCCTCCTTCTTCTTCTCTCTCTCTCTCTCTCCCTCTGAAGCAATAACAACCGATTGTGATGCACAAATAAAAGGCCCTGGTTGTTCACATCACTCTCGTCCCCTTAATTTATTTGTTGCAATTGTATATCCCACTTTTCCTCCCAAGGGTCTGAAGGTGACATATGTGATTCTCCTCCTATTTTATCCTCACAGCAACCCAGAACTAGAAAGGCGGTGGCTGGTGGACGTTTACCCAGTGAGTTTCATTGTCAAGAGGGGATTTGAACCCCAGTCTCCCAGGTCCTGGTCCAACACTCTCACCACTACACCACACTGGCTGTCAGTGCTGTTGAAGCAAGGTGCCTTCAGGTAGAAGCAGGAGGGTGAGAGGCAATTTCTGTGGCACCCCTCCTGACACGCCAATGCTGCCCCTAGGGCTTGTTTCCTCTGTCATGGAAGAGGGGAGGGTGTGGCTGAGAAATCCTGGACTCCTGCATCATTCCAGGCGTGGTCCATGAAGCCCCTGTGAGGCCAGTGTGTGTGTGTGTGTGTGTGTGTGTGTGTGTGTGTGTGTTTGCTGCAAGATGCAAAGAAAGACATTCTCTCCATTTCCACCCCAAACTCTAGCAGCAGCTCTCGAGTCATGAAAAGGAGCCCTGCCTCTCCTGCTTCAACTTAAACCATGGAACTCACTCTCCCTGGAGGCAGTGAGGGCTGCCAACTTGGATGGCTTTGAAAGAGGAATGGGCAAATTCATGTAAGAGTGTCAGTGGCTACTAGCCATGATGGCTACACTCTGCCCTCCACAGTTGGAAGCAGCAATGCTTCTGAATCCCAGTTGCTGGAAACCACAAGAGGGGAGAGGGCTCTTGTGCGTGGGTTCTGCTTGTGAGCTTCCCATGGGTGCATCTGGCTGGCCACTGTGAGAACAGGATGCTGGACCGGATGGGCCATGGGCCTGACCTAGCAAGCTCTTCTCAGGTTCTGACATAACAACTGAATGGCTTCAAAGTTCTCCAAAGGCCACTTTTCTGAGTTTCTGCTGTGCATGGTGAGAAGGGTCCCACCTCTGTTGGGCTCGTCACCAAACTTCTGAGTGCCCAGGACTCCTCATGTGCCTCCAGTGCCAGCATGGTGTAGTGTTTAAGAGCAATAGACTTGTAATCTGGTGAACCAGGTTCGCGTCTCCGCTCCTCCACATGCCGCTGCTGGGTGACCTTGGGCTAGTCACACTTCTTTGAAGTCCCTCAGCCCCACTCAGCTCACAGAGTGTTTGTTGTGGGGGAGGAAGGGAAAGGAGAATGTTAGGAGCTTTGAGACTCCTTCAGGTAGTGATAAAGCGGGATATCAAATCCAAACGCCTCCTCTTCTCCTGCTCAGCTACAAAGAGCAGAATTGGTTAATCAGGTTTTATCCGGACAAATATTTTCTGTCCCTCCTTACTTCATAAGTAAACATAATTTAAACCCAAGAGGGAAACTGTGTGAGTTGTGCCCTAAGAGCAGAGGGTTGTTTTCAGCTGAGGAGAGTTAATTCCCCTCCCCAGCTGGACCCCCAAGTGCCCCCTCACAAGTCTGAAAAAAGAATAGAAATAGGAAACTGCTTCCAAGCCTAATTTCAGTGCTGGGGATGGGACTCTGGTTGCCAGGCAAGGCCTCTTGAGGGGCTGTGTGAACCCATGGGTGCCATGTTGGTGACCCACGGCCTAGACGACGAAACTCTTCGCTTGTCGACGTCTCGTGAGGAGAGGTTGGCGAAAACCTGCAAGGGACAGCCACAGCACTGGTGGTCAGACATGTGCTTCGTCTGCAGCTTGTCCCATGTTCCAGTCTCTGGCGCTTCCCATTACAGGAGCGGGTGGCAGAGAAGAGCCAACTTTGCCTGAGATGGCAGGAAACTCCTGCCAGTCAAAAGTGGGTACTGCTGGAGCTAAATGGAGCAACTGGCCCTGGTATGAAGCAGCGATCCCGGTGTACTTTTGCTGCTTCTGCTGCTGCTAGTGGTAAAAACATAATTAAAAAATCACACTGTGGTTTTGGGGGCAGGAAATAAGCTGCTCTCTGTCTTGAGGTGGGAGTTTCCTTGTTTGTGTCTCCGCTTTGTGCTCTGTACGCCGAGCTGAGCTTTGAACATTGGACTTTCCTCATCATGGGATGTGGCCAGTTTTGTTCAGTCTCGGGGGGGGGGGACGGGCACTGGGCTTTCCTGTGACTTCAGAGGAACTTCAGCTAAACTAAAACTGCAAGCACACCTTCTCCACCCATCCAAGGCCTGTCAGAGATTCAGCCAGAGGCTTTCAGGACTCCCGCCTGCCTGTCTGGTGCATTTGTGCGAAAGATTCTGCATTTAATTCCTTCACCACCATCTCAAGCCCAACCATTGGCCCATCTACTCTCACAGTAGGAGGTGACATAAGTTTATAAAATTATGAATAAAGTATATAAAGACATCCCCCCCCCCCTTCTTATAACTCATGGACATCCACCGAAGCTGAATGCTGGAAGATTAAGGACAGACAAAAGAAAATCTTGTTGCAGCTCACAGTTATACTATGGAACTCACTCCCACAGGGGGCAGAGATAGCCACTTTAAAAGAGGATTGCAAGTTGCTGGAAACCATAGAAGGGGAGAGGACTCTTGTGTTCGAATCCTGCTTGCAGCTTTCCCACAGGCATCCGGTTGGCCACTGTGAGAACAGGATTCTGGACCGCATGGGCCACTGGCCTGATCTAGCAGGCTCCTCTTATGCTCTTAGGACCACAACTGATGGGAGTTGTGGTTCAAAACACCTGGAGGCTGCCAGGCTAGGGGAGTCTGCTCTGCAGGGAGTACTTTCCTAGCCCTGAAACCTGCCATCCCAGGGGTTGGAAACTTTTGCAGGCCAAGCAGGTGTTCTGCAATGCAAGGCTAGCTAACATGCCATGTTGGGACAGGTTGGGGTGGGGGAGAGACTCCTGCTACTCTTTATGGATGTAGAACATGGGTAGGCAAACTAAGGGCCGGATCTGGCCCAATCGTCTTCTAAATCCGGCTTGCGGATGGTCTGGGAATCAGCGTGTTTTTACATGAGTAGAATGTGTCCTTTTATTTAAAATGCATCTCTGGGTTATTTGCGGGGCACAGGAATTCGTTCATTTCCCCCCAAAAAAACATAGTCCGGCCCCCCACAAGGTCTGAGGGACAGTGGACCGGCCCCCTGCTGAAAAAGTTTACTGACGCCTGATGTAGAATCTCCCTGCTCTCCTCCCCTGGGCCTAGGCTGGCTGGGTGGGTGCAGAGGCAATGAGCAAGGCTCTTTCCATCAGCAGATCCTGCCTCAGACTACAAGGGGTGGGGAAGGCTGCCTCCCTCTCCTCCTGGCTTCCCCCCACCCCACCCTCAGGCCTGTCTTGTGGCTCCCACCCTTCCAGAGGCCTCTCGGGCCTTCTCCTTTGGCAGTGCTGAACTTTCCCTTGAACCCAACCAGTTGCACTGCGAGGGGTTTTCCCAGCCCCAGAAATCACCTGACTTCGAAGCAACTTCCTGGAGCCTCTGTGCTGTTGCTCTTGCTGCGTGGGTGAGCAGCAGGGCAGGGCTTGTTGGGACTGGTTTCAGATTGTGTCTGTGGAGACGTGAGGCAGGGAGCTCAGCCCATCACTCAGCCTCTTGGCTTGGAGAAGCTCAGCGGGAAGGCAGAAGAAAAGGGCTTGCAAATACCTGCGATTTGGGTCTCTCTCGGTCTACCCATTGTGGGGAAAACCCCACACCCGTTTCAGCCGGAGTTTATGTAACCGCTCTGAAATGCATTTGTTTAATTTATTGGTTGCACTTTTGTACCACCCCTTTCCTCCAAGGAGCTCAAGGTGTTGTACATGGTTTCCCCCCCCCCCCATATAATGCGCACAACAACCCTGAGAGGTAGGCTAGAGTATGAGGCAGCGGCAGGCCCCAGGTCACCCAGAGAGCTTCATGGCTGAGGGTGGGGGAGGGATGTGAACCCTGGTTTCCCCGGTTCTAGTCCAACACACTAACCACTTTAGGAGCCAGTGTGGTGTGATAGGGTCTCAGTCTATGACCTGGGAGACCAGAGTTTGAATCTCCACTCGGCTATGAAGCTCACTGGGTGGGGCCAGTCCTCATCTCTTAGCCTAATCTACTCACAGAATTGTTGTGAGGATGAAATGGGGAGGAGAACCATGTACACCACCTTGAAATCCTTTGGAGATAAAGGTGGTATATAAATATTATTATTATTTATTACATGCCATACTCGGTCAATCAGCTCCACAGGTCCATCTGTAAGGACAGCCATTGATCTGCTCCCTGGAGCTTCAAGGAGGGCAGCAGCCAAGTAGACATGAGTGACTCTGATGGCTTCCAGGCTCCCTAAGAAGCTGCCTTATACTAAGTCAGACCATTGGTCCATCTAGCGCAGTACTGTCTACACTGACTGGCAGCTGCTTTACAGGGCTCCAGGAAGGAGACATTCCCAGCCCTACCTGGGGATTGAACCTGGGACCTTCTGCACGCAAGACAGATGCTCTACCACTGAGCTGCGGCCCTTCGCTATGTGAAGGTTGTCACATTGAAGGCAACAGAGGAGGAACTGCAGCATTTAAAAATTCTGCCGTCACACCTGTCCATAGGGAGATAGCTCCTTCCATCCGCAGCCTTATCTTCTGCTCACCTCTCTCTGCCTTTCCAAATACAGCTCCCTGTGAGACCAGGAAGACAAAGCAGCCTCACCCAGTCTGAGCCAATGTGGAAGGGGAATCCCCTCCTTCCCTACCTCCCCACTCCCCCCACCCCACCGTGATTATAGATCAACAAGGAAAGAGTTTCCTCTGGCCGTGGGGACAGAGACTGGGCACTGCTGAGCTCCAAGCCCAACAGGAAGCATAATCGTAAATAGGCAAAGGTTGTCCGGCTTAGTTGGGTTCCTATGATACAGGGCTAGTGTGCTTTGTAGTCCTTACCTTGGTTGACCTCTAAACAACTCAGAGTGCCGTTGTTCCCACTTTGGAGGTGGGGAAATAGTTACTAGTGGAGACAGATTGTGGTGAGAATGCTGGGCTACATGCGCCTCTGGCCTGATGCAGCAGCTAGGTTCTTCTTATGCAATGAGCTGAGCTTTGAACTGATGTTCCCATCCCATCATTTGATTCTCTGGACTACAATGATATGGAGGGGCTCCCCCTCTCCTTCTGCTGCATAGAAGGACCCCAAGGAAGCAGGCGGGTTTTTCCGGAGGAGAGCAGCAGGGCAAAGAAAGCACAGGGCAAGCCGAAAACTGCTCGGAGTCCCGTTCTTTCTAGGCACAGGGCAAGCGGAAGTGTGGACAAGCCCAAAGTCTTTCTTCACGTAGCGCATAGTTAAACTATTGGAACTCGCTCCTACAGGGAACAGTGATGGCCACCAACTTGGATGGCTCTAAAAGAGGGTTGGACAAAATCATAAGGTTATTGATGGCTACGAGCCAGGATGGCCACAGTTTGGAGGCAGCAATGCTTCTGAACACCCGTTGCTGGAAACTGCAGGAGGGGAGAGGGCTCTTGCGCTCGAATCCTGCTTGTGGGTTTCCCCACAGTGTCTGGTTGGCCTTTGTGAGAACAGGATGCTGAACTAGGCTGGCCACTGGCCTGATCCAGAAGGCACTTCTTACATTCCTATGTTCCTCCCTCCCTTGTGCTGCCCGTTGCCCCAGGCTGGCATGCTCACCTCCCTTCTGACATGGCATCCAGCTCATCCCCATTCCCAGCAGCCTTTCCACAAAACGAGATGCTTCCTGCCCTCTCCTGCATGACTCATCCTGTGCCTGGGGAAGGCAGCTGCCATCGGGCTACACCTTGCCTATCCTTTCCTCTGGAAGAGACCTGGGCGGGGAAATGCCCGTGAGAAGATCAGAAGCAAAGAGGAAGCCTCTCCTCTGATGGGGTGTGGGAGCCAGTGGCTGAGCCCTGGGCAAGCTGGAATAATAAATCGTCATCCAGGGGACCATGTGTCTGAGCATGTTCAGAGTGCATTTCTTTCTCATCCCACCTATCGCAGTGTCATGGTTAGAGTGCTGGCCTAGAGACCTGAGAGACCAAATCCCTACTCAGTCATGAAGCTCAATGGGTAACCTTGAGCGGTGACCAGTCTCCTAGCCTTACCAACCTCACAAGGTTGTTGTGAGGATGAAGAGAGGAGTGAGGGACCATGCATGTCAGCTTGAGCTTCCAATCTGTGACAGCTACGACAGCAAGCAGTACCTTTAAAGTGGGGTTTTAAATTTACTTAAGAGAGTTTTTATCATGGCCTTAACCTGATTTCCTTTCCTGCTTTTTTACAAGTCCTTTGAATTTAGGTGCATGATCCACTACATTACTGGCTTGCTTTAATGCAAGAGTTAAGCACACATGCTTCTCTCCTTCTCACTGAAATGGGCAGGGCTAAGTTGCCCTTAGCTTGGCTAGGTGGCATCACAAATTTGCAAGAGAAAGGTGTCCCTACTCCTGTGTACAAACAACAGCTCTGAGGGGAAATAATAATACAATTATAAGCAGATGGTGGAAGTTATTTCACAGCTGCTCCCTGTGATCTTTGAGAATTCTCGGAAGAGGAGTGTTGTCCCTAATTCAAAAGAGGAGGAAAGGTGGATCCAGGAAATGACAGACTAGCCAGGGCTGAACTCTGCAGCAGCACTACTAAGGGGTTGGTCTGTGAGTATCAAGAAAAGAATGCATTGATTACTAGGAGCCAGGATGAGTTTACCAAGAATAAGTTGTGCCAGGGAAACTTTATCTCCTTTGCTGATTGAGTTACTAGATCATTGGTGGGCAAGGCATGCGCACACTACATCTTGGTTTCAGCAAAGCCATCCACAAGGGCTCCCACAATCTCCTTGTTGACAACATGGTAAAAACATGGGCTAGATAATAACACTGTTAGGTGGATCCACGGGTGGTTGAGCAACCATAGCCAACGAGAGCTCACTGTGAATGGCTCTGTGTCAGCCTGGAGGGAAGTTTCAAGAGGAGTGCCACAGGATTCATAGAATCACAGAACTGTAGAGTTGGAAGGGACCCCAAGGTTCAGCTAGTCCAGCCCCCTGCAATGCAGGAACCACAGCTCTGGAATCCCTGATGGCCACCCAACCTCTCTTTAAAAACCTCCCAATGAAGGAGAGCCAACCATCTTCCGAAGGAGTCCATTCCACTGTCAAACAGCTCTTAGAAAGTTCCTCCTAAGGTTCAGTCAGAATCTCCTTTGCTGTCATTTAAATCCATTGGTTCACATCCTTCCCTCTGGAGCAGCAGAAAACAATCTCGCTCCATCTTCCCTGTGACAGCCCTTCAGGTATTTGAAGATGGGTATCATATCACCTTTCAGTTTTCTCCAGGCTAAACATCCCCAACTCCCTCAACCATTCCTCATAAGGCTTTGTTTCCAGACCCTTTATCACTTTGGTCTCCCTCTTCTGCACACATTCCAGTTTGCTAAAGACGTCAGAGACTATCTTGACTGTGAGACTGACTGACTCCAGCTACAAAAGCTGAGGCTGCTGAACAGACTATTGCACTGAGGTATTATTTAGGGGGTGTTGTTGCAGGAGGCTGTTCCTGTTCCTGGTATTATTTTTGTGTGGAAATGGTTCAATTATTTCTATGTGGGGGAAAATCAGATTTGGAACTTTTTGATTTGTAATTTGTTTGTAATTATTTGATATGTTTGTAATTTTCATGTTATAAGCTGCCTTGAGCATGTTTTGAACTATGGAAAGGTGGCATACAAATAAAAGAATGTATCTGCGTATGTATGTGGTCAATATGGTTGGAAAGTGCAAAGCATTCTGCTGCTTATCAATTTTCTAAATGACTTGTCTGAGCGTGTAGAGAAGGTACCTATCTAATCTGCAAGTTGAATGAAGCTGGGAGGAACAGCTTAAAGCACAGAAAGAAGAATCAAGTTTCAGAATGATATTGACAGGCTGGAATGTTGGACTGAAACCTACAAGATGAGATTCAGAAGAGATAAGCGTAAAGTCCTGCATTTAGGTACCAGGAATCAGGGACGCAAGTATTTTCTCCCTCTCTCACAACATCTATCTTGATCTCCCACATCAAGTATGGAGATTAGACTAGATCGCGGCCTATAACCTCCACACCACACACCACCAGCTCTGACTCAATCTGTTATGTACTGAGTTGAATAGGATCCAAACTGCAGCAGTCTGATTGGTCCTAGAACAATAGGATCCAAAATGCAGCAGTCTGATTGGTCCTAGAACAATAGGATTCAGAATGCAGCAGTCTGATTGGTCCTAGAACAATGCAACAGTATGATTGGTTGGCAGGAACCACCCAATCATGCTCCAGATATAAGTGAATCCACAACCTGATTGGCTTACAGTAGAATTCCATAATTAGCCAATCATGTGCAGCCCATTGTGTAAATAATGTATATAAAGCAGATACTTTGAGGGGACATTGATTCATTCCTCCTCACCACTATGAGCTGAATAAAGAGCATGAAATCACTTTGCGACTCTGAGTATATTTCACAATCCCTGTCACCCCATCCTTCCTCCAGAAGCTGGTCTCCATGCCCTCTTTAAATCTGAAAGCAGGGAGACCTTTTAGAATTAGCCAGCTAGCCAGCAAACAGAGAAGGCTATGGGTGCCACCTAGCGGCAGCACCCTCTATAGCACCAAAAGCACCACAGACCATGGTCAGAATGCAGGCAGAGAGAGGTGCCAACCCACCAGTCAAGAACACACACAAATGTTGTGTATCCCCCTGCCCCATTCCTGTTTGCATCCATCTGTTGGAGACCCTTGGAACTTTATCTGATCAAAGCCCCCATAGCCCGGAGTTTCTTTTGAATCTCAGGCAAGAAAATTCTCATGGAGGACACGACTCCAAATGGGCCTAGTTACAGACCCTCCAAGTCTTCCTCTTTTCCAGGGACATCCCTGATTTAGAGAAGCCGTCCCAGTTTCTGATTTGATCCCGGAATGTCCCACTTTTCCTTAGGATGTCCCTAATTTCATTGGAGAAATGTTGGAGGGTATGGAGTTATCTGACCCGCCCCCCCCCCCCAGCCACCTGAAGGCAACCCAGTATAGCCCAGAGGCCCCCTTGTCACAAAGGTTCTGGCTTTAGGATTATTTAGGGTTGCCATACATCCAGAATTCCTCGGACATCGCTGGGATCTGGCCATCGGAAACAGTGTCCAGTGTCTCTGGACTGTCTGAACCGCAATGCACAGGATGGCTGCCTTTCCCCACCTCTCTGCTTGCCACCCTCTGGGATGCTGTTGCTTCCACATTTGAGGAATGCCAGAAAGGAAGCTCACAGCCTGCGGCGTCTACACTCTGGAACTCCCTGCCTATTGACATCAGGCAGAGGCCTTCATTGCACTCTTTTCCGGCACCTGCTCAAAAGCTCAACAACTTTTGTGTCCAGATTTTCACTTTTTGAAATATAGCAACCCCTAGATTATTTAATCCTGTTTATTTTATCAGTGAGCCTGTGCAGTCCAGGGGGCTAGGGACAGAGACGTGGGTTCCAGTTCTCCTTCCACAAGGGGCTCTTTGTGCAACTTTGAGCATGCCTCTCTTGTTTTCAGCCGCCTTCTGTTTCTAGTCTGTAAGACTAGGGAGAGGGAAGCTCTGAAAGGAAGCAGAACAATATACAGGTGGTGAAACATATTGCAGGCTGAAACTCACAGCAGCAAAGCCCATTTGGGAGAAACCAGCTTCTTGCCTACTTCCACCACCCCTCCGGCATCTCGCTACCCTGCAAGTTCTCCTCCTCTGCCACCTTATAGCTTCCCCTTCCATCACCAGCTTGAGATCCCCTCTCCTTTGGGCTCACTTGCCTGCTGCAGCCTGTGTCCTCTGGCCACCAGCCTCTGTGTAGCATCCCAGGGCCTCTTGGGCATCACTCTTCCCTTCCATGTCCTGCAGCCACAGAGTCTGGTCCTGCCTTTGGAACTGCACCAAACAGAGGGCTTGATTCATTCATTTATTATTTTACTTGTTGCATTTATATATCACTTTTTCCCTCCAAGAAGCTCAAGGTGGCCTATGCGGTTCTTCGCCCACCCCCTCCATTTTATCCTCACAACCACCCTGTGGGGTAGGTGCAGGCTGAGAGGCAGTGACTGACCCGCAAGGTCACCCAGTGAGCTTCATGGCTAAGTGGTGATTCGAACCCAGGTCTTGGCCCTACACTCTTAACGCTACACCACATCAGCTTGGCTGACACTGATGGTCTGCTGTGCAGCCCGTTCTGCTCAGGAGCGGCCTGCGTCTCCCACAGCAACCACAAGGGAGGTAGAGGAGAGATCAGCCAGCTGGGGAGGGGCTGGGCTGGCTGCTGCCAGTTGAGCGAGTGTCACTTCTGTTGCCATGGATGGACACCCAGCAGGGGCAGGGTAGACTGAGAGGTGGGAGACTGGACTCAGGGTTGTTGCAGAGGAAGAAGGGTGGGATATGAATTTCAACAAGAGATGATCTGTAGGGTGGGGGGACCAGTATGAAGTTCTGCTGCCCAAACCCATTAGCACAGCTTGAACGCAGCTTCCATTCTCTCCCTTTGGTGGGGCTTCCCCAGACGACCTTCCCGCTGGTGGTCTCCAGCCTGTCCTCAGTTCAGGATGGCCTTAGCTCTTGGAATTTGCGAAATAATAATTGCAAAAATAAACCCTTGTCTTGGGGCACAGGTACATGGTGGCCCTCGCATTAGGAGTGGCCCTCCAGATATAGAATCATAGAACTGTAGAGTTGGAAGGAACCTCAAGGGCCATCTAGTCTGCACTGCAGGAATTACAGGAATCCCTGTCCATCCACCTCCAATGAAGGAGAGTCCATCACCTTCCCAGGTAGCCCATTCCACTGAGACTCCAATTTCCATCAGCCCCAGAACAGCCAGGGAGAATGGCAAGAGCTGCAAGTCCTGACAGCTTTGGGGGCGGGGTACAGATGTGCCCCCCACCCCTGCCCTACCATCTTTCCAGCTGAAGAGGAGCCTTGAGGAAGTGGCTCCTGGGACAGGCCCACCTGCACAAGCAGTTCTTGCTGCTCCCTGAGCAGCTCCAGGTAGCGGCTGCTCCACAGGAGCTTCTCAGCTCGCAGCTCCTGGCTGATGTGCTGCACCTCGGCCTCCAGACCCACCAGCTGCCCCAGCATGGCGCTGCTGGACTCCTGGAGCATCTGCACCATCTTCCCCAGTTTCTCAGCACCTGGAAACACCAAGATCATAGAATCGTAGAGAAGGAAGGGATCAAAGGGTCATCTCTAGTCCAACTCCCTGTGACGCAGGATGTTAGATACCTCGCCCCAACTGCCTCTGCCTGTGAACTTCAGGCAACCCCCAGACAAGAAACCCAGAGGTTGGTGGCAACAGAGCCTTTGCAGAAGGTCCCAACCTTAGTCCCTGGCATCTTCTGCTAACACAATCCCAAATTGTAGGGGGAAAGACCCTTCTCTTGCCTGAGACCCTGGAGAACCATTTGCTCCTAAGGTGGACAAAGCTGGTTTCCATGGACTAATGGGGTGGAATGGAAGGAGATGCCATTGGATCTGGCCACACGGGGGCCCATCTAGCCCAGCATCCTGTCCTCACAGTAGCCAACCAGAGGTCCCCAAAGGGAAGCTCACAAGCAAGATTTAAGAGCAATGGCCATCTCTCACTCTTGCTCACCACCATTCCATGATTCTGTCCATGAAAGTTCCATTTAGGAATCATAAAAGAACTAAGAGGCCTGCAGCAGCTGGATCAGGCTAAAGGAGGCCCATGTAGTCCAGCCTCCTGTTTTCACTCTGGCCAACCAACCTCATGCCCCAAAGGGAAAACCGAAAGCAGGCCTTGAGTGCAACAACAGCACTCTCCCCACCAAACTATGGCACACACTCTTGAAGGCAGTGATGGCTACCCACTTGGATGGACAAATTTGTGGAGGATAAAGCTACCAAAGGCTACTAGCCACAATGGCTGAGTTCCACCTTCACTGTCAGAGGCAGCATGCCTTGGAATCACAGGTGGGCAGGCTCCTGCTTGTGGGCTTCCCACAGGTATCTATTTGGCCACTGTGAGAATGAGATTAGATGGGCTCCTTTGCACAGAGAGCAGGATGGAAGGCCAGCCCTTGTATGAGAAGATGTAACCCCTTCATCTCGCTCCCTTTCCCCCCCTCCAACATGCCCATCATAAGTCTACAAACCTGCCTCTTGGGGCTCAGGGGTTGTTGGTGAGGAGAGGAGCCCATCTCCTTGGTGGGCTTCACCGATGTCCTCTAGCCATGAAGTCATTGAGGAACAAGCCTAAGACATCAGCAGAGGGTGAGAACATCAAACTCAAGGTTTTGTTGTGGATTGGGGGGGTTCAGTCTAGTCCCTTCCAATTCTTGGGGTCCTGTACCCAGTGAGAGTTAGTTAGAGTTTGCTAAACTAGTCAGACAAGTTTCTTTGTAAAACAGTGGCCTTAGCTGGCCACTCATCAGCATCCCAAAAGAATGAGCCAGGTAGCAAAAGCTACAGCTGAGTGATGGTTCCCACTGGGTTCCCACTGAGCTTACATCCACCACCATTCCTAGCTGCTGGGTAGGAGAACAGCAGCCAGAGCGAGCTGGAAGCTGGAGACGCAGAGACATGCTTCCACTATGCTGGATCCAAAGCTGTGACAAATGGAGAAGCAAGATCTGTTGGGGTGTTGACATTGTGAGACCCTCCATCTTCATCCTCAGGTTGTATATATGTGTAAATAAAGCTATGTGCTCTAAAGACACCACAGTCTTCTCTAACCTTCATTCCAAGAAAACTAAGCCCTGGATAAGCTCCTGGAACACCAGGATTCTCTCACGATTTGGAGACTGGGTATAACAGTATTTTTAGACCCCCTGCCTTTATAACACTCTGACACCCCGAAGGCTGAGGTGTCTTTTTAGCTTGGATAGAGGTGGCATTGGGGTGGGGGGTTACTTGCAAGATTCAGGGCTGTTACCTCCTGCACAAGGTCAAAGGCGGCTTCCCAGCAGAGCTTGTAACAGAACAAGATAACCTGTGGAGGTGGAAAGAGAGAAGTTAGAAAGGCAAGGAAATCCCACCCACCCCATTTCTCACCTGAGGGTGCATTACCTGCCCTACCAATCTGCCTCAGATTTACAGCATTATATCTGCCAGGGCTTCCCCAAAAGAATCCAGGGCATTGCAGTTTGGTGAAGTGCAAACCTCTGAACCACAATGTGCAGCATGGCTGCCTTTCTCCACCCCTCTGGGATGCTGTTGCTTCCACATTTGAGGAATGTCAGAAAGGAAGCTCACAGCCTGTGGGGTGTACACTCTGGAACTCCCTGCCTATTGATATCAGGCAGGGACGTTCATTGCACTATTTTCTGGCACCTGCTAAAAACATTTTTGTTTAGACAAGCCTATGCAGATGCTTAGAAAGCTGGTGTGGGATTTAATCTGTTTTATTGGTTTTATCTTTTGAATGTTTTGTGTTGTTTTAAAGTTGTTTTTCTGATAAATTTATTGCTGTATTCTCTTTGTAAACCACTTTGAGGGTTGTTGTTTTTTACAATCAAGCAATAGATTGGTATTATGAAACAAATAAATAAGGAGTAGGAAGTAGAGTTTAAAAAACATGACACAATTAACAAGGGAGTTTAAAACCCACACACAAACCCCACAGAACCTCCCCCAATTCACTCTAACCCATACCCTCCAACATTTCTCTGATGAAAATAGAGACATCCTAAGGGAAAGTGGGACATTCCGGGATCAAATCAGAAACAGGGATGGCTTCTGTAAATCCAGGACTGTCCTTGGAAAATAGGGAGGGTCTGCTAACCAACATGCAAACTTTTCAAAATTTAAAAGTGAAATGTATGTACTCTAACTCCTTCCCCACCAAACGATTTTGAGAGCCAAATGTTACTCTGGAAAAGCCATTACTAACTGGAATGTTGTTTCTTCTTGAAAAACAACAACAAACCCTGTCCATATTGCATCAAGGGGTCAGTTGCGAGCCCACAACACTGGCAGAGATGGAGGTGTGGCAAGTGCCTAAATGGTGCCATTTCCCCCCTGCCTACCCCACCGCAAAAGTTCAGCAAGGTCCGTTTGTGCAAAGGCAAAACTCAGTGATCTGAAAGGCTCCTCCCCTTTGGCTGACTGATCCCAGAGGGAAAAACACGAGCTGGTGTTGTTTCACCCAGTCACAGGACTACTCCCAGCCTGCTAATGGAAATCCTACACTACTCCACATATACTAACCCACACAGCTCGCCAGAGGAGAAGAAGCCCATCCAGGGCTTTTGGCACCAGCGCCAAAAGCAACTTGAAGCCAGCTCTGGGGTGGAGCAGCCTCTTGTGGGGCACCATGGCGCCTCTGCAGAAGAAAGAAGAGAAACTGGGTCTCATAAACACCAAAAAGGCAGGAAGTGCCCAGGATCAGCTAATGACTACATCACATCTTCTTTCCTGATATTTGTCATGGATGACATTGCATCTCTCTCTCTCTCTCTCTCTCTCTCTCTCTCTCTCACACACACACACACACACACACAGAGAGAGAGAGAGAGAGAGACCGACCGACAGACAGACACACACACACACACACACACACACACACAGGCATGTTGTGCAGAATTTGCCTCCTGCCCCCAGGATGCCTGCCTTGACCCATCCCACCCAGCAGAGTGCCATCTTCACCTGCTCTCGCTCCACTGCTGCAAACAAAACCAGGTGCCCAAGACAGAGACTGGGATTGTGGCTTCCCCTCTGGGATACTGCCTTGGGAGGGATAAGCACCTGCCTGACCCAAGAGGATCAGTGCAAGAGAGGAAGGGGGATTAGCCCTTTCATTAGGTCTTAATCTCGCCTCTCCTTGCCTCTCATTTCCAGGCATTGCTGGTGCTCTGTTAACAGGTTACCGGGCTCCCAAACCTCAGGTCCCAGCCACACCTGAAGGCCCACAGAGCCACTCGCTTGCTGAAAGCTAAGCAGGGCTGGCCAGTGGCTGGCTAAGAGACCTCCCACGAACCACACAGACACTGCCTGGGGCTCCAAGATGGAAGCAGTTCTTGCTGCTAATGCAGACTGGAGCTCTGCACAATTTGCAAGCTCCTAAGGGGCACAGAGGAACGTGGGTGGCACTGTGGGTTAAACCACAGAGCCTAGGACTTGCCAATCAGAAGGTCGGTGGTTCGAATCCCTGCGACGGGGTGAGCTCCTGTTGCTCAGTCCCTGCTCCTGCCAACCTAGCAGTTCAAAAGCACGTCAAAGTTCAAGTAGATAAATAGGTACCACTCCAGCGGGAAGGTAAACGGCATTTCTGTGCGCTGCTCTGGTTCGCCAGAAGCGGCTTAGTCATGCTGGCCACATGACCCGGAAGCTGTACGCCGGCTCCCTCAGCCAATAAAGCGAGATGAGCGCCGCAACCCCAGAGTCAGCTACGACCGGACCTAATGGTTGGGGTCCCTTTACCTTTAAGGGGCACAGAAGTCCTCTCAGAGGGGAGCAAATCTCCCTTGGGCATCTCTGCAAAGGAAGCCTTCATGAGGGAGGCTCACAGATATTAGTTCTCTTTGGTGCAGATGCCTGACCTCAAGGAGAGCTAGACTCATTACTTGCCAAGAGCCAGGTTCATACCTCCCCATTGCAAATCCCAAACACAGTCACTCTACAAGGAGCCACGCAAGGAGGCTTGCCAGTTTGCGGGGGTGAGGGGAGTGAAGTCTCCCCACCCTTGTCCCAAGGTGAAGATGCCTCCACTTCCTTGTAGAGACAAGCAACTCACCCAGGGTCAATATTTAAAAAGTTTAATACAGTAGTTCCCAAAGTGGGTGGTAGTTTTTATTTTTGTAAACAGCTTTGATATACTTTGGATGATATAGCGGTATACAAATATTTTTACAAATAAATAAGGATTGATCTTCCTCTTCCTGGCTGCAATACAAAATTGCAGTAATAATAAATCAACTGAAAATATGCTGCCTTTACTTAACACCCAATATCTTCTGCCTATGTTGGCTGCCTTACTCTGCCTAATGTCAGGGCCCAGCCCCAGAAATTCCCAATACTTCCCATGGGAACCCCATTAGAAGCCAGGTGTCCCAGTGCATTTTGCCTAACTTGTTATCCTCCTTTCAATGGCTTTCTTGCCATCTTTACTGCAGTGTAAGTTTAAATGCTAAGGGGTTCCAATGTGGCAAAGGGAGGTGACTTGTGATTTATCTTGGTGTTGGTGCGAGGTTTGGTTGTAGGGTCTGACTTTTAACATCTAGGCTGAAGGCACTCTTGGCTGGTTACTTCCTAGCTGGATTCCTCTGTCTGAGTTGCCTTTGTTTAAATGCTGATTGGCAGGGGGAGGAGTGGCGAGAAAAGGGGATGGGCCAGAGGGGAGGCGAACAGCAGACTTGTCCATGAAGGTGGTTGCACACATTTCACACACCTGCCCAGGTGATGCTCCTGCAGCTTCGGTCACAGAGATTTCTCCACCATTCCCGTAATTTTGAAACCTTGAAATTCAGGGAGGTGTGACAACAGAGTGCAAAACTGGAACAGCCCAAATGATGAAAGCAGAACTGGGTGACTTTCAGGTGCTTGTTTTGGAAATCCATGTCTCTGGTTCCTTTGCTCCCTGCTAACAAGAAGGTGCCAAATCCCACGACCACCTGGCATCCCCACGTCTCAGAAGGCCTCTCCCAAGTGCTTCAGGCTGGATCCATGAACGGCCACAATCAGGTGAGCCGACAAAACTCGCCAGCACAGTCATCAGAGAGCTCCCTCCCAAGCCCCCCTCCCCAGCACTTGCCCAGGTGACCTGCTAGGGCCTGCTTGCCTCTCCCCAGAGCTCTTGGCTGCAAAAGGGCTTCCCTGTCTTGATGCAATGGTGCCTTGCAGACCACCACCAGCAGGATCTGGCCCTGACCCAAGCTGGCTGGCCAGCTAGGTCTCCCACCCCCACCCCCAGAATAAGACATGCCTCCTGCTCAGAAACAAGCTCAGTGAGATGGAAGTTTGATGGCTTTATTTACAAACAAAAGACAGAAGTGTTTTTTAAAAAGAGAGAGACTCTGCCCCCACCGCCTTCATCCCTCTCAAGCATCAGGAGAATTAAATAGTCACCTTCCTGCTCCAACCCGCTGCCTCTTTGAAGTAGTTCCCCCAGCATCACCACAGTCAGGCTCCAACAAGAGGGAAGAGGACCTACATAGACAAGGGGGCAGCACAGCTGGACCATTTCTTTTCTTTCTTTTTTTTAAAAAAGTTGTAATTTAAATATCAAGGTTTGTTGTTGTTGTTGTTTTTTAAAAAAGCAACATCATGAGACCAAAAAATGGGTTATAATCAACCAGAAGAAACAGAAGGTAACATCAACAAGAGCATTTCCTGATGGTTATTTTACACATGATGAAACAGCAGCAGTGAGGCTGGCCAATCCAAGGTGGGCGTCTGTCGCCGAACAGCTGAGAAGGAAGGAAGCAAAGAAGGAGCAGCTGCTGCTGCTGTCACAGATTGTCCCCATCAACATCATCTGAGCTGAGCTGAGCCAGGAGACCTGGGCAGTCTGGGATGGGAAAGAGCTGGCCTTGTGCTTATTCAGTCTCCTGGTGAGGGCTGGGATTTGGGGCGGAAGGCAGACAGGCTCTTGGAAGATTCAGCTTGGAGGCATCTAGTAATCCTGTGGCAGGAAAGAATAAGGTGGCAGGGCATCAGGACAGCTGCTCCCACAAACTGCTGCTTCAGAATCCCACCCCACTCTTTGCATTCAGTGTGGGGAGAGGGAGGAAGATTTAGCTCAGCAGGGGCAATGCCAGAGAGAAAGGCGGATGTAAACACTGCCTTTGGTGAAAACATGAGAACGTAACTGCCTGCTGGTTCAGGCCAACAGCCCAACTAGTCCAGCATCCTCTTTTCACAACGGCCAACCAGATGTTGCAGTGGGAAACCAGCAAGCAGGACCCAAGCATAAAAGCAGTCTCCTCTCTACGGTTTCCAGCAACTGGGATTCAGAAGGATTACTGCCTCCAATAGTGGAGGCAGAGTGCAGCCATCACGGCTAGGACAACCCTTTCCATGAATTTGTCTAATCTTTTAAAGCCACCCAAGTTGGTGGCCATCCCTGCCTCCTGCTGAAGAGAGTTCCATAATTTAATTCTGTTTAGCTGTGTGAAGAAAAACATCTTGAAGCTTAACCACTTAGACTCATTGCCCTCTATTCATTAAGTGGAGGACGAGTAGAGGAAGGATTCACCCTTTAGTGAAAAGATGGGATTTGTCTTAACTCCTAATCCACCCTCCCCATAACAGAATTCTGCCATTGAAAGAAGAACTGGGTGAAGAGGGAGGGCAGGGGATTGAAGGTAGGGGGTGGAGAAGGGCATTCCAAGGTCAGAGGATGATACTTACAGCTCGGGGCTTTTTGTTCAATTTGAGATCAATCCTGCAAGGAAGGAAAGAGAAAGAAGCTTTCAGATGAGATTCAGGGAAAAGTCAGATCAAAAAACCAAGCCACAGAATGTGGTTAATTTGTCCCCAGTTGCCAATTCAGCCAGGCCAAAGCAGAATCTGCCCCCACCCCAACAACATACCCCAACCCTGCACAGAAATGCAGTTTATACCCACACAATCAGAAGGAAAATGAATTAGAGAGTTAGCCAGCATCCATAGACTGAGTTAACATGTCATGCGCTATGTTAGCAGGTTAAAGAGTGCAGCTCTTTTGAGGAGAGAGCGGATGTCAGATTGAAAGAGGATTTGGCTACCCCAGCCAAATCAAAGGCCTCATGTTTCTCTGCAGCGGGGCGGAAAAAAGGCCAAGTCCAACATGGGCCATTGGCTTCAGAAAAGCAAAGCAAGAAAAATCAAGTTTTCAAAACCCCAACAGAAGTTTATCTGCTTTTTAAAATGATGTAAAGGAAGCGGAAGAAGGAAGCCGATTGAATATTGCCAAGGTTATTAAATAAAAAGTTACCTCCAATGCGCTTTTGTCTGTATTTTAAAAAACTTGCCAGCCTAACCTAATATACATACCTACAATTAAACAGATAAACTATGGGTTAGAATAGCTTTGACCAGGCATGGCGGGAGGGAGGAGTGGGGGGGGGGAGGGAAGAGATGAAAGCAGGGGAGGGGGGTTGGTGTGGAGAAAGGTCTACGGACTATAAACACAGCACAAGAACTAAGTCAAGTCAAACTTACTCAAAGTCATAATCAAACATGCCAGACGGGCTGAGGGGGCAGCATTTGAAAGGAAGAAAGCAACAGACATTAATATACTAAGGAATTAAAATTAATTAGTCGATTAGCCACCCTAGCAAGTTTATTCAAAAATAAAAACAGAGCCAGTGGCGATGATCCAAACTTCAGAATAGGGCACCTGATGACCAAGCACCGGCCTTTAAAATCCCTCCCTCTCCCCCCCCCCCGCCCCACTCCCAGCCTCTCAGCCTGGCACCCCACAGATTCCACCTCCCACCCCACAAGCTCTGTGGAGCATTCCTATGGGGCTCAAGGGGAGAAGAGCTGCAGGGGGAGGGAACAGGCAGGTGAGGAGGAAGAAGGATGATGGGGAGGGGGGCAAAGGCAGCTCTTAAGGGCAGAGTAGCAGTGGGTGGGAGGGAGCTGACACGGGAAGGTGGGAGAGCAAAGGCAGGAATAAGCAGCACCAGAACGGATTCGGTCCCAGACATTCACGCACATGCCAGCCTCACTCACAAACCCCGGTCTGGATTCTTGGGGGATTGGGATTTTCAACAGACCGGTCAAACACAGCATGGCTATGAGACTCCCGGTCCGGAGCACCCAGGAGGAAGGGAAAGCCTGAAGCGCCCCACAACATCAGTGGTTTTTAAACAGAGGTTGGAGGGCCATCATCTGTCGGGGATTCCTGAGCTGCAACTCCTACACTGCAGAGGGTTGGAATCCTGGAATCCTGTCCAGCTCTATCATCTCTGTAAATCTTTGATTCTACCCAGCTGCCAGATATTCTGAATGCCCACCTAGGATGTGAAACTGTGGCAGACTCCCATTTTCCACCCCTCGTCCCCCTTTCCCACCACTACTTTTTGCACTTTCCTAGATTGCACTTTCTCTATGGGGCAGGTCCCTGCCCTCTCACTCTTACAGAGCAGCCTGGACCCAGATGGGGCTATGCCAATAGCCATAACATGCTGCAGTTAGAGGTGGCATTTCACCTGCATTTTCCATCTGACATCTGCTCAACGGAGGCCTCTTTCCTATTTGAAGTTGGGCCCTTGGCAAACCCCCACTAATTTAGGAGCATCCCTTGCTGTGGACCTGAACTGCACCCCTGGGGCGGCTTCTTTTCCCCCCTGCAACCCATAAATGGGTTTGCTCAAGAGGGTCAGCATGGAGCAGTGGTGAATCAAATGCCCGGCTCCAAACAGTGAGTCGCCGGGTGAACCATGCCTAACCTACTCCCAAGAGCTGCTGAGAGGATAAGAAAGAACCATAATTGTCACCCTGAGCTCCTTGGAATGAAGAATCAAAATTTACTAAAATAAAGCTACCTCCCTCTACGTTATTGGTGGGGAACTTTTGGTCCACCAGGTGACCCACCACGGTGTTTTGGGTGCCATTCCAGCAGTGGGAGAGCTGAGAAGCAGAGAATGATTGGCTCTGCTGGGACAGGCCAGCCCCATCGGGCCTCCTCTGCCCTCAACTGTCACCTGCAGGCAGCCATTCCCCCCAGGCTGCCTCTGTGGGAGAGATGGGTGCCAGCAAGGCTCATTTCATCAGCTTTGCTAGAGGCCTAGCTCCATCAGGCACCTCCTGCTCCTGAACTGTGCCAGCTGGTCAATATAGGAACAGCTGTGCAGAAATCAGTACCCAAGTTTTCGTTTTCATTTTCCTCTTCCCTCCCTGTTCCGTTTCCCTTGCATTTCATGGCTTGTTTGTTTTTAACAGACTGTAAGCCTGCAGGTAGGGATTGTCTTGTCTTGTCTTGATCATATGTACTCTAGTGGCCAAAATTGTGGAAACCTTTTGGAAAAAGTGCATTTCTGAGGTTTGATGGCTCATAACACTTCTTTTTTGGAGTAATACCATAAAATTATATATCAATGGAAAGATAATTTAATGAATATAATGCAATAACTTTTATGAAGGATTATTTATTACAACAGCAGTCATAAAGAAGAAACGTGAAACACATAGAAAAAATGAGATATGCAAGAATTCTCACCATGTCAGTTAATACTTAGTTGGGTAAACTTTAGCTTTAATTACGGCATTACGACGCCTTCCTATGGAGTGAACCAAGTTTTTTAGTTCTGCAGCTGTAATAATGTGAAACCAAGATTGAATTATTGCCTCTATTAATTGGGTTTTATTGCTGGGTTGCTTTTGACTAACAAGTTTCTTTAGTTGGCTCCATAGATTTTTGATTGGGTTAAGGTCTGGGCTATTCCCAGGCCATTCCAGCAGTGGAATATGATTATCTTGAAACCACCTTTTGCACACAGCAACATGACATGGAGCTAAATCCTGCTTAAATATTAAATAAATATTTACAGTGGTGCCCCGCAAGACGAATGCCTCGCAAGACGGAAAACCCGCTAGACGAAAGGGTTTTCCGTTTTTGAGTTGCTTCGCAGGACGAATTCCCCTATGGGCTTGCTTCGCAAGACGAAAATGTCTTGCGAGTCTAGAGATTTTTTTTCCGCTTTTCCCCCCCTGTATCTAATCTGCTAAGCCTTTAATAGCCTTTAATAGCCTTTTAGCAGCTAATCCGCTAAGCCTTTAAGCCTTTAATAGCCGCTAAACCGCTAATAGCGCTAATCCGTTAAGCCGCTAATAGGGTTGCTTCGCAAGACGAAAAAACCGCTAGACGAAGACTCTCGCGGAACGGATTAATTTCGTCTTGCGAGGCACCACTGTATATAAATGCTTCATTGTCTGGGAAAAGATCATGTGTAGAACGCTTCAGTTCGGGCTCAGGTATTTCATTTATGTATTTTGGGGCATTTACATTCCCATTAATGATGCAAATTCTGCCCACAGCTTTTGCTGTCATACAACCCCAGATCATAACACTAACTGGGTGTTTCACGGTAGGTGTAATGCAAGTAGGATGCAAATCTTCTCCGATTCTTCTCCTCACGTATTTCATGCCATCACTACCAAGCAAGGAGATTTTGGTCTCATCACTCCAAATAACACTGTCCCACTGTTCTGCTGTCCAGTTGGGTTTTAGCCCAGTTTAATCTTTTCAGCCTTTGAGAAATAACTGTGGCTTCTTCCTTGGAATTCTAGCATTTAGAACATATTCCTGCAGTCTGCGCCAAACAGTCCATGCACTCAACTTCACATTACATTGCGCCATGTCATCTTGTATACACCCAGATTATTTTTCTGCCACGTAGCCACAGTCTCTCAATTCTTCTGTTGTTACTTGCTGTTGTGCACCTTTTCCTGCCTTTACCAGTCTGATTTTGCAGTGACTGAGTCTCCTTATACCTCTTCAAAAATTTAGAAATGCCACCTTTAGTTAAGTTTCCACCAATTTTTCTTCTAATTTCTTCATAACTGTAGCCTTGTTCACTTAACAGTACTATTTTACATCGCTTTCTGGGTTACCAGTCAACTCTTTGCACCATTTCTTTAATTTTATTACGTTTTACAAGCTCACTAAATGAAAGAACACAAAAAAACCAACCAACTCGATAGCAATCACCTAACACACTGACCAATGTCCTCCTCTCAGCTCCAGTACATAACATCAACAGCTGAATCCTACTGTGACCTGATTGGATCATTGCCAAAACAAGACGACACCTGATTGGCTCTCTAAACACTCATGCTCATTGGCTACATTCAAATGAAGGAACGCTACTGCATATCAGCCTAAGGAAGTTGTGCTTCCCTTTTCTGGTTATTTGGGTATAACTTTTTACAGAATACAGGTAAGTGAACTTAATGTTGCATTCTTCATTAAATTATCTCTCCATTGATATATAATTTTATGGTATTACTCCAAAAAAAAGCGGTGTTATGAGCCATCAAACCTCGGAAATACACCTTTTCCAAAAGGTTTCCACAGTTTTGGCCACTAGTCTAAGCTGCTCTGGGAGTCTTTGGGGCTGAAGTGTGGGACACAAATGCTCCAAACAAAACAAACAAAATAAACCACGCCTACCTTTCCCAGCCCTGATGGCAGGTGAATCAGATGTAAGAAAATTCAAGGTAAGGCTTGAGACCTCAAGCTGGAGCCCCCTCTAAGTGCTCTCACCCCCGACTCTTCCTTTACAGGCAAAATGGGCTGCTTTTTAACGGAACATCTTCGTCTATTGCCCTGCACAGTAACAGGAAAAGGGCAGGATTTTGCCTGTAAAGGAAGAGTCAAGAAGGTACCTTCTCCTGCTTCCTCTTCCTTTGCAATCACACCTTGAACATCCTATGACCTGTTTTATTTATGTACAACAGTCCTACCCCACCTCCTTCCATCCAAGGAATTCAAGGTGGCATTGGTTGGTTCTCCCTCTGCACATCTTATCCTCACAAGAACCCTGTGACGTAGATTAGCCTGGGAACAGGGACAAGAGCCCCCAAGGTCACCGAGTGGGAGCTTCATGGCTGAGTGGGGATTTGAACTCTGGTCCCCCAGGTCTTAGTCAAACACTCTAACTCTGCGGTTCCCGAAGTAGTGCCCCTTGGGGGACAGTGTGATTCCTTAGGGGGGCACTAAGAGGCAAAGGGGTGGAGGGGGGAGGCCGCTAGAGGTGTAAATAACACTCAGACTTCGAAAAGCTGGTATCAATGTATCAAGTTCATCAGTTTTCTTGAAATAATTAAGCTAAATAGCGTTAACTGGATTTTGAATAAATGTGCAATTAACTGTTACTGTTTTGAATTCTAGTGTGTTATTATCTACCTTAACGGGTCATGCAAACCACTATTTTGAATAATGCTTTTTACAGAGTAGGGGGCACTGGAGATGAGGTTATGGAACCAAGGCAGCAGTGGCCTGAAAAAGTTTGGGAAGCACTGCTCTAACTGCTGCACTGCACTCCCCCTGTCCACCTGTCAAAGTGGCCCGAAAATCCAGTCCCCCAGCCCTGCTCTGTGCCATCAAGAGTCCTCTTCAACACCCACCTCAAAAGAAAGATTTGGTAGGGTTAGACTCTCCTTCACGGGAGGTTTTTAACCAGAGGTTGGACAGCCATCCCGCAGGGGTTCTTTAGCTGCGATTCCTGCGTCACAGGGGGCTGGACTAGATGCCCTTTGGGGGTCCCTTCCAACTCTACAATTCTATGATTCCAAGACCAAAACATGTGCCAAGCCAGAGGGGGAAATCCTCTGGCAGGGTATTTGCCCTTCAAGAGAAGGTGCCCTCTAAACCCCCCAACTCCAGCTCAGCCCACACACCTGGCCCTCGCCCACCTCACCTGTGTCGATTTTTGTTCTTCCGTTTTTTGTGGCTACTGTGGTGGCTGCCCGAAGTGGAGGATGCCGCCTTCTGGGGCTTCACCCCTTGGACGGAGCCGTCCAGCTCTTCGGCTTCTTCTTGGCTCGGTTCGTTCTCCTGGTTGTGGAAGTCTGGGGAGGTGTCACTCTCCGTCCCGCTGCCAGGCTCCCCTGAAGGAGAAATCCAGGCATGCCTCAGAGCTCGGAGAAACAGCTGTTCTCATTGGCTCTGGTCAGAAGGCCAGCCCCCAGGGGTCAGGAAGGAAGCCCCCACAGCAGGGGGGAAATGCGCTTTTTGCAGCCACACCTGAATTATCAATTTACTTTTTTTATCATTAAAAAAAAATCATTATATTTCTAACCTATTCTTATCTCAGAAAACTCAGAGCACGATGGAAGAGTAAATAAGTGAGAAACACGGGCCGATTTGGGTGATGCAAGGGTTGCCCTTCTCCTTGATGCACTAGCTTTCCACATGAAAGGCCTAGTGTCAGCCAAATGTGCCGAATTAGTAGATATTCTCACTGGTCTGTTTTGTTAGACCTTATACTTACACAGAAGAAAGACCTGCACATGCAGACAATAGATTCTATGTGCTATGGTCATCTAAATGATATAAATCAGCCTCAGCTTACATGAGGGAGTGTTCCATGGAAATCCTATGCAGATGGCACAACGTACCAATGCAAATTACTGATGTGATGCCAGAATTGTTAGTGGGGATGTGGGGAAAGAAGCACCTTCCTCCACCCGTGGTGGGACTGCCCACAGGCATTCAAATGCTGGACAATTGGTCAAGAAATGACCAAAATCCTCAAAAATCCCAACACAACTTCACTGCAGCTTTAATTACTAAATCTGTGGGAAGAGCAACTCAGTTTTCAGCTCTCAGGGAAAACCTTGCAGGACTTGTGACTTCTGCTTTGGTATAAAAATATGTGAAGTTTAGCATTAGCTGAAAAAAATAACTCCTAAATTACTTGCTGGCAAAAGCTTAGAGGACCCTGAAAAAATTTACACTGCTTGGTGGGATATTATATTATACATAACAAGCACACGGGACTCTCTCTCCACAGCACAATATGAAATTCAGCTTTCCTAATGGTCTTAAGTATTCTACCAGTCTAATATATATTTAATAATTTTTTAAAAAAGTTTTCCACGTGCAGGGAGCTTTTGGCATTCAATCCTGCTCTCTTCCAGAAGCGGGACGGTCCAACTCTGCACCTTCTGAGTTGGATTTCACAGCATCTGTGAAGTGAGCAGTGTGGAGACAAGTTCACAAGAGAGGAAGGGGGCTCAGCAGGAAGGAAGGCCAACTTACGTTTTTCAATGAGCTGGTCCTGAACTCCTGCCAGTGCGCTGACCGCCTAGGAAACCGAAAGAGACCAGATTGAGGAGGATTGTGGGAACTTCTGGGAGACTCCACCCCATCGCCTCCTTCTCAGGCCACTCAAAGAGGTGCCACATTTGGCTGGACTTCCGAGATTGTGCCATAGGACAGGCACAGGTTGCAAATCCCACCCCACTCCAAGTACTTGCCCTACTTTCTATGCTTTGGCAGTATCTCCCTTGACAGGATCTCAGGCATCTAGTGATGGGGGAAAGCTTCCTCTGCCCCAGGAGGGCTGGCATTGGTCCTCCCTCAGTGCTTGGAGGACATAGAACAAACTACACCTGAATAAGACAAGGTGGGAAGGAAGGAGACTGGGAGGACCCAAATGGTGTGTGTTGTGGGAGAGGGCTGGCCAAAACTGGACAGGAATAACTCCAATGCTTTCAAAATAACAAATAAACACAGTTTGCTCAACCTGAAAGATGTCTAGAGAAGTTGAGGGATCAGTTCAGTGACTTATTCCTGTCAACAGGGGAGGATACAGGGAGACTACCTAGAGGAGGACCAAAAGTTGGAGGCAGCAATGCTTCTGAGTACCTGTTACTGGAAATCATGCTATATGCTTTCCACGTGTTTGGGTGGAAGAAAGGACATAGGAGGGGGAGGCCTCCGAGAAACAACACAGGCCTCGCCCCCAGGTTGCACTCACAGCAGCTGATGTGACTGAAGACTTGCTGAAAAGGCGCTCGGCTTCTTTGAACTTGCGGTTCCGTCGGTCATTCTTGCTGTTGGAGTTCCTGGAAGCAAGAGGGGAGAAAATAGATAGAAACAAGTTTTTCTCCCTGACTCAAAACACTAGAATTTGTGGACCTTCAACTGAATATTTAGGACAGCTACACAGCACATTGTTAAACTATGGAACTTGCTCCTGCAGGAAGTAGTGCTGGGCACCAACCAAGACGGCTTTGGAAGAGGATTAGGCCAATTCATGGAGGAGAAGGCTATCCACGGCTACTAGCCAGAATGGTTACGCTCTGCCTCCATGGTCGGAGGAGGTAAATACTACTGAATGCCAGTTGCTAGAAACTACAGGAGACGAGGGGGCTCTTGACCTTAGGTCCTGCTTGTGAGTTTCCTGTTGGGGCATCTGGTTGGCCACTGTGAGAACAGGATGCTGGACTAAAAGGGTCACTGGCCTGATCCAGCAGCCTTCCTATTGGCTGGTGTAAGTCAAGGGCAGACCTGTGAAACAGCATCTCCCCACAACCACCACCTCAAATGGGGAAACCACCCCTCTCTTCTCAAGAAGAAGTGGGAGGGAGTGCCCTTTTGCAGGCCGCCTTCTGGACTCTAGAATAAACTGTGGCTGCTGTATGACAACAGATTAAGGCCCAGGCCCAGTGGGTGACACACACACACCCCGGACCCCAGAGAGGTGGCTGTAGCCCCTGCCCCAAAGTGGAAGGGGGGCAGCAGGGAGTCACCCGCAGCAGTCCAGGCCATGGGACACCGCCCAGAGGAGAGCTATAGGGTTTATCACTTAGAGCAGGGTGGACCTGGCGCAGTTGCAAAGCGCTTTGCTAGAGGTCTCCTGTTGCTTCCCATGACGCCAGTCCTCTTTGAGGGCAGCTTTCCGTTTTGCACCCCGCCCTCCACTCACTTCTGGTTGGTCAGGTAGCGGTCCCAGCCTCGGATGATGTTGCCGTACATCTGGGTATCTTCCAGGTAGCTGCCCTCGAAGGCGTAGATCTGCCGCTCCAGGTTGGCCAGCGTCTCCTGCAAAAGGGCAGAAGGGAGAGAGGAAACATCGAGCGCGCGGTGGGGAGGGGCGGCAGGGGAGCCTCGCGGTGGGTGGGGGCTTTTGGAGGAGCAGGGGCAGAGAAGGCATCCCTCCCCGCGCCCGCGCCCACACTGCCCGCCCGGGCCAGGGGCATCATCATCATCTTCGCCCAGGCCTAGCCCGCCCCTCCCCTCCCCTCCCTCGGCGTCGGGGGGCTCCTACTCACGGCCAGCTCCTGCTTGCGCTTGACCAGCTCGGCCAGCTCGCGACGGGTGTCCGGGATCTGCGGCGGGGCGCCGGCCTTGGTGGCCGCCCCGTGGAGCGCCGCCATCGCCCGCGAGAAGGAGGAGAGCGAGCGGCAGGAGGAGAGGCGAGAGGAAGGCCCGACCCAGGCAGGCGAGCGGGAGCGCGATGCCGGGCGGAGCCGCTGGGAGCAGCAGAGGCTGGAGCCTCCTCCTTCCCCGCCGTCGGGCCAGCCCTTGCGCGGAGGCGGAGGCAGCCAAGCGGCGGTTGGGCGGCCCGCAGGCGGCAGTCCCCGCCCTACCAGCTCCCTCCCTTTCGGCGGGGCTTCCACTCCGCCGAGCCGCTCTCGATAAGCAGCAGCAGGAAGGATGGAGGGGCCGGAAGGCTCCGCCCGCGCTTCCCTCTTGGATCTAGAAGCGCCTGCCGGTCCCAGTCCCGGGCGAGTGGGCGGGCTGGGAAGGGTCGAGGAGCCGACGGACACAGGCCCACGGATTCCCGCCGCCCTTCCACCTGGCGAGGTCTCCCACACCGCCACGAAGCCAGTTCACAGTTGGGCTCCCAAGCCTCTGCCTTTCTGACGTTACTTGGCAGAAGAGGGATGGAGAAGAGTTGCAGTATCGCCTCCGTTCAAATATATTTAGGGAATGTCAACAGGCCAGGAGAAGTTCCTGGGATTCCTTCAACGGGGCAATGGGTGCAAGATGAAGCAAATATTTGTTATGAAGCAGAAAGCAATTATATTTCGAACCAGGTCTGAACCAGGCCTGAACCAGGTGGCAGAGGCCCCTCTGTCTTAGGGAGTGAGTGATGTGTGACCTTATATCCCTTTTCCTCCAAGGAGTTCAAGGCGGTGCACATGGTTGCCCTTCTATTTTTGTTCTCACAGCAAACCGGTGAAGTAGGTTAGGCTGAGAGGCAGTGACTGGCCCCAGTTCACCCAGTGAGCTTAATGGCTGAGTGGGGATTCAAACCCTGGTCTCCCAGGCTGTAAACCGGCACTCTAATCACTGTATCACACTGGCTGTCTTTTATCTCCCCTGTGCCAGTAGCAATCATCCAAACCTAAGCTCATGGTTTGTACACCCCAGACAAACTGTAAGCCGGAAACTGAGAACGCATTAGGACAACACATTAAGTGAAATAATTGCTAAGCTGACAGCAATTGTGATCTCCTTAGGGAGTCCACACAGTTGGGTTTGGCATTATAAAGTGGGTCAATCAGTTGAATGTACATGGGCAGAGCCACAGAACACATTCACCTGCCCATCTCAGACCAGGTTGTCTAATATGTTCTTTCATGGATTGGTTAAGTCAATTCTTTGCTGCTCTTCCTTTTTAAAAATTGGGGCTGTATGTGTCATCCCAATTTTGTGATTTTGCTGCCTGCAGTGTTAGAAACTGAGATATGAAAGCTAGGAGCTAAATGGCACCTTAAACCTAGGTTATGGGAGCAACAACAGAATGTCTAGGTGCAATTTGTTATAACTTGAATACAAAGGCGAAAATGAATGAACTGCAGCTCAAATATTCTGTTCACTTTTCACATGGTCTAGTCCTTCCCCTGTTCACCCCCCCCAACATTCTTAAGAGGGTCACAATGGCACTGTATTGAAAATAAATATTTTGGTATTGGATTATGGGGCACAGGCTCTAAACAGCTTACAGTGTGACTCCTCAATAGTACAAGGTTGCAATGATAGAATGGTTTGCTGTGCTTGCTGAATGCCATTTTTAAAAAATACACAGAGCTTTGTAAACTCTACTTTTGCTGCTTATCTGTAATATCACACCAACCCACCTGTTTTCATTTAAAAGTTAAGTAGGAAATAACATTATCAATTTGGAGAAAGGAAGAAAAAAACCACAGCAATATAAACATGTTCAAGCTAAATTTACAAATCCTTTATTTAAAAAAGAAAATAGGGACTTCTGGGAAAGGCGATACTGCTGTCCAAAACCATCTCCATCACCTAAAAGCTTGAAAATCTGCATTTTGGCCCCATATTTACATGCTAAACTTTATCCTAATATTCTTCTAGACATGCACACAACCCTATGCACATGGTACATTTATGCAAACAGGAGGTGCTCTCAGAAGTGTGGGGCAGTAGGAAAAGTTACTACCCCTACACACAGCAAGTTGTGTTTCCTTTATTGTAAGGCAGCTACACACAAAACTGCAGCTACAGAACCTGTGCAAAAGTTTTCAGAGTGTAAAAGGGTTGTGGGTGAAGGTCTCTTCCACCTCCCTTCGTACAACACTAATACACCTCCTGCCTCTTGCTATCAGTAAGACAAAAATATAGTAGCATCCACATTGAAAGAAAGGAAATTAAACTTACTTAAATGTTTTTTGGAAACTATCCACCATGCTAAGTGCAAAATTATTCATGGGGTAATACAGGTGCCTGAGAAACGAACTTAATGCTCCCTTCCCCTCAGTGGTAAGAAAGCCAGACAGAGGAGACAGAAAACTTCCTTTTCACTACAGATTCAACTGCCACGGATCTGGAAAGTATATCCCTGAAAATGTATTTTGATGCACAATTTCCTACATGAATCTCAGAAATCTACACAATTTTTTGCAAGTTCTTTTACCTCAACACATTAATAAATCAAACTGCTAGAGACATTACAGAACATCCAACAGGCTTTAAACCAAATTCTTTTTTTTCTTAAAAAAAAAGTTGCATCTGTCATTTTTAAAAAAACTGTGCAAGCAAAAAAATAAAAGGGGTGGGGAGAAGCAAAATAACCTGTTTGTTTGGAAAAGGCAATTTTTGTACAGGGTGGTTCCTTGTTTCAGAGTCTTAAATTAAAAGATACATTGAGAAACTCTAGCAACACAGCTGCGATATCAGCTGGGCATCAAAAGTGACCTCGCTTTCCTAGCACCTTCTGATTAACCCAAACCATTTGAAAAGCAACAGTTGGCTCTACTTCAGTGCCCATAACCATCAACTGAGTGTGTGAGAAGTTCACAAATTAACATGACTAGCCAAAGGCAGCAGGTTTTAAGGCAGTGAGAGGCATCGGGGCAGCAATGCTTCAGTCCACACAAAGGATCTGAGGCTCAGCTGCAGAGAAAGGTTAAGTCCACCCCCTGATGGGCTGTCAGGTGGATTCTTCCTCCTCTTCCTCCTCATCCTCCTCCTCTGCCTTCTGGTCCACCTCTGAGGTATCTGATGACTCATGGAGCAGAACATACTCCCTGCTACTGAACCCAAATTTCAGGACATCCTTCTCTTTCAGTTCGTAGTAGCGCTGAGGCTCAATGCGCTGGTTGTTCAGAAATGTGCCATTGCCTGAGCCAAGGTCAATAATGTAGGGTTTTACCTTCCGGCCCGCTGTGCCATCAGGGCGGGTGTATTCCACAAGCCTTGTAAGAAACAAGAGATTTGTACTGATTAACAGCATAATATATGGGAGCCCAACTTCGTTAAGATTTCTCCCAGCTTCCAGCATCCCACAACAACCCTGTGGAGCACATCTTAAAACATAAAACTTCTTTGAACATAACTGACAGCAGAGACCTGTGTGCTTATTCAGGAAGAAGAGCTATTTAGTTGTGACTGCTTTGCTCAAGGAGATCAGCTGTGGCCCTTTCCACCTTGAGAAATTTGTAGCTGCCCTAATCTTTAGTGGAACTATTGATAATGAACTTAAAGCCCCATAAGGTCTGCTCTGGTTTTAAACCTTCAATATGCCCCATAATTGCAATTTCTGATCACTCCCAGTCCTCACACTATTCAGCATATCAGGAATGGGGAATAGGAACCACCCAGTGGGCCAGATCCTTAGACAGGAATTCAAAGTCATGCTCTTACGACTGTTCTGTCAGCACAAATATTTCTGCTTGCCAAGTACAGCTTGGCAAGCCCCATGTCTCCTGGGTGCTGCTCTGGGGGTTCTCCTGACCCTTAAGAGATCTGGAGGAGGCATAGGGAGGGTAAGCTCTGTTGCACTGGCTTCCATTAGTTTACCAGGTTTGTCAAGGCTGGCCCTTAATTCCCCCACCCTCTGCCAACGTCATAATACTGCCAGATGGCTGGCACATGCACATGTTGAAGTTCAAAGGAGCATGCCTTCAAAGGGACTTGCTGTAACCACTGATTGGCAGTCAGAGGGAGCTCCTTTGAAGTCATTCTCAAGAAAGTGGTTTGGGTTCAAGCTGCTTTCTCCATAAACAAAGCATTTCCCCCTCTGCAGAGAAAAAAAATTCTCTGTTCCAATAAGGTTTGAATCCACACCCCTTCCTGCAAACAATGCAAGTCCCCTCAGCTATGCCAGGGAGTTCCTATCAGCACCAACAAAGAACCTGCTTGCAAAGGAACAATTGGGGGCTTAAGTTAAATCCTTTATAACCGTGTCTATACCTGCCCCACACTTCACATCCTCTATGTAAGGCCAAATGGGGAGCAGGTGACTGTAGTCTGTGGGGAACAGTTTCATGGACCAAACTGGGACCTGTGCCAGGCTTAATTAGGTCCTTGGGCTAGAAGCTCCCCGACATTTGCTTGGGACTTGTTGCTTGTTTATCCCAAGTTGAAGGAATTAGAAGGGCTTTACTAGGAGACAAGGCTGACATCAAATTGCAGGCAAGGAGCTTTAAAGCAAGGATACTTTCTCAATAGCGACATAGTGTACCAGGAAAGAGGAGCTACGGTCAAAACGACAGCAGATGAATGTATTTGGCATAAATTTGCTGGAGAGGGGTAGGACAACATGGAGGTAGCAATTACAGGGCGTATTTATCAATAAAATGATGTATCCAAAGTCCTTAATGCGGTCTCTTGCTGTATAGATCCCAGCCAGTAAGTGGGGAGTATTAATAGCTAACTTGAAACTAACAGCTACTCATAGCTCATAGAGGCTCCTAAGCAGCTACATATCCACACCCACACCTGGGCCAAGACTTACCGGTACTGAAAGACAGCGTGTTGTTTTGAGCAGGAGGGGTGGTCAATAGGGATATCAGCAATGCGTCGGTGCCTGCCCAGCAGGTAGGCACTCTGCCTGTGAATGTACATAACTGGGAGAACCTCGTCGTTCTTGAAAGGATACAAACGCCACCGCTTCTTGGGGATCCGTGCTTCTGGGGGCTCGCTGTATTTGATCACGACACCACGGAACGTATTGGAATCCTCCAGAAGTGCACCAGACAGTTCAAAGCTTGGTTTCTCTTTATTCCCTGGCTCGTTGTCTGTGCTGTGTGACCCCTCTGCCCCTGGATTCTCTTCGTCACCGCTGGCTTCTGCCTGCTCCCGGCGCTCCCGACGTTGCTCATTATATAATTCCCTCTGTGCCTGATGAACCTGGAAGCGATGACCGTCCCTCTCCCTTTCGTGGCCCCCAGGCTGATCCCGGTGGGGCTTCCTTCGGCCAGAATGGTCCCGATGTCTGTCTCGGTCATTGCTTCTTTCCCGCCTGTGGCCCGGCTCAGAGTGGTCTCGATGTGGACGCTCCTCATGCCCCCTCTGGGAGCGTTCTTCTCGCTCCTACATTAGGGAAATAGCAAAAGGCAAGTTTTTAAAAGTTCTGTTCATGAGTATAAATAAGTAAAATGGTTTCAGCTTTTCATATATTTTCTAAAACTGTTATCACAGCATGCTGAATTTAATAGCCACACTACAAGGACTGTTTGGAAAAATTAAGCTATTGCACAATCTAATGGCAGTGCTAGTGTTTGTTTAGCTTTTTTTTTTTACACCAGTAACTTTTGTTTCCTCAAGTTGTCCATACTTGCTTTAATCCCAAGTGCAATACAATACAAAGCTTCTGTCAATTTTATCTGGTATGCCCAGTTACCTGCTTTACTTTAGGTATCACATGATGCGGACTTCGGCTTCTTTTCTCTCGGGGGGATTTGCTTTTTTTGTTTGAGGACTTGTTTTTTCTTTTTGACTGTGACCTTTTAAAGATATGAAACCAAGGTTAAGCACATGAATTCCCATCAGCAAAAAAAAAGGCACATGCAAGTCAACACACTTGATCCACTGTGGTCTGGTATACAGCAATTCAGAGGTGAGAGTGGGGCATCAATAAGGAATATATACCCGACATTTGCAGAATCATACAAGGCAGCTTAAAAGGTAAAGGTACCCCTGCCCTTACGGGCCAGTCGTGTCCGACTCTAGGGTTGTGCGCCCATCTCACTTAAGAGGCCGGGAGCCAGCGCTGTCCAGAGACACTTCCGGGTCACGTGGCCAGCGTGACAAAGCTGCTCTGGCGAGCCAGCACCAGCGCAGCACACGGAAACGCCGTTTACCTTCCCGCTATAAAGCGGTACCTTTTTATCTACTTGCACTTAGGGGTGCTTTCAAACTGCTAGGTGGGCAGAAGCTGGGACCGAAAGACAGGAGCTCACCCCGCCGCGGGGATTCGAACCGCCGACCATACGATTGGCAAGTCCTAGGCACTGAGGTTTTACCCACAGCGCCACCCATGTCCCACAAGGCAGCTTAAATAAAGTTAAATCAACAAAGTACAGAAGATAAAAACGCAACCAGGAAGCATAACAAAACAGCAAATAAAGCCAACAACTATTTAAAGAGACAGCAGGTGACACAAAGACAGGGGGCTGTGAGGGCTTCCTGTATCTTTCCACTGTCTGCAATTCCTCCTATGCTTAAGCAAGATCTGAGGTGAAGGCCAGTGGGATAAGGAGACCTTCACAGTTGAGGGGGCATACTGTACTTGCTGGGAGTTGCAATGCAAAACATCTGGAGGGCACCACGCCGGCAAAGGCTAGTATGTGTAGCACCACTCTCACAGTCAACAGGTGAAACTCAGTCTCCTTAATGTGTGTTATCTAATCAAAGCCCAATGCCACTACAGAAGCACTTAACCCACATTTCCCATAATTGTCATTCTGCCCTACCTCACCTTCTTGCAAAGCCAGTCAAGCCAGACTTGAACAGGAAAAAGTTGCCCGGAGACCATTGTATTATTCGTTGTCTTCATATCCCACCTTTTTTAGGCATGGAGCTCAAGGTGGCAAACATGGTGCCAGCTACCCTGTGAGGCAACTTAGGTTGAGAGAAGGCAGTGGCTGGTCCCCAAGGTCACCCAGGGAGCTTCATGGCCGAGCGGGGGGTTTGAACCCCGGTCTCTCCCATGTCCGACACTCTTAACCAGTACAGCACACCGACTCTCGGTCCTTCAAGGCAAAGGGCAACTAAAGCGAGTCGGCCCACGGCCTCGCGCCCCCCCCTTCCCCACGGAGCGCCAGTGGAGGAGGAGGCGGCGCTGGGCCGGGCCCCTTCCCCTCACAAGACACAGGAGCTTCTGAGCCCATCCCCGCCACCCCCGGGCATCGTCACCTGCCGGCCCCCGAGTTCCCCGGCGGCGGCGAGTGGCTTCCGCGCGGGCTCCGCTTCCGCCGACGCTGCGGCTCCTCCATAACACCGCCGGCCTCTTCTCCTTCTTCTTTGCCTCCCGCTCCCGCTTCCGCTTCCAGGTCGTCGCCGGTGTCACTATCGAGAAACACTTCCCAGCCAGGCTCGATGCCGCTCTACCTACTGTGCGCTCTATGGTTTGCCCTGTGAGCGGAGTTGTCTGGAGGACTAGTCGTGGTCAGACGCCCCCTGGCGGCCACTGATAAGACATTTACTTAATCATGCAGTGATGGCCAAACTTGGCCCCCCAGCTGTTTTGGGACTACAGCTCCCATCATCCCTAGCTAACAGGACCAGGGGTCAGAAATGATGGGAATTGTAGTCCCAAAACAGCTGGAGGGCCAAGTTTCGTCTTCACTTAATGGGTTCATTTATTGCTTTTTCATAACAAACGAGAGCGAGCGAGAGAGAGCGCGCGCGCGCGCGCAGGAAGCTCCCCTCCCCAAAGCCGTGTGTGAAGCGCTGAAGCCGGAGGGAGGCGCGATAAATACGGAATCTATCACTGGGGGAAAGGAGATGCTTCTCAATCCTTTCCGAAACAGCTCTAGACGTGACCCAGAAGTGAGGCTCGCGACTGCGGGGCCACCACGTAGAATGCCCCGTCGCTTGTGCTCGCCAGCCGCGCCTAACTAAGCTCCCAGACCTCCAGGCGCTTTCCATGACGGGCAGGGACAGTCGGGGGCGGGGGTTGAAAACAAGGACAGGCTCATCCTGAGCAGGTGACCGCTCCGCTCCTCTCTCTCCCCTTCTCCTCTCTTCCAGTCCCAGCCTCAGGGATTGTTGCTGCTAAGCTGCTTTGCAGGACAGTTTTCGTGTGCAAAGCAAAATAGCAAGAATACCCGCACTGGACTATGTTAAGAAGGATTCAAGCAAGAACAACCCCGTGCTTAGCCGGGAGCGGCTCTTCTCTGCTTGCCTCTCGGGAGGAACGGGGCAGCGGTCCACGGTACCCGGAAGTCGGCGCAGGCGGCGCTACTCTTTCGGCTCCTGCGTGTCTCTAGGCTGCCGTGTTGTAGATGGGACGGCCGCGGTGCTTTTCTGCGCAGGCGCGGGCTGGAGCGTGTCATGTGACTGGGCTTCCTGTCCGAGCCCGGTCGCCGTCGCTATGCCAACCTTAGCACAACAGGTCCCGGGGCGAAAGCCGGGCCCGCCCGGAGGAGGAGAGGAGCCGCCGCCGCCGCCATCATGATCCCGCCCGCGGACTCCCTGCTCCGCTATGAGACGCCGGTGCTGGTGAGCCGCAACACGGATAAGCGCTCGCCCAAGGTACGTCCCGGGGGGATGGCGGCTGGGTCTGAGCTCCGTGCACGGAGCCCCTCCGCTCACCCCAGCCAGCCCCGCTCCACTTGCCTCTGTCTCCGTCTTCTCCTCCTCCTCCTCCTCCGCAGGCGCGTCCGCTGAAGGCGAGCCCGCAGGTGGGGCCTCCGCCGGGGCCCGTCCCGACGCCGAAGGGCAAGACCCCGCCGCCCACTGTAGACGCCACCAAGCAGCCCGAGGAGATCCTCAACGCCATCCTGCCCCCCAGGTGAGATGCAGGCTCTGTGAGTGGGTTGGGTCCGAAACCAAGTGGCTCCTGGGCAGGGGCCTCTCGAGTCCCCCTCCTCCTGCTGGGGCCGGAGGGGCAGCTGAGCCACCAGTCCTGGAGGGTTCCCCACCACAGTAGAGGTCAGCAAGGAACTCTATTCTTTATTGGGGGGGCGGGTCCACCTTCATTCCAGGCATGGCAAGCACCCACTGCCCAGCTATCTCGCTCTGCATGAGAAGATGTCTGCATCTTCTCTATGGTGGCAACAGCAAAAAAAAAATACTTCCTCTGCAGATGCATGCTGAACTGACAGCTTTAGAGGGTTATAAACATCCACACCCACCCAAATACAGCTATACCTCATGTTACATCCACTTTATGTTATGTTCTTTCAGGTTACGTCCCGCAGCGACCCGGAAGTACCGGAAAGGCTTACTTCCAGGTTTCGCTGCATGCGCAGAAGCACAAAATAACATCATGCTCAGAAGCAGCGGATCACAACCCACCCATGCGCAAATGCGCCGCTGCGGGTTGCAATCTTTTCATGTTGCTAACGGGCCTCCAGAACGGATCCCGTTCGCAACCAGAGGTACCACTGTACTGAGCTGCGGCTCCATCCTGCAGTTACAGGTCTACTCACAGTGCACTCAGATCCAAGCAGCTCAAGGAGTGGAGGCTACAGTGTTCTTAATGCCCTTGGACATGGAGCCATCCATTCCTCAGCTTAATGTGGATTATGAACCCCTCCCCCGTGCCCCCTTTAATTCCCCCTCCTCCACGGGCATAGCCAGGATTTCTATTAGGGGGGAAGGCTTTGTGTTGGGGGGACCTCAGTTAAGTATTTTTATTGATTTATGGGGTCAGCTGCCCCCCACTTGGCTATGCCCATGTCCTCCTCTACATGTTTTCTTCCAACTACTGCTGTCACTCACTTTCTCTTCCCTAAATCTGGAGTTTCCCTATACAACTGATGTAGCTCTTGTATTCAAATTTTCAAAGCATGGGAATCTCTATTTAGGGAGGACAAGGTATGGGACCCCCGGGACGCGGGTGGCGTTGTGGGTAAAACCTCAGCACCTAGGACTTGCCGATCGTCAGGTCGGCGGTTCGAATCCCCGCGGTGGGGTGCGCTCCCGTTGCTCGGTCCCAGCGCCTGCCAACCTAGCAGTTCGAAAGCACCCCCGGGTGCAAGTAGATAAATAGGGACCGCTTACTAGCGGGAAGGTAAACGGCATTTCCGTGTGCTGCGCTGGCTCGCCAGATGCAGCTTGTCACGCTGGCCACGTGACCCGGAAGCGTCTTCGGACAGCGCTGGCCCCCGGCCACTTAAGCGAGATGGACGCGCAACCCCAGAGTCAGACACGACTGGCCCGTACGGGCAGGGGTACCTTTACCTTTAGGTATGGGACAGCAGTAGTTTGAAGAGGACACTTTAGGTTGGAAATGATGGAGGCACGAGGAATTCACAATCCATGATAAACTGAGGTCTGAACAGGCTTTGGGTTGCTGTCTCCTTTCTAAGATTTAGAAGCCACTGGAAATGTCTCTTTCATTACCAAAACATAAAGTGAGCCTGCTTGGTTTCCTTGAATCCTAGCCTCTCTCTGCTTGCTTTGGTGTAGAGAATGGGTGGAAGAGAACCAGTTATGGATCCAGCAGGTGTCGAGCACCCCCAGCACACGCATGGATGTGGTGCATCTGCAGGAACAGCTGGACCTCAAACTCCAGCAGCGCCAGGCCCGTGAGACAGGCATCTGCCCTGTGAGGCGAGAGCTGTACTCCCAGTGCTTTGGTGAGTGAGTGAACAGAGCCAGCCCTCTCCGCATGCACAATCTCATCCAGAAAATGAGGGCATGAGTCCCAGGTACTCATTTCAATGATTTGTCACATCCTCACCCCCAGTTCTAGTCCTACACCTCTTCCAATTAAAATACAGTAGCACCTCGGGTTACATTACCCTCGGGTAACGTAAACTTCAGGTTGCAAAAGTGGCAAACCTGGAAGTGTTTTGCCGCACACTCATGCGCAGAAGCGGTCTACCGCCACGCGCATGCATATAACAGTGATCCTCGAGTTGCGAAAACCTCGGGATCTGGCCGGACCTCTGGAACAGATCCCGTTCGCAACCGGAGGTACCACTGTAACACACTATAGTGTTATTTCCCATCCCACCCTCACCCCCAAAATACACCCCTTTCTGCTTATCCATTTCTTTTTAACCTGCCTCCTAAATAACTGTAGTTCATCTTCCTAGGATAAGCCTCCCTGATCAACTTTGTTGCTGCTACAAGTACAGCTTTGAAACCTAAGTTAGAGCCATTAACTTGCTCGCAAGCTGGAACACCAAACACTGAAGAATTCTTGTCCTTTAAGGCAGTCATGAGTCCCTAGCTTCCATCCTCTGGAGATGGGTGGGAGAAAGAGCATCAGTCCAGACTTTTCCCATGCAAAGCCTCATTTGCAACTCTTCCCTTGCAGATGAGCTGATCCGAGAGGTGACCATCAACTGTGCAGAGCGGGGGCTGCTGCTGTTGCGAGTGCGAGACGAGATTCGGATGACAATTGCTGCTTACCAGACCCTGTATGAGAGCAGTGTTGCCTTTGGCATGAGGAAGGCACTGCAGGCTGAGCAGGGCAAGTCTGATATGGAAAGGAGAGTAAGTGTGGAGGCCAACATCTCCCACCGCTGCACGATCTTAGTTGGGGAAAGAAAGGCAGAGTTGGTTTGGGCCTCAAAGCTTCTTGGCAAGCATGAAGTCTACCACTTGCTTATAGTTGTGCAGATGTGTGTGTGCAGTGCATCTTATTGCAACTTCGCGAAGGAGAATCATCAGCTCCAAGGCTGAGCTGCCTAGGGTGAGCAAGCCGTGGGAACCACCTGAATAGTAATTACTGTCACACATCCTGCCTGCTTCTATTAAAGGTAAAGGTACCCCTGCCCGTACGGGCCAGTCGTGTCCAACTCTAGGGTTGTGCACCCATCTCACTTAAGAGGCCGGGGGCCAGCGCTGTCCAAAGACACTTCCGGGTCACGTGGCCAGCGTGACGAAGCTGCTCTGGCGAGCCAGCACCAGCGCAACACACGGAAACGCCGTTTACCTTCCCGCTATAAAGCGGTACCTATTTATCTACTTGCACTTAGGGGTGCTTTCGAACTTCTAGGTGGGCAGGAGATGGGACCGAAAGATGGGACCCCGCCGCGGGGATTCAAACCACTGACCATACGATCGGCAAGTCCTAGGCACTGAGGTTTTACCCACAGCGCCACCCGCGTCCCTGCCTGCTTCTATTAGGTGACAGTAAAGACACTTCCAGGAGGCCTGGAGAAGTAACACTGCACTTCTTGTGGCCACTCATTAACCTGGTGGGTCTGTTTTTTGCTCCAAGATTGCAGACTTAGAGGATGAGAAGCGGGACTTGGAGAGGCAAGTGAATGAGCAGAAAGCCAAGTGTGATGCCATTGAGAAACGGGAACTTGAAAGGCGGCAGGTGGAAGAGAAGAAGCACACAGAAGAAGTGCAGTTCCTGAAACGAACAAATCAGCAGCTCAAGGTTGGTTAGAGGGGACAGGGGCTGGATTGGTGCATAAAGAAACCACTCTTTCTTAGACATCCAAATTCTGTTGGACTCCCAGCTCCAGTCGGCGATGATGGAAGTTATAGTCCAGCAAATTCTACGCTCCTAACAGGATTCTGCGTTTAGACTTTAGGAGCCTTCCCGCCCCATCACCTATTGGTTTCTGACTTTGGGAGGGTTACTACATCTTTCCTGCTCATCTGTTATACACAGGACACACCCAGGTTGATTTGCTCAGGCCAGTTTCTAGCTCCCAATTTACATGGCCTCCCAGTAATGTGTTTTGTTAGAAAATACCAGAGCCTGGCTTTATGTAGGCATGTCCCTAGTCCTTAACCTGGTCTGGAAGGCCAGAGTCCTTAATTCTAATCTGTTAGCCATATGCTAACCAGCAGTGGTATTCTTAATCAGAGGACTTAAGACTTGCTGAGAGGATCAGCTATGTAGAAAGTTCAACATGTTTCACTAGTAGTGAGAGGCATTATTAAGGGTCCCAGAAGTGCAACTGTACTCTTTAATCCTAGTCCGTCTGATCAAAACCAGATCATACAGAGCTGAGCATGTCAGTTGACAGGGTGGGATATTTTACCAAGTTTCAAAGGGCTACTTATGGGAAATCAAGGCCTGTTTGAATGCTTCACAATGGGTATTGTGTGCTTAGAAGTCTTAACTTGTTTCCTTCCACCTGTCCCTTAGGTAATTTAGGGGTGTTATGATTGGGGTGGAGGGACAGAAAACACTTTCCTCTTACCAAAGATTTGCCTCCTTGGTGGAGCCTGCTTCTGGCATGCAGGGAAGAAAAACCAGCAAGAAAATTGGATGTGGCCCCCAGTAACCCTTCCTTGTTCAGTGGCAGCCAGTGGTCTTTTTTTTCTAATTGGGCATCAAGTTGCCTCTAGTCACTGTTGTGTGCCTGAGTCCCAGAAATGATGTTGATAGCACAGCCCTCAGACAGCCAAGGGCTTCACGGCCAGTCATGAAAGCAGAGAATGCAAACCACTGTTACAGCAACTTTGATTCAATTTCCTCTTTAGTACTTTTACATTATGAAATGAGACTTTTGTAGCCAGGAAACATTGCCAACTCTCCACTTTCTTCTCATAAAGCAACAGACTTCCATGCCAAGAATGAAAGAAACTTAATTTATAAAACATGGGATGAGGAATGCAAGAACAAACAACACCCCCCTCTCCACTCCAACTTGTTTCAGCCCCCAGCACTGCAGCAGCCTCCAAGTGAAGCAGTGGATTGTTAGATGTGCACCTTCTGGCAAAAGTGAGAGACTAATTAATTAGTCTGTCTTTTTCTGCTTTTCAGGCGCAGCTTGAAGGCATCATTGCACCAAAGAAGTAGTGGACCTTTCCAACAGCCCAGGGCTGGAGGGGGGAGTGCCTCCTGAGTGGCAAACAAAAGAATATCTTCCAAGAGTTCTTTAAAAAAGGTTCCAGAATTAATTTGCACCCCCTCTCTCATCTGGATCAGCTCCCCTTCTCTGCTTCTAGTGATTTCTCAGCTGGTTTGGGATTTGCCTCACCAGTTTACCCTAAATGGAATTTTTAAAAGTATTTTTTTATGTAGTAGTACTTCAGTTTGTTATTACCGGGCAAGCCTCCGTCCTGCAGCAGGACAAAGGCTCTACAAAGTCACATTAAACTAAACAATTCTGAAACTTGGTCTGTTTGCTTAATTGGCACGAGTTTCCTTGATATTTAAATATCCAGTCAGCCTCTTTAAGAACATAAAGGTAAAGGTACCCCTGACAGTTAAGTCCCATCACGAATGACTCAGGGGTTGCGGTGCTCATCTCGCTCTACAGGCCTAGGGAGCTGGCGTTTGTCTGCTTCCACAATTTTTCTGGGTCATGTGGCCAGAATGACTAATCCGCTTCTGCCGAAGTGCATGGAAACGCTGTTTAGCTTCCCACCGGAGTGGTACCTATTTATCTACTTGCACTGCGTGCTTTCGGACTGCTAGGTTGGCAGGAGCTGGGACCGAGCAACGGGAGCTCACTCTGTCGCGGGGATTCGAACCGCCGACCTTCCAAGCGGCACAGTGGTTTAAACCACAGCGCCACCAGCCTGCTAAATCAGGCCGGCATCCTGTTCTCATAGTAGCAACCCAGATGCCCTAGTGGAAACCCAGCAAGCAAGATTCCAGCACAAGAGCCCTCTCCCCTCCTGTGGCTTCCTGCAACTGGCATTCAGAAGCATTGCTGCCTTGAACTGTGGAGGCAGAGCATAGCCCCCATGGCTGGTAGCCACCAATAGCCCTCTCCTCCTCCATGCACTTGTCTAATCCTCTTTTAAACCCATCCAAATTGGTGGCTATCACTGCTTTGTGTTTGGGCAAGTTCCATAGTTTAACTCAGGAAATGAGCAGTTTTACTTGCTGCTGCTTCATTTCTTAATTTCCTAGCCAGAGGTTTAACAAGGGTCAAAAAGTCTTCCCACTGAAGCAGAGCTAACTGATCCCATCTCCTTTTATGGCAGGTTTATTTATTTACATGCAGGTATGTGCTCTATCAATGATATGTAGCTCCAATTACAGAAGCATCTGCAAGTTCAAGGTTCTATATAAAAATTTCTCCATCTGCCAAAAACACACAGGAAACATATCCCTTAACATTAGAGAACCTATAATTTGAGAGCACAGGAATACCGCATAGACGCAACATGTGGGCTAAAGCTGAATCCCTATTTTCAGTCAGAAAACTGGACAGAAAGGCGTCTAGATCAGAAAACTATTACTTGTGTTTATTTCTCTTAGTTTTTGATTTCTGTCCTGCTGAGTTGGGTTTCTTCTTGTTCCTGTTTTTGTTTTTGACATTATGTGTGTCATAGTATCGGACACCGACTTTCTTTGAATGCTGCTGCCGCTCTGCTCTTCTCCTCTGTGAAAGAAGCAAAGAAAGTTTGTGCTACCCTCTTTGGCAATTTGTTTTTAATTGGACAATCTCACCCATCAGATGCAGTGGGGACACAGGAGACTGTGGAAGAGGGAACATGCCCTGACCCCTCCCCACTTTAGTCAGTCAAAGGAAAGCATCACTGCTGCCACAGCCCATGTCATTTTGCCATGTGCAAATGAATGGGCAAATTCATTGTTATTTAAAAGGAACAAAAGGTGGGCTTACACAGTGAATATTTTCCCTTCCACGTAACATGCTGTACAAATTTTTGTGCATAAGCTGCAAAAGCCCCCCTTGCCCTGAAACTGTGGGAGCTGCAGAAAGATACTGTTGGCACCTACCTCTTTGGAACTCTGTTTCTTGCAAACCTTCACCGGACAGGCACCCTGGTCCTGTTCACCATCCTCTTGCCGTCCTCTTTTCTCAGCTTTCCTCGAACTCCCTAAAAGCAGCATTTCAAGAATGTGTGAGGCAAAATGCTCCAGAAACTTGTGGTTCTGCTCAGGCCGATGGCTGGAGCTTTTCCAAACTGCCAAGCACTGCAGGGTGATGAGTGGCTAGGGGTTCCCAAAGACATAAGGCCTTCCTGCAACTACTTAGGCCGATGACAGCCCAATCCATAGAATATAAGAGGTCCAGAGGGTGGCAACACGAGAATGGACCTTTTCTGCTGTGGCTTCCCATCTGAGGAATGCTCTCCCTGGGGAGACTCGCCTAGCGCCTTCATTATAGATCTTTGGTCGCCTGGTTAAAACATTCCTCTTCTCCCAAGCCTTTGACTAAAGAAACAATTTATGGCCTTATTAAATGGGAGTCGGTGGGTATTGTTTTGTTTGTTGTTTGCCTTTATACTGTAAAGCGCCCTGTGATCCTTGGAAGAAGGGCAGTATATAAATTTAATAAATAATATTCTTATTAATAATTGACCCCTCCCTTGATGTAGAGCTTTCAATTGTTTCCCAGTCACTCAGGACTGCGTAGTGGAAGGAGCACAGCCAAGGACAGCCGGGAGCAGGCCATCCCCTCTCACCATGGGATTACAGGCAGGACGGGCCTCTTGTGGGTGAGCTCTCAGATGGAGACCTCCCAGTGCTGTCATAATGCCAACCTACCTGCAGCTTCATCACTTGCAACTGCACCAGAGTCCAACTGTGATTTTGCAAAGACTTTTTCACTCAGTCCTTTGGGAATTCTGCAAGGCAAGGAGGTGGGCATTTAGGCCCCTTGCAAAAACCTGCACACAGCTGGCATTCTGACACAGACACACACAGACCTTGCCATCTAAGCAGGCATACCATCTGCGACAGTCACAATTTAGCAAGACCATCCACCTCTGCAGGAGTCGCACACATCACATACTCTGGGGGAGAGAGACACTGAAGGTTGTGGCAGAAGAGCACAGAAGAGTACTCGCTGATGGAGCAAGACCACCTCCCAAAATCAAGGCCGCGGGGGGGGGGGGGCAAGCAATGCCTGGGACAGCAAAAGCCTTCCTCTGCAGTATGTGGCTGGGCCAAGTCATCTAATCTCTGCTCATGGCATGTTGTGGCCAGCTGGACTGCCTCAGCTGCCGCTGGGTCGGAAAGGCAACATAATGGCTGGACAGAAGCTTAGCCTCCACTTTTTGGACTTTTACACCCATGTAACTATCAAGCTCAACCAAGCTCCATCCCACTCCCAGGGACAGCGCAAAAGCCACTACCTTATTGCCGAGAACCTCTTGGCCTTGGCCTTGTCCAAGAATTTCTTGTACTTGGCAATCTTCTCATCCAGGGATTTCAGCACTGCCTTTGGGTCCTGCCTGGTGCTTTCCTTGCCGGAGGGCCTGTTATCTGTCTTGCCAAGCTGGGAGTGCCCTTCCTCCTCCCCACCTTCTTCCTCCTCCTCCTCCTCTTCTGGATCACTGTCCGTCCCATCAACATCAAGCACATCCACGGGGATCAGGTCCTCCTTCAAGAACTGAGGGGCCACGTGGAGCTTCCCAAAGTTCTGCCGCACATGGGACAAGGGCCATTTCGTTTCCTGTGGGGGGCCCTCCTCGCCCCTGGGCTCTGCTGCAGCTGTCTCCGTCGAAACAAGGCTCTCCCCAGGGCTCTCGCTCAGACTGGCAGCTGCGGGCACTTCCAAAGCAGCACCTGTGGGCTGGAAGATGAAGGCAAGGAAGCATCTCTGGGAGCCACAATTACCAACACCCACATGCCAATGTGTCAGTTCCACTCCAGAACATCTTACTTCCCACTGCTGGGTCTGTAATTGCACCTCAGCAGGGTCCAGCTTCAAAACCTGATCAAAATGCAGATTAGATATGCTCTTTGATTTTCCTTCCACATTAAACACGTACCAAGTGCTCCTTCCCCTACATCTCTAGGATTAAGGGCCAGGGATTCCAGATTAGAGTTTTTGGCTTGACCCAAAGCTCCTTTTAGAAACCATCCCTTTATATTTGCAAAAATCACCTGAATTTATTTTATTTTGGGGTGGTGGGGGAGGACTCCTGATTTTCTCCATGGTTTTAGTTTGCAGCAAAGAACTACTAGTAAACAAAACAGCAGTGACTTCTGTTAGAATTAAAGAAAGCATCACCTTCTACTGTGATTTTAGAAGTGTAAGGTATTTGATGTAGGACCCCCCAAAACACTGAAACAGTGGGACTAGCCTGGTCTTAAGTGCTGTCTCATTTTCATTTGTCCTGTCCTTTTTACCATGAGGGCAGATGGGAATGTTTTGCCCCTGCCCCCCTTTTGAGTAAAATCACTTGGCCAGTAAGATCATCCTGTTTTCTGCCATGGCTGATGGACAAGAGTGATTTATTAGTCCAAGAGTTGCTTGCCATCCAAATGAGGACCAGGCAAAATCAATTTTGCTCCACTTGCTTAGATATTGCTCACCAGTTTACGTTACATGTTGTTCAAAATCAGAATGGCAGATGAAGTTGATGGACTACATGGAACTGGCGGAAATGACTGGCAGAATCCGAGACCAGGGAGAAGAGTCGGTGGAAGAAGATTGGAAAAAGTTTAAAGACTATCTACAGAAATATTGTAAAATTAATGAATGTTAGAAAAATGTTGGAATGAAGTTATATGGCTTTAGTAGAAATATTATAAGGAATTAAGTACAGATAGGTTAATAGAGCATTAAAGGAAAAAATAAGGTTAGAATGAGTTAAGATAATTATAGGATAGAAAACAGAGGAAGATGGAAAGGAATTGCTGAAATTATTAACAGAAGTGGAATACAAAAAGGGAGGTGTGAGGAGGTCGTGGAAATAAGTGAATGAAAGATGGGATAATGAAATTGTTTGATTTATTTTATTGTCTTTGTCTTGTTTTGTTAATTTGATGTGTTGTATTGTTTTTTTTCTTTTTAGTGTTTAAGTTTTTGGAAAAATATTAAATATTATTTTTTTTTAAATACATGTTGTTCAAAATCAATTATTTTTTTGGAGGATTTATATCCCATCTTTTCTGTTTTCCAAAGAATTCCAGCCGCAACCACACTGGGACTGAGAAATCAGATGGCACCTTTGCTCACCCACCTTAAACAAGCAGCTCTTACCTGGGAGCCCTGCTCCATATTTGGGGGCTTCACGAAGAAAGGAATGCGGCCTCTCTGCCAGTCATTCAGCACCATTTTGCTCACTGTGCTCACATCAGGCTCTCCTCCCTGAAATGGCAGTGGAACAGTGCTTTCAGACCCACAAAGCATAGACATTTGTGAAAAAAGGGGCCTCTCTGCTGAAACTCTCTAAAAGGAAAGGTGGAGTCTCATTATTGAGCTCACAAGAGGCAGGTTCTGGCTACAGCAAGAAGGTGGGGATACTTATGAAGGATAGATTGCAACCCCATTTTCTCTAGAACCCCACAAGCATACCTTTCCCCTTGTAGCCGACACCTGTCACTTGGATGGATGGATTCCTGGAACGAGACAAGTCACCAAAGAGTGCCTGCTTGCTCTTCTCATTCTTCCTCTGATGAAACACTTTCCTATTATTGACATTGCTTCCAAAGTACATATATTCCTGGCCTATTAATCACAGGAACCTAGCCTTATATTCATTCTATCTAGCTCGGTACTGTCTACACTGACTAGCAACAGCTCTCCGGGGTTTGAGAGAAGCCTACTTGGGAGATTCCATTGGGGATTGAACCTGGGACCTTCTTGCAAGACAGATGCTTTGCCACTGAGCTACATGGTTTCCCCAATCAAATTGCAGTTCAGCAGCTAGCTAGCCCAAGCAAGTGACTTCTTCCATGACAGCCTGGCCATATAACCCTCCACCCACAATCCCCAGGAAGGAAAGGCAGGCTCTCCTCCTTCACCTTGAGCAGCTTCCCCATCTGAAAGGCCAGCTTCTCAAGGAAGTCCTCTGCATTCTCCCAGAAGTCCACTTTGTACGTCTTGCTGATGTATTCTGGCTTGGCCCTTTCTAGCACAGCAGCGATGTGGTCTTCCGGGCACTTGATTTTTTCCACTTGAACCTGGAGATAAGAAAAGCAGCTCATTACCACGGCATTGGGGAATTTGGGGCACAGCTGCAGCAGTGAGAACGAAGCAGGGTGGCTCCAACGAGCAAAGGCAGGGGTTCTGATGGGCCTGTGTGTCCCCTCCGCCAGATGTTGAGGAGCCAGGAAGCCTCTTCAAAGACAATTCAAGTATCCTAATCCTCAGCACCTTTTTGATAGTGAAATATGGTAGACAACAAATATGGAGAGTCAGAGTACTGTAGAGGTTAGTGTTGCACTAGGACCTTGGGTGACCTTGATGGCCAGTCACTGCCTCTCACAGGGTTGTTGTAGGAATAAAATGAGGCAGGTGAAAGAAAGCCATATATATGCCACCTTTAGCTCTTTAGAGAAAAAGGTGGGATATAAATTCAGAAAAATAAATAATAAACCAGGGCTGGGCTAGGAGAGAAGCACCTGATCCTTTCAACGCTTGTCCCTTCCACTACTCACCACTCCCTTCAGCACAATGTCTGTCTCTGTGTCACCGGAGGGGTACACCACACCTGGGCAGTCAATGAGGAAGATGCGGCGCATCAAAGTGATGTACTGCCACACCTGTGGGATGAAAGAATGGCATCAACTTGGCCCTCCTTATTCACCTGAAAATGAATGTGGTAGCAGCTACTTTAAACTGGGGCTGCTCAGCAGAGATTAATTAATGTGCTCTCCCTCTCTCTCCCACCTCAGCACTGCTGGGGGAAGGAGAGTCAAACACCTTCAGGGGTTGCTCCCTGGAGATTAAGAGGCAGCATTTCCTCCTTGATGACAGTAGGGATTGATTGAAGGAGGAGGGGAAGAGCCACCTTTAGCAACTCGCCCTCGCCTTTGCCTACTGGAAATTAAACATGAGCCCCCACCCCCCACTTTTTGGGGATGGTGAAGAAGGCCACTTGCCTTTGTCTCGCCAGCAATGGGAGCCACATTGCAGACCTTCTTGGAACGGAGTGTGTTGATCACAGAGCTCTTTCCCACATTGGGGTAGCCAATGAAGCCCACACTGATCTGCTTCTTGTCCACATGCAGCTGTTGGGAGAGAAGGACGTGTGTGGGCATAGCATCCACTGGGCCTCCTCAAACAGGAGACGTCCAACCATTGGTGGCTAGTAGCCACCAATAGACCTCTTTCTCTTAGAGGACACAGCAATCCTTAACTTCACCAAAGAAGAACGGAAACTGCCCTGAACAGAATCAGCATCCTCCACACTAAGCGGCCGCAATGGTTCTCCTGGGTTTCAGAGAAGAAGCCTCCCCCAGCCTTTCCTGGAGATGCCAGTGACCTTCTGCACACTGAGCTATGCCCCTTCCCCAGTTTACTCTGGAGAAGAGCAAGGAGGGAGGCCAAACAGCTGCCACCTCCTTTGCTGCTGCCACCGCTCTCTTCCAGCAGAAAAGCAGCACATCAGGTTCTTTGGGGGATCACTGCTTGTCTAGTCACTGAGAGAAGGGGCGGCTGTCAGTATGGAACTAGCACAGAATCACAGAACTATAGAGTTGGAAGGGACCCAAAGGGTCATCTAGTTCAATCCCTGCAATGCAGAAAACACAGCTAATGAATCCAACCTCTGTTCAAAAACCTCCAAGGAAAAGAAGTCCACGACTTCCTGTTCCACTGTCAAGCAGCTCTTACCACCAGAAAGTTCTTCCTCATGTTTCACTGGAACCTCCTTCCTTGTTCGTTTGAATTCACTAATTCAGGTCTACCCTCTGGAGCAGCAGAAAATAAGCTTGCTCCAGTGCAAGTGTGCAAGAACAGAGGCTTCTGGGCTTTCGGGCTGAGGGAAAGAGGTTCTCAATGACAATGGGCACACACAAACACCTACAGTCATCTGCTAGCCTAGCAGTTCAAGTAATCTACTTGTCCCACCAGCAGCTGCCGCCGCCATACCTATGCAGTGCAGTCCCCAACAATAGAAGATGGTACCTGCTGGCATCTCTCATGTGAAACTTGATGGCTTCCTCTTGGGGGGAGGGAGGACGCTCCCAGGAAATCAGACTTCCTAGCACAGCAGAAACCAAGAGCCCCCCCCAACCCCATGGGGATTTCCGAAACTGTATCTCCTGCAGAAGACTGCATCTCAACAACCCCACCCCCACCCCCCAAAAAATGCAAGGCTCTTCACCGACAATGCACCAGTGGCGTGCAGTGAAATTTTTCATAGGGGAACAGTTAGGGCCAGAGGCGCAAGCTTGCAAGGGAGATGGGGGTGGCGGCAATGTCACGCATGTGACATTGTGATGTCCTGATGTCATGCACGTGAGCATCGTGCCTCCCTCCCTAAGCCGGTCAGAAAATTCCCGGGCTTTGCAAAAGAGGTACCAGGGCTCTGACAGGATGATGGAGCCCTCCAGCCTCCTTTCAAAAACCAGATGGGCTTTGGGAAGATGGCAGGATGGATCTTGGACCCATTGGAGCCTCGCACCTCCCTCCCTAAGCCAGGCAGAAGCTTTCCGGGCTTTGGGAAAGAGGCACCAGGGAAACATTTAGGGGACAGGCCTAGTCTTAGTGACTGCACGCCACTGCAATGCACCTTTGAAACAAAGATGTGCCTTACCTTTCCAAACTGTCTCAAGAGTTGAATGAAGGCCCCTTTTCCGAAGGGGTTTGTGAGGCTGGCGTGAAAGGCCAAAGTTGGGTACTCCTGGGAGAGAATAGCCACCCAGCGTTTCTAGGAGAAGGGAAGAGTGTGCCATTCAGCATCCCACTTCACAAGGCACAGCTACTCATAGAATCACAGAACCATGGAAGTGCAGAGTAGGAAGGGACCCAAAGGGTCAACTAGTCCAACAGCCCTGCTACGCAGGGATCACAGCGAAAGACTCCCAGACACGAAAAGCCTGCTCTGCAGGTCTAGCACTTTGGAAATGTTCAAATCCCACTTCCAAAATCCAAATCCCACTTCCAAAATTGGTTTCCCTGCCAATGAGCCCCCACCCAGGGGAGCTGTGGCCTAACCCTTTGCTCCACTCCAAGGAACAGTTTCAGACCTAGCAGCTTCTGGGGTTGACAAGGCCATTTCCAGGGGAATTTGGCAGGAAGCCATCAAAGGGCAGCTTTCCTTCCTGGCTCTGCCAGCAAGCACCCCTCCTTCACGAGACTCACCGTGGCCCATGTGGGCACAAGGTCACACTTGTTCAAGACAAAAATTAGGTGCTTCCAGGGCTTCTCCTTCTTCAGGTAAGTCTCCACGTGGGGGGAGCGGGTTCCCAAGGGGTCTCTGGCATCCAGCACTTGCACAACGACATCTGATGAATCAATGACCTGGAAGGGCACAGAGAGGGCAAGGGACACACATTAGACTAGAAGGAAACTTTCCACAGAATCTCAGCGACTAGGGCTAGGCAATATCTGGTTTTCAACATCATGATATATCACCAACTAAACATATCTCGACATATCACAATATACACCTGCAGCGGTGGAGGGCCTTGCTGGGCCTCCCTTCAGCAGCAGAGGGTCCCCCATACCTCCATGCAGTGGCGGAGGGTGGGCTGTGGTTCCCTGTGACAGCAGAGGGCCTTAAAATGTAAGGAAGTAGTAGATTTAATAAAAATATTAAATGAACTCCCATATAATATATTCAATCTATTTTCAACTAATTTAAGAGTAAAAAGGTAAAGGTACCCCTGCCCGTACGGGCCAGTCTTGACAGACTCTAGGGTTGTACGCTCATCTCACTCTAGAGGCCGGGAGCCAGCGCTGTCCGCAGATACTTCCGGGTCACGTGGCCAGCGTGACAAGCTGCATCTGGTGAGACAGCGCAGCACACGGAACGCCAATTTAAGAGTAGCCTAAGTGATTTACTAGTCAAGTTACATCTGCTTCCCCACTCAAAGGACTAAGTGGAATCTATGCATACATAAACCCCCGAGTTCAACTAAGCTTATTTCCACTTACCTGGGAGTAAGCCCTGTTGAATTCAGTAGGACTTGCTTGTGAGTAGAAACATACAGTGGTACCTCGGGTTAAGAACTTAATTTGTTCCGGAGGTCCGTTCTTAACCTGAAACTGTTCGTAACCTGAAGCACCACTTTAGCTAATGGGGCCTCCCACTGCCGCCGCGCCGCTGCTGCGCAATTTCTGTTCTCATCCTGAAACAAAGTTCTTAACCCGAGGTACTATTTCTAGGTTAGTGGAGTCTGTACCCTGAAGTGTCTGTAACCCGAGGTACCACTGTATTTGCTTGCACTGCTTACTGAAAAACACCCTCCTCCATCATTCTCACATAGCACCCAACCTCCCATTTCAGCATAAGGCAGCCAGCTAAGTATTCTCCCTTTCATTCCCCCTCCCACAGGGCTCCCCCAAAAGCCCCCACCCCACCAATCTCTCCTGTTTTGCAAGCAAGCAAAAAGATAGTCTCCTTTAAATATTTTTTTTAAAACCATCCTTTTTAATATGGAGGAAAGCGATTTAGGGGGAACCAACAACATAAACACCACCAGAAAATTAAAATTAAAAACTCTGTCCTCTTTTTTTCATGGTGGGGGTGAGTGTGAGTGAAGAAAGAAGCCTTCCTAGTTCTTTGTTTATGCTGGATCTTTGATTGTGGTGGGAGGGAGGGGTGTTGCTCCTGGATTGTTAGCAGGCTCTGCATAATTAGCTGAGCTCTAAGTGGAAAGATAGGGACGTGGGTGGCACTGTGGTCTAAACCACAGAGCCTAGAGCTTGCTGATCAGAAGGTTGGCGGTTCAAATCCCCGCAACAGGGTGAGCTCCCGTTGCTCAGTCCCTGCTCCTGCCAACCTAGCAGTTCGAATGCATGTCAAGTGCAAGTAGATAATTAGGTACTGCTCCGGTGGGAAGGTAAACAGTGTTTCCATGAGCTGCTCTGGTTCGCCAGAAGCAGCTTAGTCATGCTGACCACATGACCTGGAAGCTGTCTCTGGACAAACACCGGCTCCCTCAGCCAGTAAAGCGAGATGAGCGCCACAACCCCAGAGTCGTCCGCGACTGGACCTAATGGTCAGAGGTACTTTTACCTTTTTTTAAGTGGAAAGATACCAGTGGATCTGAAAGAGTGAGACACTGCCTGCAAATTATCTGTACAGGTTCAGCTGAGGTGCCCCCTGGGAAGCCTATTGCCTGCCTTGTTTAAACACTTATTTATTGCACAGTCCTATCAGCAACCCAGACCCACTGCCACAGACTGGCTCAGGCCACCATCAGGCCCTACAGTCTTGCTACCTTCGGCAGTCCTCGTACTCTTCCAAACAGGAAAGAACACGGAAGGGAAACTAATTCAGACTGCTTACTTTTGCAAGTCCAGCATGGAAAGGGGGAAAGACCAGGCTCCAGGATCAGGACCAGCTTAGCTTGCAGAAAACACAAGAGCATCTATTGCAAAAAGGTCCAGCTCCCACACTCAAACTGCTGAAATTCACCAGGCTGGGTTCAGAGGTTAGTGGAATGGGGAACAGCAGTTCTGCTCTGGCTGTTTTACATTACCAAAGACTTCTGAACAAAGAGGTTGTCTGAAAACATAAGGTGCACATTCTCTCTCATACACACAAAAACAAGTGCATGTGTAAGCTAAGGGAAGTGGCTGAGTGCTGCTATGAACACAGAACTCTGGACACAGCAGAGATAAGGAAAATGCAGCAACAACAATTTAAAGGAGAGGTCAGAGGGCCTCAGTGAGCTGAGCTGGGACCCAGAACTGCTGTTGCTATTGATTGATTAACTGCTTTTATATCCCCCTTCCTCCAAGGAGTTCAAGGTGACAAACATAGTCCTCCTTCTCATTTTATCCCCACAGCAGCCCTGTGAGGCAGGCCAAGCTTCATGGCCAAGTAGGGATTTGAGCTCTGGTCTCCCGGGCCCTAGACTGAAACCGCTACGCCGCACTGTCATCACGCCTCCCCTGTATAAGCCTGAAGTCATAAGGAAGGAAGCAGCACACAGAACATCACAGCAGGGATTACCTCTGCAAGGCCCTTCCCAGAAGCAAATGGATGGAGAGCAACTGAAGGGACCTATTGGGTCACGTTCCGGCTGAGAGATGGGAACTGCCCTCCTTCCCACAGTTCCACAGAGCCTACCTTGTACAGTTCTCCCCAGATGCGCTTGGACTGCCCCTTCTTGTAGATCTCCTCTCGCGCCTCCTCCCTGCAAAGAAGCAGTTGAAGGTGTCATAACAAGCCTGTGAGGTAGGTTAGGCTGAGAGGCTGTGACTGGCCCAAGGACACCCAGTGAGATGAATGGGGATCTGAACCCTGGTCTCTCAGGTCTTAGTCTGATGCTGTAACCACTAAACCACACAGGCTCTCAGCTAGTGAATTAGCTAGCCTGTTCTGAGGGAGTGATCCAGCCCAGTCCATGAGACAGGAAAAAAACCAGTTAGCCCTGCCTTTGACTCAGGGTAAAAAGCTCCAATTCCCGTCTTGCTAACTCAGCCAACGGGGCCCTTGAGGAGAGGGGAGGAGAGAAAGACAAAGAGACGGGAGAGGGATCCCCTTCCCTAGGAGGATGCTCCAGGGGCTCACCTCACTCCAGTATCTTCTGTCACCCGATCCCTGTCCTTTTCTTGGTCATAGCTGCTGGCTCCAGCTGTGGCATTTTCCACCAGGGACTGCACATCACTTGCCGAGAGGTTGGGCCGCTTCCTTTGTGCTTTGGGGCCAAATGTAGTTTCAAACGTTTCTGTGTCGAGAATGTGGACTTTGGAATTCTGAAAGGCAAGGGGGGGGAGGGAGAAGTCACACCTCATTTGCCCTGGCTCAGAACAAGACACCCAAGTTAAACTGATTTGGACAACGTACTGCCCCTGTTCTGTTGTTGTTTGGGGTTTTTTCTGAGAGCAGCAGCCCAGCAGACCTGAGCCACAGCCCTGGGGCTTGCCAGAAAGACCTGCTCCATTTCTCTTATTATTAAGATTACCATTCGCTCAGTCCAACGCAATTAAAGCTACAAGGGTGCAAATCCCTCTGCTCTCTCTGCTCAGTTCCATCGAAGAGGGCTCCAGATCCAGCCACGGCCCAGATTTGTCAGGGAGAATCTGCCTCCCATTTTGCTTTGTTCTTTCAAAGTCCAGTTGCAAGGGCCAGCCCTTTTCTTGGAAGCGAGTCTCCTACAGAGAGCAAGGCTTGCTCATTTAAGTGATGTGCACTCAAGTTACACAGAACTCTTTTCTTAATTTAGGATGTTTTCCTTTTATTGGAGACACATGGAAACTCGTGAGAAAACAAAATTGTCCTGCGAGAGCTCAGTATGCGTAGAAGAAAGAGCCCGGCTCGTGGGCCAGAGCAGAGGGAATGTTGGGCTTGAGATGAAAGGCACCGGCTGTGGGGCGGACCTAAGAAGCCAGAGGACAGAGCCAAGCGGCCTCCTCTTCAGTGCCAGGCCTGGGCAATGGCCCGGAGTTGGGAATTGGCACATCTGGCTACCAGAGAAACACCACAGACCGCATACATGTTCCACATGAACACACCTGGCATGCAACAGAGGGCAGCAATGGCCTCCAACTTCGAGGGCTTTAAAAGAAGATTAGACAAATGCATGGAGGAGGAGGGCAATTGGTGGCTACTAGCCATGATGGTTTTGCTCTGCCTCCACAGTTCAAGGCAGCAATGCTTCCAAATGCCAGTTGCATTTAAAGCCCTATGCGGCCTAGGATCCACATACCTACGGAACCGACTCTCCTGGTATGCCCCGCGGAGGACCTTAAGGTCCACAAATGACAACATTTTGGAGGTCCCAGGTTGCAAGGTGGTTAAATTGGTCACAACTAGGGCCAGGGCCTTTTCAGAACTGGCCCCGACTTGGTGGAATGCTCTGTCACAAGAGACTAGGGCCCTGCGGGACCTGACATCTTTCCTCAGGGCCTGCAAGACAGAGCTGTTCTGCCTGGCCTTTGGTTTGGACTCAGTCTGACCCTTATGTTTTCCCTCCCCTTATAGTTTTGATCTATGGGCTACTTTTAAAATGAGACTGCATTTTAAATTGCATTTTAACCTGTGTTTTAAATTGGTGGGTTTTTTTCCCTATTATGATTTTACTGTAATTTTATTGGTGTTAGCAGCCCTGAGCCTGGCTCTGGCCAGAAAGAGCAGGGTATAAATAAAATTTATTATTATTATTATTATTATTAAGGCACAGGAGGGGAGAGGGTTCCTGTAGCTTTCCTCTATGGGCAACTAGGAGGCCACTATAAGAACACGGTGCTGGAATAGATGGGTCAAGAAACACCCCCCCCCCCCAAGTTTACTGAGCCCTTGCATGATGGGCACCTCCTGGCAAAGGGTGAGCAGCCACGCTGCAACTCAGTTTACATCTATAAGTTGCAAACGTAATCATATTCTACAGGGCCCTCCTCCAGCCAATCAGGCTTGGAACCAAAGGAAGGCTCCTACTCACTCGGAAGCAGCCCACAGGCACTGGGGAGTTTTGCGGGAAGGGAGAAAAGTCTAGAGGGGGGTTTACAGAGACAAGCAATTCAGCAGGTGCGAACCACAAAATGACACATGGTTTACATGAATGGACTAAGATGAGGAGGGACACGCACACTCAGGCAACAAAGCCTAACAAAGGCTGCCCCCCTCCTCTCTGGGCATGTCGGCATCTGTGCACTGGTGGACTAGAGAATAACCTTTATGTGGAGTTATTTTGCAAAGTCAATTTTCACACCTTCACTAGGTCTTTAATTGCACCTACTGCAATTACGCCTACTGGAATATGCTTTTCTCTGCGAATGCGTGGGAAATGTAACCCAGAAGTCTTCCCCAGAGTCCAGCATGCATACAACCACACCCAAGAAAAGAACAAAATAGGGGCCTTGGATGCTGTGGGGAGAGAAGAGTCCCCACCACAAGGTGGTATGAGGAGGACTTACATGAGGCTTAATTCGGTCATGGAGGAGAGAGAGTGGCAGCTTGGTTTGCTTCATGACAACTCTGTAGGGGTCCTTCATCACTGTCTCCATCTCCTCCTGGAACTTCTGGAGGGACGACTGCTTGATCACCCTTGTGTTACCTGCATTGAGAGAACCATAAATGGGGGCACCCCAGGCCCAATATGGTGCCTCCCACACCTTGGGCTTGATGAAATAAGCAGTTATTTAGGAGCAGGTGCAAGGTGGCCTTTATCCAAACCCAGCTCTTTGACTAGGGTCCCTGCACGTCTGCCTTTCACCCAAGGAAGAAATCCTTAAAAAAAAACTGTGCCACAGCATAGCCAAAAACAATCTCACCAAACCATTTGATGTTGGGCTCCACTCTTGCCACCGTGCCGGGTGCTACCGTGGACTGGAACTGAAGTGGCCGGATGACTTTCCCACGATTGTTCCTGCAGACAAAGAACAGCCACTGGAGAGCTGGCTTGTGCTTGATCCTGTCTGAGGGAAGCTAGTCCCTTTCAGCTTCCATTTCCCCAACCCTGAATTGGAAACAGGGAGCCAAAGGCTCAGGAGCGGAGGACACACTTTGCATGCAAAAGGTCCCAGATTCCTTCCCTGGAAGAACTCCGATCAGCTGGTGCCAATTAGCGTGGACAATAAGGAGCTAGATGGACCACTCAGCCGACTCGCAGATTCCGATGTATTAAGAGGGCGAACACAGCTAAGATTGTAAAACATGTTTGGAATTGGAGGACTGCAGAAAATGTACTTGACAGAAACAAAACCGTACCTATAAGGGCTCCCAGGGGAGTAATAAGCTGGTCCCTCCATCCCGCCCCTGCTCCTTGGCTTGAAGGAAAGGGCAAACGCTCAAGCGAAACACAAGACGGAGCAGAAGGGAGCTGATTGTACGGCTCCAGGTGAACAACTGGAAGCAATAAGGGCTCCTTGGCTGCATGTCAGGCGGGAGGGCAGGAGGGTTACCGAGGCGGGGGCAAGAATGCCTGTTACCCAAGGCTGACACTTTTCCACAGGCCGCGCCAAGCAATGGAGCAGAGCCTCTGAAAAACACATCACTAAGAGGTTCCACATTTTGCCCTTGGCCCCCTTTCACAGGCAGAGATGTTTGGGGAGACACAGCAAGGCTGCTTCCATTTAGCACCTGCTCAGGGGTACAGAGCACATGCCGGCTGCACAACGGGGCATGAAATCGACTTGTTTACAGACAGTACAGAAGCAGGCGCCAAGTCTGAGGAAAACAGGAGGCAGCAGTGACTTCAGCCTCGCAGCTGAAGAAGGGCAGCTTCACCCAGATCTAGGTTTCCAGCAAAGCGGCTGTGACTCTCCTCGGCAACACTGGTGTGATGCATGTCTGCCAATCCCATGTGTCAGGGCAACAGGTGAGGGAGCAGAGGGGATGGCAAGAGGGTCTTGAGCCCTGTTTATTAAGAACCTGTATCTGAATCAGCTTACAGAGATAGAAGGACTTTCGAAAACAGTGGCTCCCCGGGCTCAGTGATGGGGGAAAGACCTGCATGTCATGTGGCCTCTTCTGAAGTGCTGAGTCAGCACGAAACCCTTTCCTGCCAAGTGCTGAGGTGGTTGGATGGGCAACAATAGGTTAGTTGCTCTCAAGCTCAGCTCAGAAGCAGAAAAGCATGGGAACATGATCTTGAGGGAAGAGCAGGCAAGAATGGCATCGAGGAAAGGTGGGGTAGCAAAAGTTGTGTCTCAACTAAGTGGGGTGGGGGAAGTGCCCTTTTAGCAGTGAATACCTGACAGAAGAAACACACACACCACAGTAACTAGCTTGAAGGAGAGAGCCCCACAACCACTTCTGCTTACTAATCTCTTGCTGCGACATGAAAAGGATGCTAATTAAAGCAAAGTCTGGGGATAACTATTAATGCTAATGGACCACTTTTCATTTACTTTAAGAAGAGAAGAAACAGATTGGGGGTCTCCAGCTATTCAGCAACTTACAGAAGAAGTAGATTTATTACTTACAGGATTTAAACAAGAAAAACTAACAGACCAACAGTTGGGCAGACAACTTCTTTTCATGGAATCATAGAACCATAGAGTTAGAAAGTAAAAAAAATCATCTAGTCCAATGTCCTGCAAGAACAGCTCCCTGTGATGCACTGATGGGTGTTGTAAACTTCCAGGGAGAGTCCATATGCTGAATATTTTCCTTGATAAAAGTTTAAACAAATATATCATCTTTTATCCTGAGTATATATGTGCTCTTGCTGAAGAGGACACAAGGATCTACCTAAAGCAGCCTTTTAAAACACACACACACACAACAGTAATCCCAGCAGGTATTAGGCAGTCCACCAACAAATTGTGCTTTAGCTTATTGGATTTCTGATCAAAAAGTCAGCTGCCAGGAGTCTGCAGGAATTCAGACTGCAAGAACCACAATTTGATGTGCACAGGCAGTTGCTTGCTTTTATTTATTTGCATATCCAGCACTGCTTCTTGCAGGAGAGCATGGCTTTAATAGGAGGCAAAACTGAAAAATCACAGGGCTGCAACCCAGAAGAGAACGGGCTTTTGGCTTCCACAGATGGCAGTAAGGGAAGATTGTTCTGGAGAGACCACTATTGCTCTCTCAAAATTAGGGAAGGACTTGGTTGTAAATATTTAACTTTTTTTGTTTCATCGTTTGCTTTGTGCTTTTATACTTTATAACCCACAAGATCTAATGAACAGCCTCACATGGTATGAGCAAACCATACATGGTATGACCAAATATTGCAATATTCTTATATTACAAAAAGCAACCCCGTGGAAGAGACAATTTGGATCCAGGTCATGCTGCCGAAGGCTGGAAGCAACCTAACTCTTTGCCCTATGTCACAGCCCTGATCAAAATTCTATCCCAATCCAGAACTTCTATTAACCATAGAGAAAAGGACTTCAGGCCTTAAGCGCTTAAGATTGTACTTTTTCCCTTATGCATGTTATAGCAGCTGACAAGAGAAAATGATTTGGATCTAGGCCACTGTACAGGGGCAAAGGGTTAGAACTTCCTTCTTCCTGTATAGACCCAATCCAAACTATTCCCTCCTGTGGCTGCCAACAAGTTTTTTTTCCTTTCTTCTCCAGAAACCTCCATGGAATTTGCTTTGAAGATGTAACGCAAAACTCTAAAAACTCATTTTTTCAATCAGGTTTTGGTAAGAGGGGAGAGCTGAGCAAATACCTCACTAGCTACTAGTGCTGCTCTGCTGTAATCTTATCACTGAATTGATATTTGTTCTACTTTATCTTGTTAAAATAGCACTGCTTTATAGCATGTTGAAATGTCGCTGGGGTATAGATAAATATATTATTATTATTATTATTATTATTAAAAAAAACCTGCTCTGAGATCAATGGAACTCATGAAGTGTAAGATGTAAACTGAACCAACTAATAAATGAATCCCTTTCCTTTTACTGACTAAAATGAATTTCTGCATCAAGCTTCCTCATGAAACATGATTGTGAAACATTTGCTGGTCTCAGGAAAAGTCCTCTTTAAATGCCATTTTACACAAGAACATACGAAGAACCTGTTGGATCAGGCCAATGGCATCCTGTCCAGCACCCTAGTTTCACAGTGGCCGAACAGATGCCACAAATGGGAAACCCATGAGCAGGACCTGAGCACAAGAGCAATCTCCCCTCCTGTGGTCTCCAGCAACTAGTATTCAGAAGTATTGCTGCCTCCAGCCGTGGAAGCAGAGCATAGCCATTATGGTCCTCTCCACGAATTTGTCATTTCAGGAACCGCAACGCCCTGACTAGGAAACCCTCCAGACAGTACTGTGTTTATTGCAGTTCATGGCATACACACACCCAGCCTCACCTGCGTTCCTTCTGCCTGTACATGTTGAGGCGCCGGATGGTTGCCCGGTCCCGCATGTTGTGGCCTCCAGCGCCATTTGGCCGATCTAACGTGATGGGGATGAGGGAGAGAGAAAATGAAAGACATGGTGACTAAACTGTGACCAAAAATTAAAAGAATTTTAAGTGAGGAATTGTACAAATTGTAAGTGAGGAATTGTACAAATGAAGGAACCTGTGTCAGCTTGTGTGGACGCAAGTAACCAAAGATGAAGAAAAGGAACTGTTAAAAGAAAAACATTTTCCCCCTGTGACATCTATGCTACCATCTTCTGTCACCATGGACCTAAGTGGCTCCACAGAGTTTGTCAATGTACTGCTTCATCCACCTGGTGCTTTGCAGATGTTTGAGGCTATAACTCCCACCCACCTCAGCTAGCTGAGGCAGATGGGAGTTGTAGCCCCAACCTCTTGAGGGTACCAGGTTGGTTAAGGCCATACTATAAAACCTGGTAGTGCAATGCTCAGACACAGCCTGAACAGCTATGTCAAGATCCATAAGAATAGCTTGCTGGATCAGGCCAAAAGGGTTCCAGCTAGTCCAAACTCCTGTTCTTCTCACAGCAGCCAACCATCCAGGTGCCTATGCAAAACCCAAAAGCAAGATTCAAGCACAAGAGCACCTCCCTTACTGTGGAATGCTAGCAACTGGCTGCCTCCAACTGTGGAGGCACAGCATAGCCATACTGGCTAGTAGTCATTGGTAGCCCTCTTCTTCGTGAATTTGTCTAGTCCTTTTTGAAAGCCATCCAAGTTGGAGGCCATCACTGCCTCCTGTGAGTGCGAGTTCCAGAATTTAACAAATACCTCATTTTATGTGTCCCGAGTTATCCAACATTCAGCTTCTTTGGATGTCCGTGAGCACTAGTGTTATCAGACAGGAATAAATCCTTTTCTCTATCCACTTTCTCCAGGCCATGTATACTTTTATTAACTTCTATCATGTCACCTCTTACTCACCTTTCCTAAAGTCCCAAATGCTGCAACCTTTCCTCTTGGGGAAGTAGCACCATAGTTTTGCATAACGGCGTTATGAGATTGGCGGCTTTATTTCCAATTCCTTTTCTAACGATCCCTAGCATGGAATTGACCTTTTTCGACATCCTCATCGTGCTAGCCACTAGGACCCTGAGGCTCCTGGTCACTTTCCGCCAGTTCAGGAGAAATTAATACCTATTTTTTATTTTTTTATTGCCCCCATATGCCTCATGACGCATTCTTCCAAGTGCGGCCCCACCTGCTCGGTGGCAGCTATAAAGAGAAAAGCTCTTGGGCTGCAGGGGTGCCGGGGGAGGCCTCCGCCTGCAGCTCTGCTGCGGACCAGCGCAGAGGCCCAGCACGCCGTGGGAGGAGCGCAGGATCCTGCCCGGAGGGGCTACCCCCGCCTCTCGACCTTCGCTCCTTTCCCCTGCCCGCCCACCCCACTCACTCACTCACCGGGGTTGGTGCTGGCCCGCGAGGGGTTGATGCTGGCGCGGCCCTTGAATCCCGGCTTCACCATGGCGGCGGCGGCGGCTCCTGCTGCGGCTCAGGCCACGTTCAGACGGCCGGAAGAGACTCCGCAGCAACTTCCGGGAAAGGCGGTGACGCACTTCCGCCGCCGGTGACTCGGGCACAAGCTCTGTTTGTCAGTTCGCTGCCCTTCGCCAGCACCGCTCCGAAGCTGGCCGTGACGTCACGGCGAAAGGTTTGGTACGATTCCCCTCACCACACACAAACTCCCGCGCCTGGAAGTGACCGGCGGGGAGCGCTTGTTGGATGACGTCGGTAAAGCATGAAGGCGGCGTGGCTCTCCAGGGCGGGCCAGGTCCAGCCACGCCTCTGTCCTCTCTCCACTCAGGAGTAAGTCCCTCCCGGTCCGTTCATCCAATGGGCTTCCTCCTTGCCTAGCACGTGGGTAGCGCTTGAGGAAGGGGCGGGAGGGGAAAATGTGACTGGACTCCAATTCCCATAAGCCCCTGCAGCCACCGTGGGCAATGTCGCGGCGGGATGGGTCGGGGTGATGAGAACGTTTATGGGGAGAAGAACCAGGGGATACAGGACTAGAAGGAGAAGGAGGAGATCTGGGTTGAAATCCTGTCTCTGCCCTGAAGGATTAAGACAAAAACAAAGGGAAAGGAATTGCTGAATTAACTAATTGAACTGGAATACAAAAAAGGGAGGTGTGAGGAGGTCAGGGAAACAAGGAAATGAAATGTAAGACATGGAAAGATTGACTTGTTTTTAAGTGTTTTTTATCTTTTTTCTGTATTTTGTATTTTGTATTTTTTCTTTTTTTCTTTTCTTCTTATCTATGTAATTTCTTTTTTTGAAACTTTAATAAATATCATTAAAAAAAAAAAATCCTGTATCTGCCCTGAAGCTCCCAAGGCAGCCCCGCTCCGCTTTCCATCATTCTAAGCCGAAGGCTGGGAAACAAACTTGATGCAAGCCATAGTTCCTCTGTGCCGCTTAAGACCCCCGTGGACTTCTATGCACAGTCAGCTCAACGTATTTTAGAACAGTCATGAACCAGGGGGAGGGTTATAATTCGTTTCTGTAGGTCCGCAGTGGCCTTACCAGCATCACAGCGTTCCTTTGAGCCACTGCTGAAAGCATCCATTCTGCTCATAATTGCCTGCTTCCTGGAATTGCACTCTCCCCACCCTCTTGGATGCCAGGTACAGGGTCATGGCTAATGCCAAACATTTTCACATTCGAGGAGAGAAGTGGTGCTCATGGTATTTGCTAAAAACATAGCACTCCTCAGACTTTGATCTCCAGGTGATGATGGAACTGCAACTCCCACCATCCTTGACTGGTGGCCAAGTGCAGTAGTTAGATTCCAGCCGTGCAAGTTTCTACACACACACACTTTTCCATCCAAGCAAGCATTATCCCAGTTCAGGACTCCATTGAATGGCTGGTAGAGTGGAAGGCAGAGAGACCAACAGGAGGTGGAGCCAAAGCTGTGGGAGGCAGAGACTTTTTAATTCTACTTTTATTCCCTTCCTCCTCCTCTTCCTTACTCAGTTCTACAATAGCAACACTGAGACGAAGGGCAGTGGCATACGCTGGACTGGATGCAAGAAAGAAGACAAGCAGGTGTGAGGTCTGGTTTGCGCTAATAGATCAGTGTGATGTAGTAGTTAGAGTATCAGACTAGGACCTGGTCAACTAGGGTTCATATCCCTACGCGGCCATGAAACTCACTGGGTGACTTTGGGTCAGTCATTGCCTCCCAGCCTAACCTACCTTATAGGGTTGTTGGAATTAAATGAGAAGGGGGAGAACCATGTATGCCACCATGAGCTCCTTAGAGAAACGTGGGATGAAAATTTAAAAAATCAGTTATGGTTTGATGCGCCCGGGACTTCGGCTATAATATCCAAATGGATGTGTAGGAAAGACTCTGGAAGGTAGACATAAAATTCACCGCATGTTATAATCTGAAAGAAAATCTGATGAAAATATTTTACCGATGGTAGCTGACCCCAGGCAAATTAGCCAAAATGTATTATTAAAAAAAATAATCGAGCGTTTGCTGGTGGTGTAAGAAGTCAGAAGGTACAATGCTACATATGTGGTGGAACTGTGTGAAAGTTAGAGAATTCTGAGACATTATATATAATGAACTTTAAAAAATCTTTAATTTTCATTCCAAAAAACCAGAAACCTTCCTGTTGGGAATCATGTACAATGAAATCCCAAAAAACTCTAGAAGAATTTTCATGCATGCAACAACGCCAGCTAGAATTTTGATAGCAAATAATTGGAAAGGAGAAGTGATTAGACTGGCAGGTGAAGATTAGACTGGCAGGTGAAGATGATAGAATATATAGAACTAGCCAAAGTGACTGGAAGTTTAAGAGATGATTCAAAACAGAGATTAAATAAAGAATGGAATGTCTTTAAAGAATATTTACAGACGCATTGTAAAAACTTAAACGCTTTGACAAGTCTAGACTGAACCGTGCAGGACAATAGGGAATAAGAGTAAATTAAGTGATAATTAAAATTAAGAAGTGATAATACAAAGTGTGAAATTGAAAATGAAGCCTAGAAAACATAGTGGGATGAATGGAAGTCAAAAGAATATGTGGTGTTTTTTCTTGTTTGTTTGTTCTTTGATGCTGTTACTGCATTGTTTTGTTTTGTTTTGTTTTGTTTTGTTGGTTGTTTGTTTGTAAAGTATTGTTTCAATAAAGTAATTTTTAAAAGAAAGAAAGAAAATTTAACAATACAGTAAATAAACAAACTTGCTGGTTGAGGGACACATTCCAGCCAAGCAAAAATGGGTGTGGCCTGGGGTAGTCCTGGGGGTCTGGTGTGACCACCCTTTGCCTCTCGGTCCACACAATGACTAGCAGCCACTCTCCAGGATCTCAGGACTGTTACCTCTCCAAACCCCTCCTGGCAATGTTAGGAATTGAACCCAGGATCTTCTGCATGCTTATTGTGTGTTCTACCATTACAAGCAACAGCCTCCGATCTCACCAGTGAACACCCTCTCTGGTCTGAAGTTGGTTTCAATTAGTGGGAGCTCAGTAGCAAAATGTAAGAGCTGCAGTTTTCATTCTTTTTTGGAGTCTGTCTCCCCACCCCTTCCTTTTATCATGATAGATTTATCTGTGCGCAAAGCGCTCACTCCCCCAGTGGGATTTTTTAAAGATTCAAATTGCAGCTAATTATTTAAGCTCTTAGACTAGAGGCTTAGACAGAAGGCCTCTCCCAGCCTCAGTGTGGTTTCTATTAAAGGCGATATCCATCTGTCAAAGGGCTCTTTTGATTTCTGAACTCTCAGACTAAATAGTTGAGTAATACTTGCTCTCTTCACCCTGCGCTCTCTCTCCTTTTCCGTAGAAAAACACACTTTGTGTGTTGTTTAAGGGAAGGGGGGGGGGAGAAACTTGGGATCTTCCCAGGAATCTGATGTCCAGGCTCCGCAAGAGCAGAAAAAGTTAGCTTCAGGAATGCAGCTCAAGCTGTGGCCAAACTGGCAAAGAGACTACACAGAGCAGGACATGTAAGATGACTGCAGCAGTCTGCTCCTGTGCTCTTTAACGCATAACAGGATAACTTGTTCCAGGGCAGAAGCACACACAGCGGGATGGAAGCAACACTAATGATGAGGAGCAGGTATTGAAAGAGATCCGAAGAACCAAGAAGTCCCTCTTGCTTTCTGAGCGGTGTTCTCCTTTGATGTTTTGTGTCCTTTTCCATCTGTGCTCTCTATCTGCTTCTACTAATTTCCTTCTTACCCTGTCAGTGGGTACTGCACCCTCCCAGTCAGTTTACAAGTTCTCTCTGGGCAGAGTCCTCCTCTTTCTCCCCTGTGTGTTGCACACCACCGGGGCAGAGTGCCATGGCCTCATCATGCCACATGTCTTAATCTGTGCTTTCCTTTTACAGCCCCCACAAGAGTTGTGAAATCATTTCCATAGAAGAAATGAACATTTCTCAGCCAAATGGAAGCTCTTGAATGGATTTCCATTCGGAGTTTTGCCCCTGCTGCTTTTTGACAAAGCAGAGGCTGCCAAGGTGAAATGGAAAGCTTTGACCTTTTCCCCTTCTCCTCTCCTCTTCCTCTCCCCACTCACCTTGGCTGTGCCTGCCTGGCAGATACTGGGAAGGCACACCTGCAGTGACAGCTGCTAACCTGGACGACTTTAAAAGAGGACTAGACAAATTCATGGAGGAGAGGGCTATCGGTGGCCACCAACCACAATGGCTGTGCTCTGCCTCTACAGCTGGAAGCAGGAAGCTTCTGAATACCAGTTGCCAGAAACCACAGGAGGTGAGAGTATTGCTATTGTGCTTGGTTCCTGCTTGCAGGTTTCCCACAGGCATTTGGTTGGCCACTGTGAGAACAGGATCCAGGACTAGGACTAGATGGGCCATTGGCTTAATCCAGTAGCATCTTCTTATGTTTTTATGATATTCAGTGTTCTCTGGCAGCCACCACGTTTTTGCATTTGGGTTCTCTGTTGCTCTTGATGTCATGTATGTGCCCTCCTCCCAGAATCGCCTCTGGCAACCAGATGGACATGCATTTGCATCATTTCCATGCAATACAAGAGGCAATATGCACCTACACACACCATGGGAAGTAAAACCTATATCACAACAACCCTTTGGGTTCTTTTGAACCCTGTTCTCTCTCTCCCTTGAACGCCCCCCACCCACCTACCCTGCTTCTCCAACTGAGTGTAGAGATCCCAGGCTGCAATATATTATACTGTGTATAAATACCATCAGAGTGATTAATCTGGGGTAGCTGCTTATATAAATCTGGAGTTTCTGATACCTCAAAGGAGAGCCTTAATTTAAAAAACCCCAAACCCACAATAGCAATATTATGTTTTCTTGTTCTTTCGATTTCACAAAAACAGTCACTTCTGCAGCGTTCTAGAGAAAGACCACGAAAGAATGAAGGACGAAGGATGCCTCACACTTCTGAATGTATAAACTGGGATTTCTTCAGAGCAAAGAGTCATTTTAATGTAAACATTAACAAGCAAGGTATATACATTCTCTAGGTTGCTATGGAGGCAGAAGGCTAGTAAATTATTATTGGGGGGCTGCACATGAGCATGTTAAACTTGGCTTGCCAGGGAAGCTGGCGAAAGTTGGGATTTATATTAAACATGGGAGGGAGAAGATAATCCGTACAATTTGTCACTGTGGTGGGGGGTATGCTGGACTTTCAGCTGAACTCTGGGTGGGTTTCTTTGGGAAGACAAGAGTGGGCAGAGAGACAGAGAGCCTGGCGTTGTATGTGATATAATATTTTTCTGGCAACTGCTGATTCTCCACCACTCAATTTTTTATCACTAGCCTTGCTAAAGTCATACCCATACCTGGGTATGACTGCTCCTCATCCTTTCCTACTTATTTGCCATGTTCTTATTACTTAACTACTCTGCAGGGCCCTTTGTACATTGAGATCATGGCTCTGGTTGGCACAAACTTCCCACAAGAAGGGGCTGGCCTCTGGGTCCCCAGAAAGAGAGAACATGGGGTGAGGTTGATTCCTGATCTAGGTTGAAGCAAAACTCTCTGGTTCTGCTGGGGCTCATCTCAGCTGCAGGTTACGGGGGCTTTCCATTTGATGATGATGATGCCAAAGTACCAGCGAGGAAGGGCTGCAAGCAGCACCACTAATAATAATAATAATAATATCTTTATTGTCATTGCCCCCTTCGGGGACAACGAAATTACTCCCCGTCACAGCATATAGATCAATATTTCACCTATGAGATCACCTTACCCCGTATGTGCCCACTTGACCACTTCAGTCAGTGGAACTGGCAATGTTAGAGGTGCCGCATAGTACCTGTTCCACATTTAGCGTGGCGACTGCTACACTTTGGAACTCCCTGCCTGTTGATATCGGGCAGGAGCATTCACTATACTCTTTTCGGCACCTGCTAAAAACATTTACTTAAACAAACCCACCCAGATGTTTAGAAAGGTGATATGAGTTGTCATCTGTTTTTTGGCCGTCATTATTAAACTTTTTGAAAGTCTTAAATATTGTTAATTTTTTTCTCAGTGATAATTTTATTTTTTTATTTTTTTGTAAACAGCTTTGAGGGTTGTTGTTTTTTAAAAGAAGAAGGCTTTTATCTGTCCTGAATCATCCAACATTTAGCTTCATTGGACACCCATGAGTCCTAGTCCATGGGAGAGGGAGAAAAGCTTTCCTCTGTCCACTCTTATCTGTTGCAAAGGCACAGGGCAAGGGAGTGCTCTCCTAAGGCAATTGTTCTGACAGAGTCAGTCTCATAACAGAGCATCTTAGCAACTTGAGGCCCCACTCAGACAAAGGCCCTTCTTTTGCCAGGAAGCTTTCGGAGTTCTGGAGGGTCACGCGGCCCACTGCTGAGATGCCGCAGCAGAAACAAGCTGCTTATCTCTCACTCGCCGGGGGGAGAAATTTTAGAAGGAGCCGAGAAGACCTCCTTCGGCTTTTGCCTCAACATAATCTCTGCGCGGTTCAAAGGCTGAGCCTGGAGGAGCTCTTGCCCACTTGTGGCCTGGTATGCTGCTCGTTTATCATCGCGCTGAAATGGAATCCCCTCCGAAAGATATAACGGCGCAGTGTTTACTTAAGTGCAAAGTGGATGATGGGCCTGGCAGCCCTGCTGTGAACAAGCAGTCCGGGAGAGCTTGGTACAGCTCTGGAATTGACACAACTATTCCGCTCCCACACCCCTGCTGGAGCCAGGAAGACAATCCGGTGAGCCTTCCCTAGAAACATAACTGCCCAATCCCCTTGGCTGCAAACAGAAACCAGGGTGGAAATTCCTAGCAGGACAATGGAACTGCAAGAGGGAACTGGACTTGGCTGGTGTACACCCACAGGAGAAGCTTGGTGTTCCCATGCTGCCGGCCTGACACTCGTCCCTCCAGGGCTCATTGCTCAACAGCCATGTCCAGTGCAGAATCATAAAAACATGGAATTGTAGAGTTTGAAGGGACCCCAAGGGTCATCTCAACCAACCCCCTGGAATGCAGGAATCACAGCCAAAGGTTCCCTGACAGATGGCCATCCAACCTCTGTTGAAAAATCTATGATTTTTCAGCCACCTTCCAAGGAAGTCTGTTCCCTTGTCAAACAGCTCTTACTCTCAGGAAGCTCTTCATTGTTTTCTGCTGCTCCAGAGGGTAGGACCCAAACCATTGGATTCAGGGCTTATCCGCACTTAACTTTTCTCCACTATTTCCAGGCACAGTCTGCGCATTAAAGCTTCATTTGCAGAGCTTTTCCTGTGAAAACCTGCTCTTTACAACTAAATTGGCACAAGCAGCAATGCGCTAAAAACCCGAATTAATGTTTTCTCTGAGTGCTAAAGAGTGAGTTTTCATGGGGGTAGCTGTGGGGCAAAACAAACAAAACAAAACAACACTTGGACACAGCTTTTAAGCGTGGACTTGTGCCTGAAAAGAGCAGAGCAAAAGGTAAGCCTGGATAAGGTCTCAAATTATAGGAAAGGAGATTCCACCTAGGAAGAACTTTCTGACAGTAGTGGGACAGAGGAGGCCTCAGGATTGGGGGCCTCCAGTCTGGGTGATGTTTCGTGGGTGCAAACAGCATTGAAAGCAAAATCACATAAAAATGCCATGGTGGCATCATAAGCACCAAACATCATGAATGCACAATAGAAAGAATGTTTAAGCAGACCTTTTATGTACCCTGAAGGATGAGAATACTCTTTTCGGAGTTACTACTTTGAAGATGATCTGCAGACATAAGAATGGGACTATTTTGGGGGTTTTTTAATCTGAAATTTTGAAGCAATATCAGGGCAAACACCCCTGGACGTTCATCACAGATATGCAACACATATTCTCAGTGATACAGGTTGAAACACAATGGAGAGGACTTGAAAGCAGCCTTTGTGCATTTCCAGATTTTGAGCAAACTCATTCCAGTCTTGTCCTTGGCATTGGGAACTGTCTCCTCTCATGCCGTCTGTCCATAGCGACTCCAGCTGGAGATGTTTGCTCAGCGGCCCTCCTTAAAGCACATGCCTTCTTCCCTCTCATCTTCCCAACATCAAGTCCTGGGCACTCTGGTCAAGAGCACCTTGTTGAGACAGTCCCCTTGCTAAGGAACCACAAGGAATTTCCATGTTTCTGATACACTACGCCGGATATAGGTGGGTCTGCATTTTTGTACATTTTGCCCCTAGAAGGATCCTTCCGTCTGTCCAGCCATGTCTTACGTCATCGTGGTGCAGTGTTTTGGTTCAATAAAGCTTTCATTTACATAGCAGCAATGGAGGTTTGTCATCGCACAGCTGTGGAGGGACAGCTACGGAGCAGAGGTCACAGGCACAACTGTTCCCCTGGGCTGGCCTTTCCTTCTCCTGACACGGCCGTCCTTGGCATCTTTCCGGCTTCTGTCCTCATTCGCGTTGTCTCTCTTTCCTTGCTCTTCCTTTTTCTTTTTCCATCCTGCAAACAAGCAAAAGGCCAAGAGTGAGATGGAGGAAAAGAGGAGGTTGTCCCCTAACCTGCATCTGCTGTTCAGCAAGAGGACATTAGACACTCTGAAATGGCTCATAAATAGTCAACACCACACGCTACCTGTGCATAGGAAGCTGTCTTATATGGAGACTGGCCATGGGTCCATCTAGCTCAATCTTATCTACTCTTGAGTCACAGCAACGACTCTCTAGGATCTCAGGCAGAAGCTTCTCACAGCCCTATGTAGAAGTGCTGCAGGTTAGACCTGGGGCCATCTGCGCACAGAGCAGGTTTCCTACCCCTGGGCCTTCTCAACAGAGAAAGAGCACCCTTCTTCTTCAAGCTATAATGTTGTCTCTAAGGGGTAAAAAAAGCTCATTCCCCCAGATCAATTAATGCAGGAAGCTGCCTTATACCAAGTCAGACCACTTGTCCATCTCACTATTGTCTACACTGACTGGCATTGGCTTCTCCAGAATTTCAGGCTGCGTTCTCTGTTCTCTGCACCTGGAGATGCTGTCAGGGAATGAACCTGGGACCTTCTGCATCCAAACCAGATGCTCTGCTACTGAGCTATGGCCCTTCCCCTGGATGCAAAGGCAGGGGATGGCTTTTCACCTAGCTTTTGAAATAGACATAGGGAATACAGGCTCCTGCAATGGCCTTGGGTGAGTTGGGATGTTGCTGACACTCAGAAGTTGTTGGTGAGGGAAAGTCAGCCTGGAGGACAGGCAGGAAGGGAATGGGGGATGAGAAGGTTCTGCTGAACATGCTGAGAGTCTGAGGGTCCTGCTTCTGCCTCTCTCCACCAGGCCCAGGGCTTGGCCTGATAGACTACAAAAGGACTGCTGCTGCTGCCCAGCAGAGAGTACGGTTTACATTCTTTTAAACTGCTTTTTATTTTATTTTAATTAAAATGGTTTTTGACTTTTTGTGTTTTGAGGGGGTTGATTGGCTGTTTCTGTTTTGATTATGCATTTTGTGTTTCTATATTGTAATTTTATCTTGTGAACCACCCTGAGACGTACAGGTATAGGGCAGTATATAAATTTTAATAATAATAATAATATGCCTTGGTCCATGTTACAGTATTTTTATTCTAGGTGTGAAGCAAGAGTGCCTCATGGGATGGAGTTGCACACAATGCAAACCTGTCTTTTCACAGGAAATGTAGTCTTATCCAAGGCAAACAGCACCACAAATCAACAGATAGCCTGATACATTTTGAAAAAGGGGCTAAAGGGTCACAGCCCACATTCTTCCTCCCTGCACACCCAAGACAACAATGTTGAAAAATGAGGCAACAAGAGTGCAGTTGCTCCCTTTGACTTAGCTGGCCGGTTTTCAGCTTGAGCACCACCTGCCCCTGTGAGATACATCCCTAGCCGTGTGTTGCTTATGCAAACCTGAACTGCATCGGAATTGGAGAACTGCAGACTCAGAAAAGGGCCTGGAAAGTTCAGCCGGTCCAAAATGCAGCAACGAAAGTCCAGCAGAGCCTCCATTGGATTTGCTAGCTAGCCTGATGAAGAGAACGCTTACATTTCGGGAAATAAAGCAACCGTCTCTGTCATTCTTTGCCCTGTGCTTATGCCAACCAAGCAAAGGGGCTAAGTGGAACTCATAACCCATTCACCTTCTGGGCACGGGTTCTTCACCACTGTGCATCTCCGGAGCTCGGTGGTGGCTGGGCACACAGACACGTCCCCCAAGGAGGGCGCCTGAAGGACCTTCCGAGAGCGCTCCTCATTGCCTCTCCGGAAGCCGCAGAGCTTCTTTTTCTTGGAGCAAGGGCCCCATGGACCCCACTCGCTCATTTCACATTGTGCTATAAAAAAAAGCAGGGGGGTGGAGAGAGAGAGAGAGGTCTGTTTGTCACAGAGTCATAGACCTTGGGGGATTTTTTTTTGCCCCTGTTTCCATGGAAACCAAAATATACATCAAGGTGCTTCAGTGACTACAGCAAAGGCTGAATAATCCTGGAGAACATGGTGGCCTCTGACCAAAGTCCCCTCCTGCTCTGGCACCTCCAGGGCCCCCTGGGCCTGAGCTACTGGCTGCCCTGGGCAGGGCAGGCAAGGAGACCTCCTCCATCACCGCCACCCCTCTTGATTGTCATGCTCACCAGGACTGCTGCATTCCATGGTGCCGTTGGCAGCAGAATAACCCTCAGGGCAGGTGGCGTAACATCTTCCTTTGTGCAAGTACAGGCCTTCCTTGCACTTTGTGCAAAAGTTTCGGCTGAAACAGTCCTCACAGTTGTCGATTTTGCATTCTGTGTCCCGTGGGAGAGAAAGAAAAATGACCAGTTAGAATTACCGCCTCAAATGGAACTCTCCCTCCTACCCAACAGTCCTCCTGTGAGTGGATCCCAAATTAGGTGGCCAAGAGGGTCCCATGTGGTCGGCGGGGGAGGGGGGCAGGGATGGCAACAGAGCTGGCACTGAAGTAAGATGGAACTGGCACCTGCCACTAAAAGAAAACAACACACAGGGAACAGTTTGTGCCCTGCCAGTGTGTTGGGCCCTCATCAACCAGGGGCTTGCTAAGGGGAAAGTGAAGTGTCCATTCTCTGCCTTGAGAATTGAACATGGCCCTGGTCAGTCCCCACCTGTCTGTCTAAAATTCGGGACGGCTAAAAGGAAGTCCTCCACAGAGCACATAGTTCAACTACGTAACTTGCTCCTACAGGACACTGTGATGACCTTCCAGCTGGATGGATTTAAAAGAGGGTTAGGCAAATGATCGAGGAAAGGGTTATCAATGGCACAGTAGGAGGCAGCAATGCTTTTGAAACCACAGGAGGGGAGAGTTGCTCTGCTCGAATCCTGGTTGCAGGTTTCCTACAGGCACACAGTGGCATGAAAGGGCAGCAAAGTGGTGTTGCTGCTATATTTCTACTCCCAGGGAGTGGTCCTGCTTGTGGGGTTACCTGCCACAGGTGCCAAGGTAACCTGACCAGCCTTGGGCGCTGTGCCTTTTGACTTGGTGAGTGGGGTCCCATTTGCTCTCCCACGTCAGGCAGCCAAAGGTATTGGGTCAGCCCTGACTTCACCTCCCTGCAGGTGTGATGCTCTGCATGCTTCCTCCTCTTTGTCCATACTTTCTAAGGGATCTTTCTGTGCACACTCATCCAGTCCTGACACTAAAGGAGGCATGCTTCCTTCTGCCACACTGTCCCATTCCACAGGAATGCAACCAAGCTTATAGCTTACAGAGCTGTTCTTGAGGAACCAAGGAGTGCTCTGGGATCCCATCTACACTTTATTGATTGATTGCATTTATAGCCCATCCTTTGCTCCATGGAGCTCAAGTTGGCCTACATAGTTCTCCCTCTCAACCTGGTGAGGTAGGTTAGGCTGAGAGGCAATGACTGGTTTAAGTGAGCTTCGTGGCTGAATGGGGATTCAAACCCTGGTCTCCCAGGTCCTAGTCCAACATGCCAACCACTGGCTATGGGGGCAGAGGACTTTCTTCATCCATTCCGCTGATGTATGCACTGAAATGAGCTCTTGGAAACCCATGATATTTTTTGTTCCAATGGAGTGCCAAAAACATTTGCCTTAGGTGAAAATGCATTTCCTAAGTTAAGAACCTTCCTTATAGGAGTTTAGATGGCTGGCTCACACCTCGGATTACGTATCAGTTGTTCAAAAATCAGAAATCACACAGAATATTACCAAGAGACCATTATATGGTGGGAAATGACATTCAAACATGGCTGAATTTCACAAGAAAATAATGCTAGGCTGCTCCCTCCCCCCACCCTATCCCCCCCCCAACCCCCATCCCAAAGACTCACTCATGCACTTGTTCATGTCTGGGTTCCGCACATCGAAGTAGCCCGGTGGGCAAGAGGGCAGGCAGATGCCAATTTGGCGAATGTCGTTCCTCTCCAGAAGGATGAAGAGTTTGGGGGAGCATTTGAGGCACCCGTTGAACTCAGAGCACAGGTCACATCCCTTCGCACAGCCTTGAGTCATCTCAGTACTGACTGGAAGGAGGGAGAGAGAAGTGAGCACCACAGAGCAAGATCACCTGCCTGCTTCTATGAAGGGTCATAGCTCAGTGCAAGCAGGAGGTCCCAGGAGTTGGGAGCAGAGACCCAAAGCATCTCCCAAACACCCTTTGGCATGTGGTTGCCCATCACTGCTAGCTAGGCCCTTGAGAAGCTGGAGATGTTCACAGAATGCACAATAGGCAAGTTGAAGCAATAAAGCAACTAAAACAACAATAACAGATTCTGCCTAAACCTTAGGAAGAACTTTCTGAAGGTAAGAGCTGTTTGACAGTGGAACGGACATCCTCAGAAGGTGGTGAGCGCTCCTTCCTTAGAGGTCTTTAAACAGAGATTGGGTGGCCATCTGTCAGGGATTCTTGAGCTGTGATTTCTGCATTGCATGGGGTTGCACTAGATGACCCTTGGGATCTCTTCCAAGTCTACAATCCTATGATTTCTTGCTGTCAGAATCCCCTGGCATCTCAGGGATATGGGCCATCACCACAGGACCCTTGGACTGGTTTGCTTAAGTTTCTTGGGAAGGGCTTCTGAAGTCGCTATTTCCACCATTGTCAACAACAGCTAGAGATGGAGGACCAGCTTCTTGTACCTTCCCATTAAAGCAGTTTGTGGTTGGGTGCAGAGGCCCATCTCCCAGGCAGAGCAGAAGCCAGCCTTAGAGGGGCAAGGGAAATGACACATCTGTCCATGTATGGCTGTGGGTCTGGACAATTCAAGATTTAAACTGCACATGCCAGGCAGACTATGGCCTGACCCAGAAGAAGCTTTGCCGAATCATAGAATAATAGAATTGGAGAGCTGGAAGGTACCCCAAGTGTCATCTAGCCTAACCCTCTGCAATGCAGGAATCACATAAAAAAAAAAAATCCCTGACAGATGACCATCCAACCTCTGCTTAAAAACCTCCAAGGAAGGAGAGTCCACCACCTCTGAGGTGGTCCGTTCCAACGCTCTTACCATAAGAAAGTTCTTCCTAATGTTTAGGCAGAATCTCCTTGTCATTTGGATCCATTGGTTCAGGTCTTTCCCTCTGGAGCAGCAGAAAGCAAGCTTGCTCCATCTTCCATGTGACAGCCCACCAGATCTTTGAAGATGGCTATCCTATTAGCTCTCAGCCTTCCCTTCTCCAGGCTAAACAGACTCAGCTCAAAAGAATGCTTTGGAATCGCTTCCTTCCCTCACTTAAATTCACACAAGGTTTTGAGAAGAGTAAAGGTTTGCCCCAGCAGAACCAACAAGGAAAAGTCAAGGCTCCCACAGCCTTGTCTCTGCTCTGCTCTCCTCCAGGGAGGCTTCCCTCTCTGAACTCGCTTGGATGGAAGCAGAAGTCCAGATCCGGAGAGGACAGAGACTCACTCCTCCTGGGCCCTCCTTGGCTCAGGCCAACAAAAACATCCCCTTTTATGTCTGTGCTGCTTTCTGGTATCAATTATCATGGACAACTCAGCCAGGTTTTTAAACAAATCGTCACAGGTTATTTATATTTATACTGGTTAATTATGCAAGCATTGGCTTTTGTTTATAGCAAGTCTACATCTTTTTTGACTTTATTTTAAACACATTATTTATTCTTCCTGCAAAGCAAGTGCTCTGACATTCCTGAGAGTCAAAGGCCCGGCTTCTCGGTGGTGGGGAGATAGGCAGAGGCTGCAAAGGCCTCCCGTCAGGCTGCGAGATTGGGAGAGAAGCAGCAGGACCAATTTGTCAACTCAGCCCCAACTGGATTTGCAGGGGGAAGCTGTTAGAAGCGGAGCCTGTCTTGAGAAATTGGGAGCCGATTCCTTCTCCGAAGTGAGTCCACTCCAACCACCATGGACCACTGGGATATCAGCTTTTTTCCACCTTAATATATTGGAAGATTGAATTTACCGTATTTTTTGCTCTATAAGACTCACTTTTTCCCTCCTGAAAAGTAAGGGGAAATGTGTGTGCATCTTATGGAGCGAATGCAGGCTGTGCGGCTATCCCAGAAGCCAGAACAGCAAGAGGGATTGCTGCTTTCACTGCACAGCGATCCCTCTTGCTGTTCTGGCATCTGAGATTCAGAATATTTTTTTTCTTGTTTTCCTCCTCCAAAAACTAGGTGCATCTTGTGGTCTGGTGCGTCTTATAGAGCGAAAAATACGGTGAGTCCCGATTAACACACTTGTGTCTCAGGCACAGTTTCATGACCACTTCAAATTGTAATAATAATAATAATAATAATAACATTTTTTTATTAAACCCCACCCTTCCTGGTTCAGAAAACCGGGCTCAGGGTGGCTAACAACAAATTTAAAACACTTAATTGTAGAAGCAGCATAAAATACAGTATAAAAGCATGAATTACAATAAAATTCAAAGTTCAGAAATCAATTTGGGGGAAATCCATCTAATAAGCATTAGATAGTTACCAGGGCTAGCTGGCTGAATTAGTCCTACTTGGGCCAGCGAGGAGGCCAGGGGAGAATTAGCTGTGGGGTCTCAGAGCGGGTAATCTTTATAAAAGGGGAGGGGGAGGGAAGAGAAGGGAAATAAAAGATCAGGCTGAATTCAAATTAAAGGCCAGGTGGAATAGCTCTGTCTTACAGGCCTGACGGAAGGAGGTTAAATCCTGAAGGGCCCTAGTCTCATGGGACAGAGCATTCCACCAGGTCGGAGCCATCACTGAAAAGGCCCTGGCCCTGGTGGAGGATAGTCTGACTTCCTTAGGATCCGGGACCTCTAAACTATGGTTATTCATGGACCTTAAGGTCCTCTTCCAATTGTAGAGTTGGAAATGGCCCTGGAAGTCATCTAGTCCAAGCTCCTGCAGTGCAGGAATTGCACCTCTGTTTCCCTCTCACATCCTCCAGGGTCCACAGAGATGACTGCTGTTGTTTTGGCACAGTGACTTCTCTACTGTTTACAGGGGCAGGGCAGATGGGCTCCCATTTGCTCCCCTACTCTTTGTAAATGGCACACATAGGGACCCAGTGTGGATCTGGAATGCAGCAGACCCCAAGAAGTTAAGCCCCCCACCCCACCCCACCTGCTGCTGCCTGCCAGTCCTGACTGATGTACATCCCTTCTCCATGCTAGCCCCTTGACAAAAAACCCCCCACCCCCTTCAGGGCAAACCATGCAGTTAATGTCACATGTAGTTTGATCTGCAAATAAATATACACACACATCTCCCATATCTATTCTGGCAGAAGGTATATTGCAATATGGTTATTGAAATGACACTTCTGGCAGCATAAAAGTGAGACATTCTTTAAAACCACTTTCACACCATGCATTTAAAACACTATGGTGCTACTTTAAACAGTCACAGCTTCCTTAAGGAATCCTGGGCACTGTAGTTAAGGGTGCTGAGAGTTGTTGAGATACCCCCGTCCCTCTCACAGAATGATTTAACAGTCAATTCCTCTTCCTTGGGAACTCTGAGAGCTGTCACTCAGGGAGCAGAATAAGGGTTTTCCAACAACTCTTGGTAGCAGATATGTCAGATAGCCAGAATGTGGAAATATGGAGTCCAGACTGAAAGGCCATGAAAGCTTCTGGAGATGCTACAGATGCTGGACTAGATGAGCCTTGGGGTCCCTTCCAACTTTACAATCCTAGGATTCTATGACACCCCACACTCTACGCAAATGGACAGGAAGGTGTCTAGAAGCTCAGTTTCCTTTGTTCCATAAGAACCACTCTCCAACTAAGGCACCTTTCAACCACACAGCATGCGGTTTCCTGAATCTAGGAAACACGGCATTTCTCACATCAATATTAAGGCCACCCTCCCATCCCAAAAGGATCTAGGAGAGGGGAGCTTGGCTTGAGTCTGGCAGGTGGAGGAGGGGCTGCTATTTTTTTATAAAGAAGCTAAGAAGAGCCTGCTGGATCAGGCCAAGGGCCGTTTAGTTTAGTTTAGTTTAGTTTAGTTTAGTTTAGTTTAGTTTAGTTTAGCATCCTCTTCTCACAGTGGCCAACCAATGGGAAGCCTGCAAGCAGGATTTAAGCACAAGAGCCCTCTCCTCTCCTGAGTTTCCCAGCAAATAGCATTTAAAAGCATTGCTGCCTCCAACTGTGGAGGCAGAGCAGAGCCATCTTCATCAAATCAAGGCCAGATCACCCTAGAGGATTCCTAGAGAATTCCTGTCAGCCCCAAGCGCTACGTTGCCTCAAAACGCAATGCAAGAAGAATAGGTCAATGACGCAGGTCTGCAACTTGCCATTTCAAAGGGCTTTCATACATACTTCGTCTTTGCCTCTTGCCCTTCAGTGCTTTGCTGCTGCTGCTGCTGCTGCTGCTGCTGCTGCTGCTGTCTGCAAGATCCGCCAAGCTCAGAAAAACCACCACTGTGCACAGTCCAAGCTGCATAGTAACTTCCCAGCAGCTCAGACCCTCGAAGGCAGAGTGACTGGAAGGACTCCGGCCCACAACTGGGTCGCGGTGTGTGAAGCTTTTTCCTAACGTGTTCGGGACTTGATCAGAACCACGAGTCTGTACACAACGCCCAGTAAAAGACCATCTTCACGAACCAAGGTCTTGACCCTGAAAGCATTAGGTTGCAGATAACATGATTCTGTTTCCAACCCCATAAGGAGCCTGAGAGGCGAGAGGCGGCAGTCCCATTGGGCACAGACAGCGAGGATGAGCTTGGGGCGACTTGAGTCGTCTGCTTGCACCAAGACACTGGAAGGAAGGGAGAAAGGAAGCTGGTTAGTTAGCCGGTTTATTGCATTTACATCCCTCCCTTTCATCCAAGGAGCTCAAGGTGGCAAACATGGTCCTCCCCCTCCTCATTTAATCCCCACAACAACCCTGTGAAGTAGGTTAGGTCACACCCAGTGAGCTTCATGGCTGAGTGGGAACTGGAACCCTGGTCTCCCACTCTGGCACTCTAACCACTACTCCCCACTGGCTCTCCAAGCCTTCATTTCACAGCCTTCCTTCTCAACTGCTCTAGATCCCTAGAAGGCTCCCAGCAGGCATCTTCTAACATTTTGCCTTTCTGAAAACAGTCAAGACTGTGACAGTTTCCAGATCTGCTACCACTTAAGGTTGTGACAGTCAGGTGCTGCATGCAGCAGACAAAACAAGGAGCAGAGGTCAAGTAACAAAGGGGATGTAGTATTTATATTCAGGTTGAACCACTTCCTTTATCATTCTGTGGAACCTCCCACCTCTGCTAAAGCTGGAAAGGCCCATAATTCAGAACACATCTGTGGGCGCCTCTCCTGCTTGTAAGACCACTGTGGCAGGACTCCAGCGAAGAGGAGGAGAAAGGAGCTGAAAGACTCTTCTCAGTATTACACAGACCACAGGCTTGAACAGCACCACACATGCCACGGAAAGGGCAAATTCCACGCTAGGGATCACTAGGAATGGAATTGAAAATAAAACTGCCAGTATCATAATGCTGTTACGCAATTCTAGGGTGTGGCCGTATTTGGAATACTGTGTACAGTTATGGATGCCTCGTCTCAAAAAGGATATTGCACAGCTGGGAAAGGTCCAGGAAAGGGGAACCAATGGGATAGAGCAACTCCCCTATAAGGAATGGTTGCAGCATTTAGGACTTTTCAGTTTAGAGAAAAGGCAAGGAAGAGGTGACATGATAGAAGTTAATAAATGGAGAACGTGAATAGAGAAAAGGTTTTCTCCCTGTCTAGAACTCATAGACATCCAATGAAGCTGAATGTTGGAAGATTCAGGACACATCCAAGGATGCCTTAAACTTAGGACACATCCAAGGAAATACCTTCTTTACACAGCACAGAATTAAACCATGGAACAAACTTCCACAGAAGGTAGTGATGGCCTCAAACCTTTAAAAGAGGATTGGGCAAATTCCTGGAGTACAGGGCTATCAGTGGCTACTAGCCCATATGGCTGTGCTCTGCACAGCTGCAAGTATTTCACAGGAGGGGAAAGGGCTCTTGTGCTTGAATCTTGCTTTGGGATTTCCCACAGGTATCTGGTCGGCCCCTGTGAGAAAAGGATGCTGGACTAGATGAACTATTGCCCCGACCCAGCAGGCTCTTCTGGTGTTCTTACGTTCTTATGCTCCGAGTCGAGTTTGGTAGTGGCATAGCTAATTGCGGGCCTAAGGAGCCAGGTCATTGTTGGCCTTGGCTGAGAGATGGAGCAACTGCAGTTCAAGCCCTTGAGCCAAACAGATGGAGCCGAACCTTCTCTCCACGCTTCTGCCGTCACTCTTCAGGTCGTTGCCAAGGCTGCCAGATTATCTTGGTGTCAAGCATGTGTTTGCACTTACGAGGGACACTGTATCATTAAACTTGTCTGCATCGTTCGTGTGTGTATGCCTGCGCACGTGCACGTAGATTTCAAATAAACAATTAGCTGCTTGTGTAAATCCTGCCTGCCTCTTGACTTGGAAGTCTGTTTGATGCACTTGGCATCACCTTTTAAGCTTCTCTGACCAAGCATGGTTTCATCTTTAGTAAGGGTGGGGGAGAAGGGGACTAGGAGCACCCAAAACTGTTTCCCAAGTAGTTGAGAATGAGAAACAGCCTTTGAGGAATCCATTCTGCTGAAAGGATCCTCCGTTAAACCCCAAACCACCGTTGAATGTGCAGGGAGTCTCTGTTGAATGTGATCCTAAGAGCCCTCCTGGATCCAACCAAAGGGGGCCCATTTAGTCCAGCATTCTGTTTAGACAGTGGCCAACCAGAAGTCTATGGGAATCCCTATTTCTGCTGCTCAGCAACTGGAAGTCAGAGACATACTTCCTCTAAGAGCAGAGACAGAATATAGGCATCAACAGCCTTATCTTCCAGGAATCTGTGTAGCCATCACTGTATCCAGCGGGATCAAATTCCATAGTTTAACTGTGCACCATGTGAAGAAGTACTTTCTTTTGTCTGCTCTGAAATCTTCTGGCATTCACCTTCATTGGCTGTCTTGAATCTGGACACCCCAGCTAGGGATGGAGGAGAAATCTGATTCAGTTTGCATTTAACCTTTCTGATTTGCTCTTTTCAAAATAATTCCCGGACTGAAACACAGCCAAATTTGCCCTTCTCCAAATTTTGCAATGCCATCCTCCAGCCAGCTAAGGTGTTCAAAAATGTATATGCTGGTGTAAAGTGTGCATACAAATGCATATACTTATGAAAATGACTTGCAAAGTTGCAAACAAAACTGTGTTGTATTAGGAGAAATTTACACTAAAATGCATGTGCATTTTCACAAAGATGTCTTTGTTTAAGAAATTGCAAAATGATGTAGAAATTTTGAGAACTTAAGATTGGGGGGGGGGGTAGAAACTAAGAGAAACAGAAATCAAAAATTTTGCCCGCCCCTCACCCTACAAGGCAATATTGTCAATTGTGTGTATGTATGGAAAATGCTGCTTTGTCTACACTGGGAATGCCAGTGTGTGACATAAGTGTGCTCTGTGTGTATGGTGTGGGTGTTGTCTAATGTGTGAGCAGAGCATTCAGAATGTACAGACCATGTGATCAAAAACATAAATTTAGGCCACGGAAGCGAAAGGAAAAGCTGTGATTCCTGCATCGCAGGGGGTTAGACTAGATGACCCTTGGGATCCCTTTCAACTCTACAGTTCTATGATTCTAGGTAAAACTCATTTGGTAGTAGCAGGAGTAGTATTCCATCACTTACTAGATAAAATATCTCAAAGTGACTATTATAAAAGCATACAGAATACAAAATTGAAAGTGAGTACAAAATAATAATAATAATAATAATAATAATAATAATTATTATTATTATTATTATTATTATTTATTATTTATACCCCAACCATCTGGCTGGGTTTCCCCAGCCACTCTGGGCGGCTTCCAACACAATATTAAAATACAATAGTCTATTAAACATTAAAAGCTTCCCTAAACAGGGCTGCCTTCAGATGTCTTCTAAAAGTCTGGTAGTTGTTTTTCTCTTTGACATCTGGTGGGAGGGCGTTCCACAGGGCGGGTGCCACTATCGAGAAGGCCCTCTGCCTGGTTCCCTGTAACTTGGCTTCTCACAACGAGGGAACCGCCAGAAGGCCCTCGGCACTGGACCTCAGAACGATGGGGGTGGAGACGCTCTTTCAGGTTTGCACCAGGCATTTGACATCACAGCACAAATTAGGAGTTCTGTCCATGTTCCACCCTCCTTCCTAGAGATGATTTTAGACCTGGTGTCATGGGTCTCCATTTCTTTCATTCTTTAGAACTTCAGCACTGCCGGAGGTCCTCTTGTTGGGACAATTCAGGATCTCATGACTGCCTTGGCAACCTGGGGTCTCTCACAGTATGGCACATGTGGCAACAGGTGACCCATACAGTCTGACGGTGTGGCTTGGGTGAGGAGCTGGTGGTCCATGTTGGGTGGAGGTGTCAACAGGGCCTTCATCACTACCTCAAGGAATTTGGACTCATAGAGTAACCTTCAGAGGTTGATGGTGTTCTGAAAGCCCTTGGAGAATTTCCTGTTGACCATGCTGGCTCACCTATCAAAGCCTGGTCAGTCTTTGTCCATACGAACATGAGAAGAGGCTGCTGGATGAGGCCAATGGCCCATCTAGTGCTGCCTTCTGTTCTCACAGTGGCCAACCATACGCTTGTGGGAAACCTGCAAACAGGATTCGAGGACAAGAGCCCTGTCCCCTCCTGTGGTTTCCAGCAGCTGGTCTTCGGAAGCATTGCTGCCTCCATCTGTGGAGGCTCAAGTGACAACTGTGGCCTGAAGTGCTTCTTACTGATTTCATTTGACCCATGGAAAAAAGCAGGATCACTACAGTTATCCACACTTTACTAAACCCAGATTAGATTATGCAGTATTTGTAGGGAAGCCTATGAATAAAAGGTTGGGAAACTGCAACTGGTCTTGGTTATTAACAGATGCTGGCCAGCTGGCCAGATTCTGCCAGTGCTGAAACATCTTTTCTGGCTTCCAGTTTGTTTCTGTGCGCAATATAAGGGATGTGACTTTTTCTCTTCCTCCACAGGCTCCACAGGGATGTTTCCAAGCAACTTTAATAATATCCTTTCGGCATCAGGGGAAAACTATTTCAATTACTAAGCCCTCAAATTATGGCCAGTCTTTTTTAAGTCTTCTGCAAAGTGCAACTGTGGGATTTGCATAGTGGATTATTGCGGGGGGGGGGTGTTAGTTGAACTTTTTAGAGTTAAAACAATAAACTTTTACGAAAGCGGTCTTAGATGTGTGTGTGTGTGTGATATATATAATCAGAAGAACTTTTTGATAGTAAGCTATGCAATCGTGGTACAGACCCCATTGGAAGGTGGTAGACTCTTCTTCCTTTGAAGTTTTTAATCAGGTTGGTTCTGTCTGTCTGTGATTCTTGGGTTGAAGGGGGATGGACTTGATGACCCTTAGGGGACCCATCCAACTCTACATTTCTATGATACTGTATAGCAAATACTAGGGGCTCTGACCCTACTTGCTCCATTCACCAACCTCACCTACTCCTTTGGCAACCCCCTTTCCCCCACATCGGACCAAACACCTCTCCTTTTACACCTCCCCACTCCTTAGACCCTGTCCCTCCCAGCTCACCCCAGTCACTCCTTTTTAAGTGAGCCAGGGGAGGGGCATTTCACAGAGCAGCTAGCTATGTGGATGAAGCCCTCCCTCCATTAAACCTCACTGCAGGTTCCTTTAGCATAGCAAGGGCAGGTGCGTCATTGAGTGAATGGCCTCTTCACTCTCCACCGAACCTCGCTGCAGGCACATTAAATGGGCTCACCATTCTCATGCTGCAGTTTATTATTTATTGCATTTATTTCTTGTGTTTATATCCCACCTTTCCTCAAAGGAGCCCAAGGTGGCAAACCTAGTTCTTCCTATTTTATCCTCACAACAAACCTGTGAGGTAGGTTAGGCTAAGAGACAGTGACTGGCCCAAGATCACCCAGTGAGCTCCATGGCTCAATGGTGATTTGAACCCTGGCCTCCCAGGTCCTAGACCAACACACTAACCGCTACACCACCTCTGGCTCCTATTGGTGGCCACACCAGCATGATGACATTATACCTTTTTATGTCTATAGGAAGATAGGTAGATGATCTATCGATCTATCTATCATCTATCTATCTATCTATCTATCTATCTATCTAGTAAACCAATGTCTCTTCAGTGTTCTGTGTGTGTCCCAGGGATCTCCCATTGCCTTCACCAGGAAGAGGGGTGTGGTCTGCAAAGTGAGAATGTGCTCATGCTGCAGCCAACCTTTTTGGCTGCCACTTGAAGAGTGAGGATGGTGCAGCTGTTGAGCTGAGTTGTGGGACATTTCCTGGTCTTGGGGCACCAGTGTTGCCACCCTTCTAGAGTCAGCCCCGACCTCAATTTAGCACCCTTTGCAGAGGATATATCACACCATCACACGGGTCTTTATTTGTTTCACGGTCTATAAAACTACCCCACCCCCCCCCGCTCCCCGCATTCTCTGCCAGGTTTTGCTGGTGAGTAACATGGCAGTGCATGCCAGCAGGCTGCCACCTTTCTTCTCCATCTTGCGCCTTGAGCACCCTGGTTTTCCTTCACCTGCCAGAGATCTTGCTTCCCATTAATTCTGCAAGTTTGGAGGGATTCCCTGGCACACGTTCAGGACCGCCTACCTCTGCCTCGGGGGAGTTGTGCTGCCATCCATCAGGATGCAATGCAGCAGCCAAAAACCAAGAGCAGACGAAATGGGCTCATCCCTGCCAGCAGGTGGGTGTTTCCTTTGGCTACAGCTGAAGAACGAGATCAGGGAGCAATGGCAAGGCCTTCCTGCTTCACGATCCTGTCAACAGGGAAGAGGGTGCCTCTGGGAAGCCACCAAACAGGCTAGGTGGCCATTCCACCACCGCCCCACAGCAGCAATTGTCATTTTTACTTTTACAGTGGTACCCCAGGTTAAGTACTTAATTCATTCCAGAGGTCCGTTCTTAACCTGAATCTGTTCTTAACCTGAAGCACCACTTTAGCTAATGGGGCCTCCTGCTGCTGCTGCGCCGCCAGAGCACAATTTCTGTTCTCATCCTGAAGCAAAGTTCTTAACCCGAGGTACTATTTCTGGGTTAGCGGAGTCTGTAACCTGAAGCATATGTAACCTGAAGCCTATGTAACCCGAGGTACCACTGTAGTTCTAGATTTAGAACCATACACCTGTTGCAATGACTAGTAGCTACTGATAGCCTTACCCTCTGTGAATTTGTCTAACTTCCTGTTAAATGGTGGTGGTCGCCATCACTGCATCATGTAGGAGCAAACCCCATATTTTAACACCGCGCTGCATGAAGAAGTCATTCCAGTCCTGAATCTTCAGCTTTGTTCGAGTTCAAGGTAGAGGCTACTGTTCTGTTGCTGTTTTTCCAGCAGATTGTGCTCTTGTGTCACATCACACAGCCAACTCCCCCATCTCCATGAAGCCAAAAGTATAAAACTGTTTTAGTACGGAAAAAAAATGCAGATCAGATCTTTGAACAGAAAAATGTTTAAGGTGCTTGAAAAAAAGCAAAACTCCAAAGTGGGCTTTGCAATGAGATGTTGGGTGCAAAAACTGCCTGTCCAAATGGGGACTGGAGGTAGGAGCAGAGCTCACCCAGCAGGAGAAAAGCCTTCAGGTACTCCTGCCTTCATCTCAATACTATACTTCTGTTGATTCAGCCTAGAAAAGCATTAGCCTCTTTCACTGCTGTATCACACTGTTGATTCATGTTAAACTTGTGGTCTACCAAGACCTCTAGATCCTTTTCATATGTTCTACTAACAAGCCAGGTTTCCTACATCTTATGTTTGCGAAGCTTTTTATTCCTGTCTAAGTGCAGAACCTTACATTTACCTCTATTGAAGTTCATTTTGTAAGCTTTGGCCCAGTTCTCCAATCTGTTAAGGTCCTCTTGAATCCCAATTCTGTCTTCTGCATCATTAGCAGCTACCCTTTCCAGTTTGGTGCCATCTGTCAATTTGATGAGCATCCCATCAATTCCTTCATCCAAATTGCTTATAAAGGCATTGAACAACAACGGGCCCAGGACACAAGGCTGCAGGACCCCACTTGTCACTTTTTTACAAGATGATGAAGAACCATTAATGAGCTCTTTTGGGGTTCAGTCAGTCAACCAGATACAAATCCACCTAAAGGTTACCTTGTCCAGCCCATATTTTACCAGCTTCTCCACAAGAATATCATGGGGGATTTTGTCAAAAGTCTTACTGAAATCAAGATACACTATGTCTACAGCATTCCCCTGATCCACAAAACTTGTAACTCTATCAAGAAAAGAAATGAGGTTCATCTGGCATGACTTGTTTTTGATAAACCTATGCTGACTTTTAGTAACCACAGCATCTTTTTCTAAGTGCTCACAGACTGACTTTAATGATCAGTTCTGTTATAAGAAAATAGATGGTCTAGATGCACCTTTGTTCTGATTAATCAGGACTCTTCTTATGTTCATACTGCCTTTGAACCTGGAGAAAGTTGCACCACTTTCCACTTTGTGATAGAGAATCCAAAGCCCACCTGACAAGCCCAGATGGACACACATGGCACAACAGCAGCACACAGAGCTTAACCTACTATATTCCTGGGAACTAGCAACAAGTTCCCCCAGTAACAGCTGGCCTGACTCAATGGGCCTGCACATGAGAGAAAACAGCAGAAGAGGAACAAGGAAGGAGAGGCTCCTATTGCCTGTAACTAAGAGTGCAAGGGTGGGCCAGAGAACGCATAAGAACATAAGATCCTGCTGGATCAGACAAAGGTGGGGGTGGACATCTAGTCCAGCATCCTGTTCCTACAGTGGCCAACCAGATGCCTGTTAGAAACCAGCAAGCAGGATCTGAGCACAAGAGTACTCTCTCCCTCCTGTGTTTTCTAACAACTGGTATTCAGAAGCATTACTTTCTCCAACTTTGGAGACAGAGCACAGTCATCATGGGTAGTAGCCATCAATAGTCCTCACTTCAATGAATTTGTTTAATCCTCTTTCAAAGCCATCCAAGTCAGTGGCCATCACTGCCCCATGTGGGAATGAGTTCCACAGTTTGAGAGCTGGGGAGGGAGACTCCATTGCCTCCATACAAGCCCAGATACTGACTTCTACCTGTCAGACTGGGCTTCCAAACCTCTTGAGTTTCCGCTGTTCCCATCCATAAAAGATGCTCCCTGGGGTCACTCTTGCGATGGGTTGACACCTCATAGTTTACTTAAGTGACAAGTGGTTTTAGGAGGCCTGGCCCCAAAGCCCATTCCAAAGCAACCCGGGGGCTGCTGCAATGCATAATGTCACATTGTACATCAAAAGTGATGGGGGCCTTTCCTGTCAGATTCCTTAGCAGTTACAATTGTGGGCCGATGAATCCTCCCAACCCGTTAAGTTTCCATTTGGCTCCACAACTGAGGTGCTTAACTCCTGCAGGCCTCATTGCCTAGAAAGTTGATTTGGTGCAGACGCGTGAACCTCCTCCAGCCAAAACAACCATGTCCTCAGCATCAATAAATAAATCTCCTTTATAAATAGAGATTTTAATAAATTCCTGCAAGCCAAACAAGGATTACGCCAGCTTCGCAGGGTGATTCATCCCCTGTTTACATCCTGTGATATCCACTTTGCTGTGCTCTTCCCCCTAAGAGGGACGGCTCAGAGAGTCTCTTCGTCGGTATGGTTCACACAGACCAGTCAAAGGCTGGCTGGCTGGCTGGCTGGCTGGCTGGCTTGCAAGGGGTCTTGAGACCAGCAGGACTCCTTTGCCAGCACTACCAGCATCTACTGAAGTGCAGTTCCCACTCCTGGTGCCAGCGTGCATAGGAGCGGAGGGAAGACGGAAGCAGGTTGGATGGCTGGTGGCAATCCTGACACTTAGGTATCTCTCACTCCACAACAATTGCGGTGGGAGGGGGGCAGGGCATACCAATATAGCTGGCCCTTGTAAGCCCTGTAGCAACCTCACATAGCCTGTGATAACTACTACCTGGGACGCTCGACTGTGGCCCTGGAGCCCCTTTCCATCCTGCTACATGTGAAGCAATAACAAAGCATAAGATTCACCTGAGCATGTGCAGAGTGTTTTACCATTGCCACCATATCAGGATTGGGGAAAGAAAAAATCCAAGGCAAAAGATGTGGCTGGAAGGCTGACTCGAGCAATGGCTGATTCTCTGGCCTGCCCACCCCTGCTGCCACCCCAGAAGTTTGCAAGATATGGATGGTTAGCTCATTCAGTAGAGTACAACACTCTTAATCTCAGGGTTAGGGGTTTGGGCCCCACATTGGGCAAAAAAATCCTACATTATGGGGAGTTGGACTAGATGTCCCTCGTACTCCCTTCCAACTCTACAATTCTAAGATCTAAGAAGGAAACACAGATCCGTTTGCCCTCTCCCACCTTCATGGAGGCATTCCCTGGCAGTGACCCTCTGACTGACCCCTTCCCACCCCTCTGGCCCATCATCATTTCCTGCCTGCTCTGGGGGTCAACATCCTGCTTGGCACGCTGAGCAGGGAGAGAGCCGCACAGGACAGAACTGCCATCTCTCGCCTCCCGTGGTGCACAAGGTCACCGAAAGCAGAGAAAGATCCGTGTGGCTGGCAGGGGGAGAGAGGGGGGCCGCCGCTGCTCTATCCCCACATGATGCTGAAAATGCACTTTGTTTTGCTTAATCCTCCAAGCCATAAAAACAGGCTGGGCTCTGTTGTGTTTCCTAACCAGATGGTCAACATTTGGTTTTGATAGGAGTTTCTCTAATCCTGAAATATAAACTGAAGGGCAAGGAAGCCATGGAAGAAGACCACTGAAGCCTGCAGGAGCCTTCTCAAGATCTGTGTCCTCCCGCCCAACCCTGGCTCCTGCTCAGTACTCAGGTGGGCTCTGCTAACCTGCAACCCCCTCCTCTCCCTCCCCCTGCTGCCCTCAGAAAGCCTCGTTCTGGCAGCCTCAGAAACCTCAGTTACCTTCTCTTGCCTGTGCATCCCTTGCAAAAGCTCCCATCACACTAGAGGTTCTGTTTTAGTTTGTAAAATTATGCATGGCATGGAGAAAGCCTTTCTCCCTCTCTCATAACACTAGAACTCATGAACATCCAACGGAGCAATGTTGGAAGATTCAGGAGGAAGTCTTCCTTCACTCAGGGCATACTTAAACTACGTAACTTGCTCCCGCAGCAGGCAGTGGGAGCCACCAACCTAAATGGCTTTAAAAGAGATTTCGAAAAAACTGGTGGAGGAGGTTAAAGCTAACAGTGACTACTAGCCTGAATACTTCTGAATTCAGAATGCTTCTGAATACTGGTTGCTGGAAACCACAGGAGGGGAGAGTGGTCTTGTTCCCTGGGTGGCCACTGTAAAAACAGGATGCTGGACTGGATAGCCCATTAGCCTGATCCAGCAAGCCCTTCTGATGTTCTTATTCTTGCTTTCCCTGCTTCCTCACCAGTCCATTGGCCTACAGTATGCATTGCATGGAAGCCCAGCATGGGAACAAGTACGCTAGCAAAGCCATCAGGCTTTATACAGTAGCCAAAGGAAATGGAGCCAGGATATTCATGCCAATGGCAGTAAACAATGACACCTTGAAGCTTTTCTAAAGCTCATCGCCAACGACTCACACAATGCCTCTTGGCATTAAGAACACAAGAAGAGCCTGCTGGATCAGGCCAATGGCCTGTCTAGTGAAACATTTAGTTCTCACAGTGGGCAACGAGACGCCTATGAGAAGCGTGGAAGCAGGACCCGAGAGCAAGAGCCCTCTCCTCTCCTGCAGTTTCCAAAAACTGGTATTCAGAAGCATTGCTGCCTTGACTGTCGAGGCAGAGTGTAACCATCATGGTGAGATCAGCTGGTGTGGACTTCAAAAGGTTAGCTCTTTTGGGGTTGGGGTGAAGAGGTGTGGATGTTCTCACTGGCTGAGGGTTTTCAGTTCATCCCACGTCTGAGGCTCACTTGTGCTTGATCTTGTTTGGGCGAAGAGTCCTGAGGAAGGGTGCTGCCAAAGGGTCAGCAAAGGAAGGAAACGGGCTGTTGACAAACTTGCCTCCTTTAACATAACGTAATTGTGCCCAGATTTTACAGCTTCCCGTTATTTCTCAGGGAGGCATTGCTTTCAGAACAAAACAAAAACTCCTGGGTGCATTTCTCCCCTGCAAGAAGACGGTCATCGTCAGCCTCCAGTCCTTTTTCTCTGTTTGTTTTTCTTCTTTTTTGGCATTTGGCATTCCCTGTTTCTTATGGACCCCACCCTGAACCCCAACCCCAAGTGCACTACCAGCCCTGCCTCATTCCAGGCAGATGGAGAATCCCTGGGGGATCATGCTTCCTGCTGGGACTTTGCCAGACGCCCCCAGATTCCAAGGTGCGGTTCTTTCAGGCATGGAGGAACTTGCTGCAGGGTTGGATTCTGTCCTCACTCATCATCCTCACCCAACAGGAGGGATCTGCTGGATCTCCCTCAGGGGATAGGCTGTGCTGGTCCTTGAAGCCAGGTGCCTTCTTCCTCCAGCTCTGGTTCCAAAGGAGTGCCTCCTGAACAGCCCTGAAGAGCAGCAAATCATTGAGCCACACAGGAAACTGCTGCCCAAAGGATCCATGTCAAAGGATTGTTATTTTGAGAATCTGAGAGGCTTTGTGGCCAATGATGTGCTTATCTTAAAATCTTTTCAACCAGAGAGCCAGTGTGGCGTAATGGTGTGTCTGACCAGGACCTGGGTGAGAGCAGGGTTGAAATCACCTCTTGGCCGTGAAGCTCACAGGGTGACTTTGGGCCAGTCACTGCCTCTCTCAGCCTAGCCTACCTCACAGGGTTGTTGTGGGGATTAAATGAGGAGGGGTAGAATCTGTCGTGGCTAAAAATTGGCCGCTGTTTCTTTAATGCTAAAAGAACTTAGCTTGAATCAGCGGCCTACAATGACTCATGCAAACTTTTACCCAATTGTACCTGTATATGTAGAGTGGTCAATGCAAGTATACTCTTCTCTTGGACTCTTATGCCAACAAGGGTCTGAGGACCAGGCTGAGGAGACAAAGGAAGTCAGGACCTTTGCTTTTTTCAAACACTGACAGAATCATACAGGCCACCTTGAGCTCCTTGGAGGAAAAGGTAGGATATAAATGCATATATTTTTTTTAAAAAGGATGTATATCCCAGGGACAAAAGAAACACTTGTTCATCACAGATCTTAGATGGCCATGCAAATCTCTCAAAAACGATGGTCCTCCAAACTAAGATCGTTGAAGGTGGTAGATGACAGCGGGACTATTGTTGCTCATTTGGAATATGCCTACCTTGCTAGAATTGCTGATCATGCAGTGTGGCCAGCTTAATCAGACACTGCAGCGGAGCGAATGGTGTGTGGGTGTGGGTGTGGGTGTACACCACAGGAAACAATGGCTCTAACAGACCATCTTAAGCTCTAAAAAAACCTACTGTTGATCTCCATACTTTGATGACAACCCTTTCAGCACAACCATATAGCATGTTAGCTCAGAGTTAATTCCCGCTCAATAAGGTTTACTCCCATGTAAGCATGTTTAGGATTCCAGTTTCTGCTCTTCAATTTGGATAAATTTAAAACACCTTTCTGGAGTGTCAGCCCAGGCTTTGGGGACCAACAAAGAGGATTTAATCAGATGCAATGCAACGTGTAATCGCCACCACAGTTGCCCGTCTGGTTGTCCTCCTGGAACCAGGCATCATGGGGCATTAGGTAGAAGATTGCCAGGCTGAATGCCTCCTTAGGAAAGGACTGGTCAGGAAGGACTATAGCAAAGAAACCAAATGCAGCAGGGAGCCCTAGCCCCTATTGATGGCGATGATGATGATGAAAACATATTTTTATTAAAGATTTCTTGGTTTACAAAACTATGTGCAATGTCTCTTTTTTCAAGTTAAATTTTCTACAGATCAGTTTCATTTGTTGAGACATTAGTGTTACATTAGGAAGAAAAGGGGGAAAGAGGTGGAGGGGGGCATGGTGAGTGGGGATACAGTTGTCCTGAGATGGTTCCCTTGATCCATCACCTAGGAACATGATCCATATTCCCAAACCATTTCCTAACACTGAACCAGAGTCAGGCCAGGAAAACCCTGTCCCTGGTCTGAGAGTGAAACCCTCCAGGTTCTGTTCTCTGGCAGTTCCCCAGCAATGCCAAAAAGTGTGATCCACCACATTACATTAGGTGTGTGCTGTTCTCAAGCAACCTGACATGCCCAGCAAATCTGCCCTTGCAACAGCCCCTTCCAAACAAGCGTGTGTTGCGAAATCCTTACCTCTGAGCTGTCAGTTGCTTGCTGCTGCCTGAAGAAACTCTCTCCGCTACTCTGGTTAGACTCCAATTTCAGCACTCATCGCAATCATCCATTCCACCAGGGAAAAAAGTTTCCCCACACAAGTTTTTCCCTCTGCCAGTTTTTGTACCTTCAGTTTGGATTTTTTAAAACAACAACAACAACCCCAAATCCTTTCTTCTTCCAAAGCCAGGCACCAAATAGTTTTCCAAATTTCACAGAGGGAAGCGATTCCGTCTCCTCCACCGAGCCGAATTCCTGCTTGCGAAGATTGCCTGGGCTCGTTTGTATCCCACACGGCTCTCTGGATATGCTGAGCAAAAGAAGAATGTGATCATATCTAAGCAATTTGCACATTAATAAGTTCCTGTTTTTTATGCGGCAGACTCCAGCCCCTCTTCGCCCGGACGGCTTCCCCTGTATCACTGCTCTTCTCCTCCTGCCTACAAACGTAACCCATCCAGCTTTGCAAAGGCATGGAGTGTGCAAACTGCGGCAGGAGGGAATCCCACCCCACTCGTACCACCTCCTAAGACAATATCCTGCCAAAATATTGCGACTGTTGCAAAACCTGGACTGGAGCATGCAAAGTTCTGTCTAGAGCCAGCAGGAGCTCAGCAAATTGCCACGGTGGGTGGAAGATGGGACAAAGAGGCCCTTCTGTGTCTGGCTTCATTTAAAAGTCATGGAGGATGAGGGTGAGGATGACATTCCAGTAGTAACCAGCCTAAGGAGTCATCTATGGTCACTTCTGCATCTGTTAATAAACATGTCACATATTCGAAGCAGCTTGTTAGCCACTTGGAAGGAAGACAACTTTTTTCTAACAGGAGGCTGGCCTGGGAGTGTAGCCTAGTGAAGCCAACTGAGGCTCAGTCCAAAGTCTGATTCAGCTAAACTTCTCTTGTGTCCATTTGTGCCTGTATAATGCATTATTGTGCATTCACTGCTGTGAGGTTCATCTTCATGGAATAAAAAGCTATCAGACCAGTTTCACTCCACGGACCAGAGAACCCCATATTGGAAAAAAACACCTCTGTGACTCCTTTTCCCTGAGTACACAAATGATATTGATTCACTACATTGCACTAAGTACATTGCACTAAAACTTCAGCCCGATGGATGAATGGTGAAGAAACCGAAATGAAATTTAAGAAAACCTCCACCCCTCACAACCTTTCAGGTCATATTTAGGGCCAGTAGGAAAGAAAAACTGTGTTTGAATGTGGGCATTGGATGCATCTGGCAAAATTGGCTTGAGCCCATGGAAGCTTATGCCACCACTATGGCCTTTGAAGTGCCACAAGGCTCTTCAGTTGTTTGGGACAGCTCAGGTGCCATTTTGGTTGCTAGATGCAGCTGCTTGGGGGTTTCTTGGAGGCACCTGGAGTCTGATTTGGGGGCATTGCAGTGAATTCTGGAATAAAGCCTTTGGCAACCGTTGGGCTGAGAGTCTGAATGCTGCAGGAGGAGCCAGGACACCTCTGTGTCTCCACAACATGCTCTACTTAGGGGAGGGGGGTCATCTGTGCTACTCAGTAGCGGAGATGATCCATAGCCCTGCCCTCACCCCGAGTTAGCTGAAGCCTCCCTTGCTGTTGTGTTTCTACCTGCTGCTGCAGACCTGCTGTCACATGTGATGTCATGCAGATGGGAGTGGTTTGGGGGAAATGGCCTCCCAGGCCCAACTACGACCTGTGCTGGGTGGAATCAGCCCCACAGGCCAGAGGATCTCCACCCCTTTTGTAGTGCATCAGCAAAGTGAATGTTAGCGCTGAAATTTTTCAGCAAACAAATGGGGTTTGCCAGCCCTGATATACAAAAATGCTCCAGGCATGGTTCTAAGCCTCGTTGCAAAGGTCTCACATTTTACATTTTGTGGTTGGGGGTGTGTGAGAGAAGGGCTTTTTAACATCCACGCACACTGATTGTGTAGGAGTGTTTGCAGAAAATGGGTTATACCAGATCTCAGTTGAATCCACCAGAGGAAAGATGCAACTTTGTTGCTAGGAAAAAAGGAAGGGCAAATGATGGAGCTTTCAAAGACTAGCAAATGAGGCAAAAGCAAGAAAGAAAATTGCACTAAAGGGGAAGGGAAACAGCAGCTCTGTAGGACCCCAGAGATTCCTATTGCCTGGTGTCCAATCAACTCACTTGTCTGTTAGGGCTTTGACATCATTCATTGGCTAAAACCACAAACAAGGCTGAGAGGGGCCAGGCTGGCTTATCTCACAGAAGTCAATTAGAAGTTTTGCTTGGTGACATTCTTTCCAGGAAGGCTAGATACTTATTGTTAAATGAATTCTCAGAGTTTGGGGTTCCTGCTGGCTGCAGTGCCTGGTACATAAGTAACCCCCATCCTTGCTTCTTGGCAGGCCTGGTCCTCTTCCTCTCACCTGCTCCCTCACTTCCAGCACCAGCACCTCCTGTTTCTAAGAAAGCAAGTGCTCCCTGGACCCAAGATGTGCCCAAGGTGGAAGGAGCCCACCTCAGGCAACCAATTGCAGTGGGCCTTGTTCTCCAATGAGAGGAAGCCTCAGAACGTAGCATAGACCAGAGCTTGGTTCACTGACATGTAGCTAGTAAGTGCAGCTCATTGTGATCCTCATCCCAGTGTGTATCTGTGTTCACACCCTAAGCAACAAGAATTTACACAAAACGAAAATGGGGGGAGGGGAAATGAATCCTTTCTTGGTTAGTGACAAAGGCTTTTCTGTGGTGGCTCCTCTGGGACACTCTTCCCAGGGAAACAGGCCTCCTTCTTGGTTGGTCTTTAGAAGAACTGTAAATATGTTCTTCATTCCAGGCTGCAGTTAGTTCACCATTTTTATGGTGTTCTGTTTTAGCAAATGTCATACATGGTTCTCCCCCCTCTCCATTTAATCCCCACATCAACCCTGTGAGGTAGGTTAGGTGGAGAGGCAGTGACTGGCCCAAGGTCGCCCAGTGGGCTTCACTGCTGAGAAGAGATTTGAACCCTGGTCTCTCAGGTCCTAATCTGCCATTCTAACCACCACACCACACTGGCTCCCAATCTACTAGAGAGTAGTACTAAGAAACTACTAAACTAGTAAATCTCTATAGTTGCTCTCTCTCTTTTGTTATTTTCTTCTCATTTTAATATTTATTGTATAATGATGATGTTTGAGGTTATAAACTGCCTAAGGAGGGTAGGTACCCCAAAAGGTAGGCTAAAGAGCAGCTAATACATAAATAATACCCCACCCGCCAAGCAAACTCTGTCTCTATCATCTATGACTCCTCCATATATTATCCATCATTCCTTGGCACCCAGCTAGCTCCAAAACAGATTGTCAAAAACAAGCCAAACATCTCGTTTGAATAGGAATGAGGATTTGACCACGTACCACAACATCTGAGTTTGTGCCATCTAAACTGATAGGGATTTGGATGTGCATCTCAGGTTGCTTGTTCTGGGAATAACAAGGCAGTTTTTGTGTTGGGACTCCTTGCCAGTGTTTGGTCAACAGACATGTTCCTGTGTGGATGTTGCTGCAGGGATGTTGTGGTATCATATTATTTATGAGGGAAAGCCCAGGAGGCCTTTCTGAAGGCGTCATGCGGTGTTATCTCTGTGGTATTTAATTGATGCCACCCTTGTTGCATGACGTGGAGGCTGATTGCCAGGATGTCTTGATTCTTCCTCCTCTGCCTGGCTCCCTCCCAAGACAGTGCCAAATATGCAGTTCAGCATATGCCTACTATGCTTTATCCTTTCTGCCTGTGAATAGAGAGCAGGAGAACAAAATGGGAGAAGGGCCAGGAGTCGAGACTGATCAGGTGGCTCCAACAACATCTTACCGGGGGTGGGGGGGAATCAATGCATGAAAGCTAGAGCTGGAGAGAGCAGGCTCCTGGTATGCTACACAAATTGCACAGAGTGGGAAAGTGAGGTAGGAATACAGAACCACAGTGGGGCTGGTAGGAGGCTGGCATGGACTCCAGTGTCTGTAAGCACCACCCCACAGCTGTAGAAAAGGAGGAACTTCTTATGGTGGCTTAGGAGAGCCTTCACCAATGCGATGCCTTCCATATGCTTTGAACACAAGAGTATCAGAAAATAAGAACAGTCTGCTGGATCATGGCCAATGGCCCATGTAGTCAGCGTCCTGTTCTCACAGCGGCTAACCAGATGCCCCAAAGGGAAACTCACAAGCAGAATTTGAGCACAAGAGTACAACCTTCCCTAATCCTTGACAGTTGGCCATTTCTGGCTGCTGGGGCTACCTGGCTCCATCAACACCTGGAGAGTGCCGGGTTGAGGAAAGCTGACTTAGAGGAAAGCACTCTCCCCTCCTGCAGTTCTCAGCAACTGGTATTCTGAGTATTCCCGCCTCCGGCTGTGGCAGCAGAACACAGTCATCATGGATAGTAGCTGTTGATAGCCTTCTCCTCCATGAATTTGTCCAATCTTCTTTTAAAGCTATACACGTTAGTGGTCATCATTGCATCCTGCAGGAACAAGTTCCACAGTTTAACTACCGGTATGCACTGCATCTAGTAGGACTTTCTTTTATCAGTCCTGAATCTTCCAGCATTCAGCTTCATTGGCTGTCCATGAGTTCTAGTGCTATGAGAGAGAGAGGAGAACTTTTCTACATCCACTTTTTCCATGCCATGCTCTAAACCCTTCCCATGTTTTGTGGGTCTCAAATGGATACATTTGGAGAACCAGAATGGCCCCTAAGGAAGCCTATTTTCCAGCTGGAGCCTCTTTTCCCTTCCATTGACTACTGTTGTTCTCGTGATTTGCTCCAGATGGCTTCACTCTTCGCACATTGACATTTGAAGTCGCCTGAACGCTTTTTGGAATTTATTTTAGGTGGAAGATCTACTTAAGCAGAAGCTATAATTCTTCTTTAATGAGCCGCAGTCCATTTCTGCCTCGCTGAAGGACGTATTGGGGGCTGGTGACATATTGCTTAGGCCAAGCCTGGTGACTCATCCCCCTCCCACCCAAAAATCGCTCTCTCAGGGAGATGGAATGAGGTTGGAAAACAAGAGAAGCCGAGTCCATATCAAAGGAGAATCACACTCACTGCGGCATGAAGTGAGGAGGACGTTGGCAATTTCCATTCAGTTGCTTGCTCCAACCCACCTAATGACCAGGGCTCAGACTTGAGGCTGTGGGGTCATAGCTGTCAGGGTGCTGGGCCCCTTTAGAAATAAAATCCATCCTGGCACTCCAGGCAGTGCCAGGCAGCTGTGTCCACCTGCCATTTAAATTTCCCACAATGTTCCAGAGTGACACCATATTTGGGGCAATGTGGGTAATTAAAATGGACCTAGAAACTGAAACTGAAAGTGATGCTACCACCAGCTGAGACCACCAGGGGTACCATCAAAGGGCACTTTGCCAGGCCCCCTTTGAACCTGGAGTCAGGCTTTGCTGGTGGCCGTGAATTCAATGAACTGATTAGGTGTTGCATAATGAAGAGGTACCTTATTTTTGGATGTCCTGGGGCCAGGGCTGCAGCCCACCTGCCATTGGCCAAATAGGCAGGCAAGCTGTGATCCACTTCCTGGGCCAGGTGATGATGAAAAGGGTTCACCCAAGCCTGATAAAACCCCTCGCCTCCAGGGGATGCATGGTCACCTACCCACAATAGCGCCCAACCTGGTGGTAAGTGCCATTTCACAACAGATGAAACATGTACAAATCATTTTTAAT